GGGGGGTGCTATGGCAGCCAAACAAGAGGGTTGCTGCGGAGCTGCTGTGGACGACAGGATGTCGCTCTGTCAACGATGCTTGTCTGCCGCCCTGTTCGACGAGGAGGAGCAAGGGGCTAGTGTCGATCAGGCCGTAACGCGATGTCTGCTTGGTCTCGCACGGCCCTTGGGACGAGGGAATGGCAGCGTGCTGCAGCGGTGCTTGTGCATAGTAGGTGCTAGACAGGTCTGCGGGGCGTGCCCAAACGAGCGCGCTCTCTGCTCGGGACACACACACTCTTTCCCACACACGCTATATATCTCCTGGCTGCCAGTATGGTGTGCAGGAAAGGGTGCGGGTGCGGGTGCGCAGAGCTGTGACGACGATACCCTGTTCGCTACTGTTCTGCTCTGGCCTAGTCAAGAGACTCGACCCGGGTTTGAATTTGCCTCAAGCGTCTACTTGGCAGACTCTGTCGGACAGACGGGCCGATGATCGCGGGTGTAAGAGGGTGTGTGTGGCCTTGTGCGTGCCAGGCACGATCCATCGCAGCGGCAGGCCTTGCGACCCCCGCGGCCCAGCGGCTAACGCCCATCAGGAGTGCAAAAAAGGAAGTGAGGCCGTGTCCAAGTGTCTGGCTCGGCTGCCGTCAGCCGGCGGCGCGGACTGCTTGGCACTTTGCCTGCCGAGATGCTCTGCTCTGCTGCCTTGGTCATCGATCGGGAGGGTGGAGTCTCTTTTGGCTCTTGCTTGCTCCGTCAAGTCTCACACCCCGAACTGCGTGCCAGGATCACATGTACATATCGCATCGTTGTTGAACGTCCCTGCTCGCACCGCAAGAGAGGGGAGCCAGGGGCTGGAGTGGCGGGGCAACGGCGGTGCCGACCTGCACTCTGGGAGCAATACGCACGCCACAGCCACCAGGACTGTCGCATGGGTCCCCTTTGTGGCTCTGTAACCCACACACCTCCGGGGCCAGGCCCGCGCGTGGGCCGCTGGCTACTAGCGGGGGCTAAAAACAAAAAAGATAACAAAAAGGAGGGGGTGCGGGTTGGCTGCAGCGTCCAGTGCAGTGGGACGCAGTTCAAGTGTACGTCACCGCTCACTGCCACCTGGTGCCACCTTCTATTATTTTAGCGATCGCGTCATCCTGTGGCTCGGGCTACTCTCCAACTCCACACCCAATCACCACGGAGCAGCGCTGCGCAGCCAACACAGCAACCCTATTCAGTCACATCGCCCTCTCGCTCTCCTTCCCTCTTGCGCGCTCGCATGGATCAGAGCATGCAAAGCACTGACGCAGACATCGTCGTCACCGCGTATGGAAGCTGAGCGCATACGCTGCGTCTAGTTGCAAGGTAGACCCGTGCAGCACACACACCAGGCAGTCATCCGGAGCATGCCAATCGATTGCCTTCCTCACTTCTCGAGTGCGTGTCGCTGTACATACAAAGGGGAAAAAGACAAGAGGAAAAAACTGTGGACACGAAGGGAGCACCGCACTGGCCGCCGCGCACGCGCGACGCTACACAGAGGCACCGCCGCCGTACGAGGGCCAGCCCTTGCTGCTGGGTGTCAGCGTCGGCGCCCGCCACTCGCGCGGGAAGAGGCCGCTGAGCCGCTTGCTGCCCTCGTTCTTGAGCCGTCGGCGCGCTTCGGGGCTCGCGAGAAGCGCCGAGCGCTCCCCGCCCTTGCCCTCGCCCCCAGCGTCCGGTCGGATGCCGCCGGCAGCAGTGAGGCCGAGCTGCCGGAGCCTACGCATCTCGTCTTGCGTGCGCTTGCTGCTCGCGACGCGCAGTGTGGCTGCCGCGTACAGCCGCGCGTCCGTGCGCTGCAGGTCGTCCAGCGCCTCGACCATTGCCGCGTGCTTGTTGCGCAGGTCCTCCCGCTGCGACTCGCGCTCCGTCCGCCGCAGCAGCAGGTACGCGCGCCGGATCGTGTCATGCACCTCTGCCCCGTATGGCAGCACGTCCGCCGCCGACACAGCAGCAGCAGCCGGCGCAGGCGGAAAGACCATCTTGCGGATTGCCTCAGTGCGTGAGTCGGCCATTGGTGGGACATAGTTCGGGTCGTTCGGGTTCAACCGCGACGCCGATGCCGTCGACTTGCCCGCTGGTGCAGTCGCATACCCGCGCCGTTGCGAGCTCGGCCACGCCGAGCCCACCGCAGGAGCAGTCTTCTGCAGCCCAACGCTCGAGGTGCTGTATGCGCGAGCCTGGCGAGCAGCGCTGGAAGACGTTCCCGAAGAAACAGGCATGACCCTTGCACTTGAACCAGCGCCGCGGCCCGAGTCGGAGCTGCCAGCAGACTGCGCAGCCTGCTGGCGGATCAGGTTGAGCGCCGAGCCAGCGCGGATCCAGTCGAGATGGGTCTTGGAGAGCGTGTGCACAGTGCGGATGTGCAGCACCTCCCTGACGCTCTTGCCGTCCTCAGCAAACTTGGTGACGCGGAGCTGCACCTGCGTGCCGAGGTCACCCTTGACAGGATCGATCAGCTCGCTCAGGTTGACCGTCTCGACCAGGTCGCCCGCGGCGATCTTGCTGTAGTCGTCCTCGTTGGCAAAGAGCAGCGTCAGCACGCCCTGCTTGCGCAGATTCGTCTCTGCGATGCGCGCAATGCTGCGCGCGACGATCAGGTTGCAGCCGTAGAAGCGCGGCTGCAGCGCCGCATGCTCACGCGCAGAGCCCTCGCCATAGTTGTGGTCAGCCACAATCATCCACGGCTGACCGCGCGCACGGAAGCGCTTAGCCATGCTCGGGATCGTGTCCCACTCCTGCTCCTTGTCCCCGGCAGCAGCCTCGAAGTCGCGCGCAGAGTTGACCTCTCCGTTCTCGTCGTTCATCGCGCCAATCAGCGTGTTCTCCGCCAGGTTGCTCAAGTGACCCTTGTACTTGAGCCATGGTCCCGCAGCAGAGATGTGGTCAGTGGTGCATTTGCCGCGGATGCGCAGAAGACAGCGCATCGACGGCAGCTCAAAGTCTGCCCGGCTCGCAAAGGGAGAGTTGAAAGGCTGCAGCGGTTCCAGGCGCTGGCTCGTCGGGCTGATGAGCACCTCAGTCGATGGCTGCGGTTCAGGCGCCGCAGCAGGCAGATACGACGTGTCCCCTGGGACGAACCCGCGCGTTGGCAACTCATTGCCGGAAGGTGGCTCAAATTTGAAGTCCGAGCCGTCGGGCGCCTTAAGCGTGTCGGTCATCGGGTTGAAGTCGAGACGTCCGGCGAAGGCCATGGCAGTGACGATCTCTGGGCTGGCGAGCATGTTCATTGTCTTGCTGTTTCCGTCATTCCTACCCCTGAAGTTGCGGTTGAAGGATGTGAGGATGACGTTGCTCTTGCCCTGCAGTTCCTTGCGGTTCCATTGACCGATGCACGGTCCACACGCATTGGCGAGCACGCGCGCTCCGACGTCGAGTAGGTCCTGCTCAATCCCGTCGCGCTCGATCGTCGCGCGCACCTGTTCGCTGCCCGGCGTGACGTCGAAAGAGGTGACGACCTTCATGCCGCGCTCTTTGGCCTGCTTGGCGAGCGAAGCGCAGCGCGCCATGTCTGCGTAGCTTGAGTTGGTGCACGAACCGATCAGCGCGGCGGAGAGCTCGATCGGATGGTCGCGGGCATCCGACTTGGCTCGCTCGACAAAGGTCGAGAGCGGCGTGCTGAGATCGGGCGTGAAAGGCCCATTCAGCGTCGGCTCCAGCTTGCTCAGGTCAATGTGCACCTCCTCGTCATACTGCGCACCCTGGTCAGCTCGCAGCAGGCCTTGGTCAAAGGCAGCCTGCGCCTGTTGCGCCACTTGTTCCCTGCCCGTCGCGCGCAGGTACTTGCCCATTTCAGCAGAATAAGGGAAGGCACTAGTCGTGGCGCCCACTTCAGCACCCATGTTGCTCATCGTCGCTAGACCCGTGGCGGAGATGGAGTCGAGGCCGCTGCCAGAGTACTCGATGATCTTGCCTGTTCCTCCTCGCACAGTGAGCTTGCCGGCCAGGTGAAGAATAACATCCTTCGGCGTGCACCACCCGTTGAGCTTGCCGGTCAACTTGACGCCGAGCACCTTTGGCGCGAGCAGCTCCCAAGGTGTGTTCGTCATCGCGTCGACAGCATCGGCGCCTCCCACCCCGATCGCCAGACATCCCATGCCGCTTGCATTCGGCGTGTGACTGTCTGTTCCGAGCATGAGCATTCCTGGCGCGGCATAGTTCTCCAGGACGATCTGATGGATAATGCCCGAGCCAGGGCCCCAAAACTCGATGCCGTACTTTTGCGAGGCAGAGCGTAAAAAGTCAAATACTTCCGAGTTGGAGGCGATGGAGCGCTTCAGGTCTGCCTCTGCGCCTTCATAGGCTTGAATCAGATGGTCGCAGTGAACGGAGGAAGGGATCGCGGTGCGGGGCAGACCGCAGGTCATAAACTGCAACAGGGCCATCTGAGCAGAAGCATCTGCAGAACCCCGCAAGATCGAACGTCAGTCGAGTTGGCAAGCAGCCGCAATCTCTAATGGCACTTCCGACACACCTTGCATAGCAAGACGGTCGATGGTGAGTTTGAGATACTCTTTTCCCCTGATGTTGGAAGTGTCTCTGCCGATATGCGAGAGGGCTTCTTCCGGATTCCGGATGTGGGAGTAGAGAATCTTTTCGGAGAGCGTCAGCGGCCGGTCGAGCAGAGCGCGTACGATGGCAAGCTGCTCGAGCAGCTTGGCGTAGGGTGGCATGCGAGATGGGTGAGCAGAGGCTGGCGAGGACGATTTCCCAGACGCGATCGTTGCCAGGCTTCGCCGGCTGCCGCTGTTGGACACAGCAGCGCGGCATAGGGAGCAAGCAGCGACATGGTTGCGAGCGCGGAGGCCGCGAGAGGCGCGTGCGATCATCTGCGACATGGCTGTTCTCTACTCTTTCCGCCTTGTGCCGCCTGTCGCTCGACGCACGATCCACGTTCGAGGTGAGAAGAACGGTGGTAGGTCGACGGTGCGAGCCTGTATTGAAGGCGAGGTGGATGAATGTAGAGAACGGAGAAGATCAAATGCATCTTCTTGTCTCACACCCCTCTCGCTCTTTCCTTCTTTACAGTGGTCTACTTTGTTTTCTGCGGGCGTCCCTCGGCGACTTTTTGTTTGTGAAAGATGCCGAAGAGCACTCCACACTGCCAGGTTGGGAGAAGGGGTGGGTCAAGTCGGAAGCGGCCGACTGGCTGATACAACCCTACATTTATTACCACCTCTGCCGACTGTGGCCGTTATCGTACTCTTCATCAAACGGTATTTGCTCTGACGATGATAGCATGCTGTGCTTTACAATGATGCAGTGCGGGCAGGTTGTGGGGCTCAGGCTTCAGCCTGTTGCCAGCAGCATTCATGCTAGCATCCGAGAGCATCGCTTTGCGTTGTGACTTGTGTCTCAGTGTAATATGTTGGTCCGCTCATCCCTTTGTGACAGGTAACCAGGTCTCTGGAGAATGACGATCAGCGGCCGCCAGCTTCAGGTATATTAGTGGATAGTGCCGTTCCGCCTCATTGAGCCTGCTAGCGCCTGTGAAGTGCGATGGCATCACACCACCTCTCTCCAGCAGTCTCCCCTCTCCAGGTGACACGGGATCTCCCAGAGTTGAAGTCGATTCAATGAGCGTAACCACGCATCAGCATCTCAATCGACGAACAGAACACTTGAAGCGCTTCTGGGGCTTGGGCGCCTCGTATATACAGGCAAAGTCGCAACCTCGCAACTGCCTTCGCGCAGCACTGTGTCTCGCCAAGCGGGATCGCTGCCTCCGAGTGCGATTCGCCCTGCAACTCATTCAGCTGTCGATACCCCAGAGCAACACGTACCGTCAAGTACACGGCGCAGCTTAACAGGATGGGAGACTCGGGGCGCGATGCGAAGTTCTTCCAGCGCGGTCGAGCGCAAGAGCTCAAGGCCGAGTTGAATGATGACAAGAAGGACAAGGGCTGGGTCAAGAAGAAGGCTGCTCTTAAAAAGGTCATCGCCAATGCCACCATGGGCAATGACATGAGCAGCCTCTTCCCGGACATGGTAGCCTGCATGAATATTCAGGTGCTGGACATCAAAAAGATGGTCTACCTCTACCTCATCAACTACGGCCGCGTACGGCAGGACCTCATCCACACCACCATCCCTGGCTTCCTGTCTGACTGCAACGACCGTAACCCGCTGATCCGCGCGCTGGCCATCAGGACCATGTCGTACATCCAGGTGCCCGTCTTGATCAGTGCGCTGATCGACCCGCTGCGACAGTCCCTTAAAGACGCAGATCCGTACGTGCGCAAGACTGCGGCAATCTGCGTGGCAAAGCTGTACATGTATGAAAAGCGCATGGTCGACAAACATGGCTTCATCGGCATGCTGCGCGATCTTCTCGCGGACTCCAACCCGACAGTCGTCGCCAATTCCGTGGCGGCGCTCACGGAAATCAGCGAGCGCAGCGACAACATTCAGCTCAAACTCAATCTCACTGTTGCGAGCAAGCTTGTCAGCGCGCTGCAAGAGTGCTCCGAGTGAGTGGACATCCGATGCGCATCCACGAATGCTCTCTTGCTGAATAGGCCCAATTCAATGCTTGTGCTCTGCATCTCTTCCAGGTGGGGACAGGTCTACATTCTCGAGTCGCTCCTGTTCTTCGTGCCTTCTGACTTTGCCGATGCAGAGATTCTGGCGGAGCGCGTCGCGGTACGGTTGTCACACTCCAACTCAGCGGTCGTCCTCACCGCTGCCAAGGTGATCCTCTATCTCATGAACTACATTTCCTCGAGCGAATTCAAAGAAGGCCTCTGCAAGAAACTATCGCCGCCTCTGAGTACGTTCTGCTTTCTCTAGCAATATGTCCTGCGTTAAGGCTTTGGAGCTACCGTTGACCCACAGCTTTCTCTACTAAATTTCCACGTGGCGACACTTCCGACAGTCACACTCCTATCGTCCGGCCCAGAGGTGCAGTACGTGGCGTTACGAAACATCCTCCTCATCATCCAACGCCGCCCGATCGTCTTGCGCAACGATGTTAAAGTCTTCTTTTGCAAGTACAACGATCCGATTTACGTCAAGATGGCCAAGCTGGAGATCATGTATCGCCTCACGACCGAGAAGAATGTCTCGCAAGTACTGGCAGAGCTGAAAGAGTGAATCTTCGCCGTTCAAGTACGAGGTACTGCATAGGGTAAAGCCCGAGTTTGCTGACACATTTCACACCACACGCCGTGCATTGCTGCCAGGTACGCCTCGGAAGTCGACGTCGACTTTGTGCGGAAAGCAGTGCGCTCGATCGGGCGCCTAGCCATCAAGATCGAACCGGCGGCGGATCGATGTATCAACGCGCTGGTCTCGCTGATCCAGACCAAGGTCAACTACGTGGTGCAAGAGGCAATCGTAGTGATCAAGGACATATTCCGCAAACACCCCAACCGATACGAGAGCGTCATCGCTATCCTTTGCGAGAACCTTGACAGCCTGGACCAATCTGAGGCGAAAGCAGCGATGATCTGGATCATCGGGCAGTATGCTGATCGGATAGAGAACAGCGATGAGCTGCTTGAAGACTTTCTCTACTCCTTCCTCGAGGAACCGGTGGAGGTACAGCTGGCGCTGCTCACTGCGACCGTCAAGCTCTTCCTCAAGCGTCCCGCAGCGGGCGGGGAACTTGTTCCCAAGGTGCTCAAGTGGGCCACAGAGGAGGTGGACAACCCGGACTGCAGGGACCGGGGCTTCATGTACTGGCGCCTGCTCTCGACCGACCCGGCAGCAGCAAGGGAAATCGTCTTGGCAGACAAACCGCTAATAAGCACTGAGACGGACCGCATGGACCGCGTGCTACTCGATCAGCTACTCCTGCATGCCAGCACGCTCAGCAGCATCTTTCATAGGCAGCCGCAAACATTCATCAGGAATGCAAAAGCCAGGGTGGGTGGCTCCGCCTCGCGCGTTTAATAACGACATTGGCTGTAGGAGGCTGACTTTGGTTCGTCCACTTCTTGCATTACGTGTGCTTGTGCTTTCCGCGTACAGTACATTCCGGATTCGCCAGCTCTCGACGAAGGCGCGCGTCGATACGCCAGCTCGCACATCTACACGCGACCTACAGTGAAAGGGCCGAGTGTTCCGCGGGTAATGCAACCTAGATCATCGTCGTCAGCGGTGCGAGCAGCCGGTGCCAGCGGTGCGGCTCTCGCCGCTGCCAATGACGCACCCCCGATAGGCGGCGCCGCCCATCCGTCTCTCTCGCTACTGGATACCGCTGCGTCAGCAGGGACCGGGGCCACCGCAGAAGGACGGGCGGTCCACGAGCAGGAGGACAGCGTGGAGAATTCTGGAGTGCAGGGCCATTCAGCGAACGTGTCACACGCCGAAGTCGACGGCCCGCCGTCACCTGCCGAGTCGGGGATCGGGCCTGTCGCATGGGCGCGGCACGAGCCAAAGTCTGCCTATCGTCGAGACAGCGTTGAGTCGATGGGAGGCAAGGCGAATGGCACTGATGTAACAGGTGCTGCTACTGGAGGCAGCGGCGAAGATCCGTACGCAATGCTAGGCGATGATTTCGGTGGAGGCGGGGGTTACGCTGCAGATCAGCCTGTGCCCAAGTTGAGCGCTCTGGATGAATTGCTCATGTAACTCATCCACTTGCCGCACGAAAAATGGATAAGGGCATACACATCTATACTCGTCGTGCGACTTGACACCCTTTTCGGCAGACACGCCCGCGGTTGCCGTTATCCCGAACAATCACTGATCCATGTTCCAATTGAACTCGGTAGCTTCGATGAGCATATATATGCATACAAGACCTTGACGTCTCGACCCTCGCATGCCTATCTGCACCTGGACGGCTGGATCTGCTCCCTTCAGAAAATCATGAATAGTAACAGATGTTGCAATGCAGTGGCAACATCGAATAAGCGCGATTGCGTGGTGCGATGAAAGTCAAGCAGAACGACTTGAGCAGACTCGTTGCTGCCTCGAGTCTGCAATACATACTCTGGCTCTGGCCTCAACGCACTACATAGCATTTCCTCGGCGCTCGACCAGCGCAGCCGCGGTCCTGTGTGAAAGTATAAAATGTAAAGTGTCCTGTGATGGCCGAGGTCCCCGGAAGTCCGTGCGATGTGGCGGACCCCATCGTGTGCTATCTCGCAGCCACTAGCTCCCTAGGACAAAGAATATCACAACACTGCAGCAGTGTCTCAACATGTGCAGAGACGAACACCCTTCTCGAAACTAAGCTCCTGCGGAGGCAAGGGCAATGTGGCCCGAAAAGCAAATATGGAAGTGTCGTGAAATGTTCCTGCATTCCGACGTACAGCTTGTGAGGGCATCTGCATTCTAGGATGGGTCCTTCCAGGTGTATGTAATTGTAGCCCGCACTCAGTCTGCAGCTTGGCCTCATCAAAACCCCGGGTTTGAATAAGGTTGGCACTGGAGCGCCGTGCTGCGCTGCAAACCGCAACCCCGACGTCGCTCCTATATTACCAACCGGCGGTTTTCGCCGGTTATGTGCCTCCCCGCGTCTAAATATCGAATGCCTGACAGCCTCTCCCCCGCCGACCTGCTCGACAGTTGGCTATTGGCTCTTCCAGTGCAATCCTGAGGCCCTAGTCGCGTGGTCGCTTCAAATTTCGTTATTTACGCCTTGATCGGATGTTCCGCGCCTTCTTCAGCCTCTTCCCTGCATTGATTGGACGTGTACATACTCCTGTAGCCTATTGATCCATACTTCATATCCCACCCGCCACCCATTTCCAGTGAAGTATGTAGGTACACCGGCGTCCTTTCAACGAAAGCAATGACAAGGCGCCAGCCCTCGCATCATGCTCAGAGATATCGATGCTTGGGAGTACTATAGAAGGGACAGCCTCAACCGTCCTCAGCCCTACGCCCAGGCAGGTTATGTCCAGGTTTGCCTAGGGCCGGTGAAAAAATATCAATTCTACATTTGTACCATTGCGGATTTATTCCCGAAGCTGGAACACTTTTCGTGTCTTTCTGTTGAAAAAGGTGTTGTCTCCGTTTTATGCACTTATTTACGCCTGAGAGCTCCCAGACTCCAGTCCAGTGGTCCGTACACGTCGGCACAAAAAAGAATAGAATGACAAAAAATAAAATGGGCTGTTACAAGGGACAAGCCGCAATGTGGAAATGAAAGCGCATGGGGCGGGAGCGCACGGACGGGCAGGGCAGCGCCAGGATTGGCCAACTGCCAGAGCACTCCTCAGTACCTGGCACTGCCAAGCCGCCGGGATTCCCATATGTACATACATAAATATACATACAGAAACGAGCCGTGTCGACTGTCTACCAGGGGTCCTGTTCGATGTTGGGACAGTTAACCTATGTCGGCCCATCCTAATTGCGAGTGATCTGTTGTGGGATTCTGGAGGATCCCGTGTACATACATACGCGTAGCCGTCAAGTAGCGCAGAGACTCTGCGTAAAGGGTAGCACCAGACGCCCAAATGCCCAACGAGTAACAACGGGAGCCATAGCCACAAGCGCGGGGAGACGCGCTCATCAACAACACTGACCCCTGTTCCAGAGGCCAGCTACAGACATGTTCGGCGTCCGAGGGCGAGCTGGTCGTCGGTTGTCCGCCTTGATGAGGATTTGATGAGGGAAGCGAGAGGTCACTAAAATTATCTCTACATTTAGGCAGTGCTTACACACTCTTAACACCTTCTGGCCTGCCGTTGAAGAATTGCCTGACGATAAGGATACGCCGAGTTGAATTGTATGGCATCTGTTCCAACGTCCATGACCGTTCCCGTTTAGCCCTGCCCACCCTCAAAATGACAAATCACTGTGCGTCCAGCCCACGTCTCTCTGAAGCCATTCAAAAAGTTGAACTGTGAAGGTTAGCAGCATCAATCCACTGCTCCCCCCGACCACGACCGCCACCGTACTTACCATGGCTCAATACTCTCGAGTGAGCACAAACACCTCACCCCCAGCAGTATCAGAAGACATGCATCCACAACAACAAGCAGCAGGCGCACCAGCGATGCCTCCCACCTCTCCGCCAGCCGCTCCGTACGGGTCATATACGCGCCATTCGATGGATTGCGTTTCTGCAAGTAATCACAGCGGATCCGGCGGGGTAGCATCATTCTCATCAGGAGGCTCGACCGGCGGGCTGACTTCAGGCGCAAGGCAACCGGCTGGCAGTGGCGGTGTTGGTGGTGCTGGTCCAGGGCAACGGCGCAATTTCGCAGACAGCCATTTGGCGAGGAGTAGGGATGCAGCACAGAAGCGATTCTCAGGGTATGCTCCATCGGGTTCGTCCACACATACGAGCGAGTCGGGCAGGAACAGCCGGATGTTTGCCTTCGCGCCCACTTCTTCTGGAGTAGGGATTATTCGGTTGGAGCCAGAAGACGATGACTACCTAGTGCGTCATGATCACGGGGTTTCGCGTTCGTCGAGAGCACGATGGATCCTCCGCCTGCCGCTTACTGTACCGTGAGCTTGATGCTTACCACCCCTACCGCGCTTGTCCTCCGCAGCATGACCCTCGCTGCAGGGAAAAACAACCTTTTGCCATGTCGTCAAGGGGGATACTAAACGTCGCTACGCTGCTCGCCCTCTCCCTCGCCATGCTCATGCTTTTCGCAGGGTATCCATTGCTATCCGGCCTTGGCATCCTAAACAAGAATAATTTTGCGGTCGGGACTAACGGCACGGGTCAGATACCCGACTTGCCGCTGCTTCAGCTCATCGACACTGCTACGCCGTCGACTGCGATGAAATGGAGCAGTCCGGACAAGATCAAATATGACTTGGTCTTCAGCGACGAGTTCCAAGTGAATGGTCGCACATTCTGGCCAGGCGGTGCGTCGTACTTCCGCTCGTCTTTTGAGCTTTTGGGCCGTTTCGCTGAGAGCTGATGAGTTGTTGAAATTCTTTTCGACCCAGATGACCCATTCTGGGAAGCTGTGGACATTTGGTACGGCGCCACCGGTGATTACGAGTGGTATTCTCCAGATAACATTGTCACTCAAAACGGCTCGCTCGTCATCACTTTCGAAGCAAAAGAGTCTCACAACCTCAACTTCCAGAGTGGCATGCTTCAGAGTTGGAATAAGACTTGCTTCCAGGGTGGCTACATTGAATTCTCTATCCAATTGCCCGGAACTCCGCAGCAACAGGGGTTCTGGCCCGGAGCCTGGGTGAGCGACGAATGGAATGGTCGTCAAGGCGGCTCTGAGAGATGTAATTGACAATGACATCTTTCCCTTTTCCCTCCCATAATTATCGCATCTGCAGATCATGGGAAACCTTGCGAGACCTGTGAGTGGTACTTGCTCTCCTGATCGGTGCCAATCTTTCGTTTGCTGATGTGCAGCTCTCGGCATGCTGTACAGGGCTACCTCGGCTCGACGGATGGCATGTGGCCGTACAGCTACTCGGCCTGCGACACTGGCATCCTCGCCAACCAGACAAATATCGACGGAACAGGGCCTGATGGTGCCATCCACTCAAAAGGTACCTACGCCGATAACCGGGGACACATCTCCCATCTGCCCGGGATGCGAGCCTCTTCATGTACTTGCCCTGGAGAGGACCATCCGGGCCCCAACCGCAAAACGGCTCGTTCCGCACCCGAATTCGACATTTTGGAGGCCAGTGTCGTACCGAGAGGCGCCCCGACCAAGGGCCAGGCTTCGCAGTCTCTCCAAATCGCACCTTTCGACGAGGGGTATCACTGGTACGTCTCGGCCAAAAGTCATAGCTCCGACCTGCCTTGGTGCTGATCTACTCTCCCTTCCACTCTCTGTGGCATTCACCACTTTGCAGGTTGAAAGGCAATGCCTCAGCCCCAATCTACGGATCTACCACCGATTACAACACGTACGAGGGTAGCGTCTATCAAGAGGCTGTGTCTGCGGTTTCGGACATTCCGCTGGATGGCTACGTGTCACAAGGTCAGCGCTTTGTCACCTATGCTCTGGAGTACGAACCTGATTGGGATTTGAATGGAGGCGGCTATGTTCGGTGGTAAGTGACGGTGCACTTGCTTGCGAAAACAGTTCACGCGGTCTACAGGCTGCCGACATTGATCCACATCATCACCCTTCTTGCTTCTCCACAGGTTTGTCGACGGTCAGCCCACCTGGATGGTGAGTGCGCGAAAGCCGCAGCGATCTATTCGAACATGACCCTCACCGTCGTCTTCGTGCCATCAGGCGACGGGCGCCGCCGTGGGACCTTCCTCAGCCATGGATATATCACAGCGCCACATCTCACCGGAGCCAATGGGTAAGAGCCACTGCTCGTTCGCCCGCCGTGGCGCATGAAGCTGACACACGCATGAGCGCTTCATGGCTGATTACGACCGATTTTGTTTTCTCCAGCGATGGTTATCAACTTAGCAATGGCACATAACTTCGAGCCATCAATATGGGATAGTCTCGTGTTCCCTAACCGCATGCTGGTGGACTACGTGCGGGTCTACCAGCGGTCTGGGAGAGCAACGAAGCTATCATGCGACCCACCGTGAGTCCTGCGTGTCTGTCACTTTTGTGGCACCTCAAGTCTTTTGACGAGTAACGCATATGCTGAACACAATGCCGCTCTCCATATTGAACGGTGGACGACCCTGCAGCGATTATCCAACGGCTGAATACATCAATTCGCACCTTCAGCTCTACATGAACCCCAACTTGACCCAGTACACTGATGTGTACCCATGGGTCAAGAACTCGCTCACAAACCCTGGCTGCTAGAAGCACGCCTCTCTTTCGACATTCCATTGATCTCTCTCCAAGGGCCGCTGCGTAATCTCTCGCCGCCGGTCATGTGGAATGCACCAGTTGCCTTTCGGCTCGCTGACGACACCCGCACAGCATATTGCATCCGCTTCACGTTTTGGCGTTCGTTTCACCTTTGCACTTTTTGCCCGTTTGCCTCCTTTGGCATCGTTTTCTGTATTTTGCAGACTATGGAACCGCTGTCAGCACAAGTGACGATGATACTGACAGAGGTTGCATCTGCATCTCATGGAGGCGAAGCCGGCCGCCGAATCATGTAGTGGAAAGGCTAGCCGATAGTGACGCACACTTGCAGCTACGAGAAGTTGTGGACGGTGGCCTAGTTTAACTGCTTGAAGATGGATCGACGTGGGTCTGCTGCAGCATGTCCCCGAGCGCAGCCGGGGTACGGATGGGGATGCACATCTTTCTCTGGCTTAGATGGAAGCTGGGCGTTGACGTTGAGCATAGTCACACAGCTGTGTAAACGCTATAAAAGGTCACCTGTTCCTTTCCATCTTTCGCAACAGCCGTAGCAATCATGATCATGATCGTTCAGTGCTGCCGCGCCGAGGAAGGGTGAGTTCTCAGGTCAAGCAGCGCTGCAGCAGTAGGCACTGCCTCATCCCCGCTTCACATCATCCGAGCAGTCACACAACAGACCGCTTCCACCTCATAGTAGCGAGCGAAACAGCTGGCTGGGCACGAAAGGGTGAACAGTTCTATCTCGTAGACTCGTCATCGCCTTAAGCCAGTCCATTCTTATGATGATCCCCACCCGTTCGAGACCCCTCAACAGGTTTGCTTCCCGCTGCTGTCAGCGTGTCATCATTCAATTTGTGCGAGGGCAAGTGGAGATGCGAAGAGGTAGGAAGCAGGGCCCCTTGTGCAGATGGGACATCTCTCATAAGGCGAAGACCCCAAAGGTCTAGTGTCTGTAGAGCAAAGGAGCCAACAGTCGTCCAGACTCCAGGAATGTACTGCTGTTGCATACGAAGAGGTGATAGAAAGGTGGATGTCATTTTGAACAGGCACCTCTTCGGCGAAATAGATGAGACAACTGGACCAGCTCTCCCCAGCACAACCCATAAGGAGATGAAGCGAGATGAGAGAGGCCACGCGGAGGAAAGGATACGTGGCTTTTTCGAAGCCAACACACCATAGCCACACTTCTTCCCCTTCAACTGCAGTGAGGTGTGCACTTGAGAGCTACTGCAACGCTCACAGGTCGACGGGCTTCACTGTCGTCGGCTCCATCATAGCCGTGGATACAGGAAGCACTTGGCAAGCGGCAGCCTTTGCACCGGCCAAGTGGCGCTCTCATTCAGGAGGCACACAGCCCATAGAGAGCGAGCACGCCGACAATTGCTCGTGTGACCAGCGCAACCCGGTTGGTAGTGGCAGAAAGTCGCACACCGGCGGCCATCAACCGCAAAGATGAGCGCAGCATTACCTTCCAGCAGCCATGATCCGCAAAGTCTGCTCGCCAAACTCAAGCCGCACCTCGAGGCGGTTGAAGTGATCTGCAAAAAGTACAGCATTCATGACGATTCGGCTGTCGCGCTAGACGATAATGCTTCAGCGACGAAAGGTGCAGCGCTTGGCTCAGCGGTAGCAGGCGGGCAGGAGCAGGGCCAAGGCTTGAATACAGTGCAAGGGGTAGGTAGGCTGTATGCGCCGCAGATCATGGTCACGAAAGCGACCGGCAGCGTCTCGCCGCTTCTGCGCCATGACAGCGAGGGGCGAGGGCCGCTGCCAGCGCCGGGCACAGGCAAGCTGCGGCCCTTCTTGGCAAGGCTTCCGACAGAAACCATTGGGTCTTCATCAACAGTCGGAGGGAATGAGGGCGTCGTGATGATGAGTCCCGGGTCTGTTGGGATCAGCGACGAGGAGGAGGCGTGGAGCGCGGTATCGCGGACCATCAAGCCAGTCGCAGATACGCTGCGGTCAGGTGAGTTATTGGGTTCATAAATTACATTCTCTTTTTCTTGGGCGGGCCTTTTCTTACAAATTGTGCGCTGGCCTGCAGATAGATTACGAGCTGCGCTAGGAGCAACTGACTTAGATGCAAACTGCGTCGCCATGCTGCGCATCTTGCTGACGCATCGAAGCAGCAAGTACACCCGACCGCTCCAAGAAGCACAGATCGAAATCATGCGTGTGCTGGCGAATCTATGCATAGAATGTGGTACGTACGAATTGTCTGTCGTCTGGGTCTCTGCTATTCAGAAACTGATGCATCCCGTGCCCTCCTTGGCAACACCAGATACCAATCGAGACAAGCTCTTGCACCTCCAAGCGGCCTCCGCTATCCTTGCTCTTGTCGACTCGCTGCTCAACGACCCGATTCCCGACATGAAAGCCATGGTTCATTTTGACACACAGACTTTGGCCTTGTTGCGCGCTGCGACCGGCGCAATATTGAACCTGCAACTCGATCATCCAGCAACCAAACGTGCGCTAGGCGCCAGTGCCACTTCGCTGCGCACGATCTACAGATTAGCGTCAACACCAAGGATCTACGTGCCGAATTCATGGGCAGATGGGAACCATGGCTTTGCACGAGCAGCGCATGGGAGTCCCAAGCAGGCGGAGAACATGAATCTCATCAGGACGGGCGCGACTGTGTCGACATGGGCCTGGCGGATCGTGCAGGATGTCGTGAGCTGTGGCGCGACAGGCGTAAGCGATGGCGGAGCGCTCAGTCCGAGCAGCGGGACCGAGTTAAGCGGCCGCAGTCGGTCCGATACCCTGCTAACAGATGCCGCTATTAATGCAACTGCAGTTTCGCTGAGGGCTTTCCTCGCAGCGAGTAGCCACCATAAGCAAGGCGATGATATCCTGCCTTGGGACGCCGAGGATGTTTCGACCTTGATCGAATCAGACATGGAAGTCCTCTCGGCAGCTGCAGAGCTCATCGAGTCCACCTCACTGGACTCGCCCGCCTTCCGTCTCCTGTCCGTCTCACCGGAGCACTGGCCAAACCCAGCCTCGCAGCCGGCGGGTCTACGACATCGAAATCCATTAGAGCTCTACACGGCCTTTTTTGAGCGGGCCGCTCCGCCGCCAGCCTGGCAGGGGACCTCCCGGACGCCGGTGCCAGCGGATACACAGTCGCTGCAAGAAGCAGAAAAACAGTATGCGCAATGCAAGGCAGCAGTCGCGCGGAGCATCGTTGCCATCGCCGGAGAAGATCGTTGCATGGACGTGCTCTTTGGATCGGAGGCCTCGGGCTTGTCCGGCGCGTCGTGGTTTATCGACACGCTCAAGTCGTGGGCTTCGATGCGCCGCGGCACGAATCGCGACGATCTGGTCAGCATCGCATTGCTCACGCTCGGGAACTTGGCGCGGAAAGACTCGCACTGCGTTGCAATGATCGAGCAGCACGATGTTGGCACGCTGCTCGCACCTGTGCTCGCAGATGAGCAGGTGGACGTCAAGGTCGCGCATGGCCTGGTAGGCTTGCTCAAGAATCTCGCCATTCCGGCGCAGAACAAGGAACGGATAGGCTCGCTGGGCGTCATCGAGGCTGTCGGTCGCTTCTTGGAGCCATCCAAGGACATGGTGCAGCCGCTGCAATTCGGCACAGTTGGCCTGCTGAAGCACCTGTGCACAGGATCAATCGCCAACGCCGTTCGACTGGCTAACGGCCCTGTGCTCCACGCGTTGCTAGCTGTAAACAGGCGCACAGACGACGTGCCCACGCGTATGGAGAGCACGCGCGTGCTGTTCAACATCGTTAAGACCCTTTGGTCTGTCCGCGATGCAGACTCCGGCTCAACAACGACTGTTGCTGCCGCCGTCGCTGCTGCCAAGGCGGCCATCATGCGGTTCGAGACAGCAGAAGCGCTATGCGAGATGGTGCGAAACGGCGTCAAGTATCCCATCCTGGTCAATGAGGGTGTCATCGCACTGACGCTGCTTGCAACCGATGCGCGCGGGTCGCTCCTCGTCACGCAGGCGCTGGTGCAGCAGAAGCCTGCACAGGACGAAGACAACGACACGGCCAACAACAGTAGCAGCAACGGCAACGTCAAGGGCAGCAGCAGCAGCGCCACTAACCCGCATGACAACGACAAGGAGCGCCGGCTTCCCCAGCGCGAAGGCACAGCGGACAACACGGCGTCGCTGCCGCCTGCGTCGGCGTCGGACGCGCTGGGCATGCTCGAGAATGTACTCACGCGCCGTGATGCGCGCATGCCGCCGCAGTACGCGGCCAACGCGTGCTCGCTGCTCATTGCTATCTTCGAAGCGTCCAAAGGCGCGGGCACGGGTGCGGGCGCGATTGGAAGCAGAGGCGGAGCTACTGCTGCAGCACTAGCAGCAGGTGGCGGCGCAAGAGCAAAAGGGATCGTTGCTGGGGAGGAGATGGATATCAGCGTAGACTTGGCCGCCGCCGCAGATGCGCATCCGATCACCGCGATCGCTCGACGCATGAGCGATACCCTGCGTGGGCTGCAGGAACGCGGGCCTGCGGAGATGGTCGCTATGGCGGAGCGTGCGCTGCAGCTTTCTTCCCAGTGTTCGTCATGAGGGCGGTGCGGGCGTGCATGAGCAGCCAGCTTTTCGTCGTCGTGCGTATGCCTCCTCCAGCACATGCGCAGCCGGTGCGGTACGGCGCGGCTCCTTCGTATCTTCCCTCTTGTCTATATCTTTCTACCTCTAATCAGTCGCATGCAGCCAATTTTGCACTTCCACCTCAACCTTGCGTCACTTTCCTGACCAGACCAGCCATCGCATGTGCACCCATCGCATTTTCCAACGATCACCCAGGTTGCCCCCACGCCCTTGCCCACACCGAGTCTTGCAATTTTTATTTATTTATTTTGAGTTCTGGGCGTTGTCACCATCATACACCATGCTATTTCCCTCCTCATCATCATCGTCGTCATCACCATCACCATCATCGTCATCATCTCATCAATTCGATCAGTGTGAACATCCACATGCAGAACTTTAATCGCCGCCTTACTCAATTACAGTGCCGCATTCTTCGCGTTCCCCTTCTTCCCCCTCCTCATTTTTGCCGCCTTCCTCGCTCTCTTCCTTTTGCTCTGGACGATCGACGCGGTTTGCTAGCGCTCTCTCTCTCTCTTTTTCTCCATTTCGCCATTCCGCATGATCTTGGTCCTTGTGACGCCACTTCCCTGTTGTTGCCTGTGCGTGATTCGTGACCCCATGGGGCGTGAACACTGGGGGCAGCGAGATAGTCGAGCCTCCTCTGCTCTCCCTGTTGTCTCTTGCCATCGACACAGGCTTTCGGTGTACATTCCATCGCATGCAATCAGATGCCGTCTCTAGGGTTAGGTCCAGTGTGCAAGACGTCTTCTCTGCGTTTGCTGACGCCGTCAAGTGCTAACAGGGTACGTACGAGAGCTACTTGCATGTATGCCCATCACCTCATCACTGTGTGTCTAAGCAGTTCTCATCAGTACCCGGACCAACCTTCAAATACGAAGGATGCTTCGAAGGTATGCTGTCTCATCAGCAAGCATGCGCACCTCTCCGACAGAATACACCGCCGACGAGACCCGTACAGCGACTGATAAGGAGAGCGCGCGCAGCAGCTGCAGCCAGCCGGGGGACTTGTGGGATGGTCAGTGCGCAACCGGGGCAGCGGCACTGCAGCAGTCTCGGGCGAACAGACTAAACATAGCGCACGCCATGTGGGCACCCATCATCGACAACACGATCATTAGGCGGCTGCTTTGGTTGCAATAAATTGGCTGTGCCGTAGTACAATTGCCGTCGTCGCGCGCATGCTCGAGGACAGGATCCACGCTGCCTGCTGTCACCATCGCCGTCCTCGGCGACGTCTCGTCGTAGTAGCGCCCAGAGCTGCTCAAGCTGACCCTCGTTGAACCCTCCCGATAGGTGCCTCGACAACGGAGACAGAGTAGAGCTGTCTACACCATGGCGCGTCTCCCCGTGTCCAGTCTGGTGAGCCTCGCCTTGAGCGTCGCCGCTCTGGGAATTGCCAATACGGGTGCCTCGCCGTCATCACCCCATCACCAGCTCTCCTTTCAGCCTGATGCCTCGAGTGGCGTCTTTACTCATGCGCAACACGCCGATGACCTCCTCAAGCAAGCTGCCAGCGCGGTTGGCCAAGCCGGCTCGGCCAGCAGCAGCACCGTGCAAGATGATCCGTTTAGGCAGATGATGGGCTCCTTCGCACCTTCATCCTCGCTGCGAATCGAGCTGCCGTACGAAAGCGTTGAGGCGAGCAGTATGGCCGGTGCCGCGGCCAGGTCAGTAGAGCAGATGATCATCGAGCATAGTAACAAAACGGGCGGGATGCACGCCATCCTGACGCATCGCGAGTTCCCCGAGGTCTCCGTCCGCATCAAGCACATCTCCTCCGGAACTAAGGCAAAGGCAGCAACGGGGCAAGTGCACTACTCGGCAGCGGAGCAGGATCGCTCAGACCCAGATGCGTTCTGCGACCCGGGGGTGTCGAGCTGGTCCGGCTACATTGACACGATCGACGGCAAGTCACTCTTCTTCTACTTTTTCGAGTCGCGCTCCAATCCGGACAAGGACCCGGTCCTGTTCTGGACCAACGGAGGTCCGGGCTGCTCCTCGTCGCTTGGCCTTTTCCAAGAGCTGGGACCGTGCCGCGTCGAGCTGGGCTCGTCCAAGCATGCGACAGGACCGCCAATCAACGGGACAGAGGTGAACCCGTACGCGTGGAACACGCGCGCCAATACCATTTTCATCGACCAGCCCGTCGGCGTCGGGTATAGCTACACGCGCTACGGCGTGCACGTCGGCGACACCGAGTCGGCGTCGCACGACGTGTACAAGTTCTTGCGCATCTTCTTCTCCGCCTTCGACCGCTTCCACGATAACGGCCTCATCCTATCTGGCGAGTCGTATGGCGGTAGGTATCTCCCCATCTTTGCCAGCGAGGTAGTAGACCGGAACCAGGCGTACGAGCTTCAGGCGCAGAAGCACGGAAAGACGAAGCCGAGCAAGGAGCAGATCGTGCCGCTCAAGAGCGTGCTTATCGGCAACGGGCTGACAGACATCAGCAGGCAGGTGCCGCAGTATTACGACTTGTGAGTTTCTTCCCATTTGCGCTTTGAGAAGTGCAAGAGAAGCTGAGGAATGCATGGGTTTGGATCGCCCCCGCACAGCACATGCACGAAGAAGGGCGGCTTCAAGCCTTACCTGTCCATCGAGCAGTGCACGCGCATGAAGGTCTACCGGGACAAGTGCGCTAAGGAGCTAGCCGTCCACGTGAGTCGGGAAAGTCGAACGAGATTATCTTAAATCTTGAACAGTCAGCTGACCCATGATCTCCCACTGCAAATGGGATCGGGGTTGCCAACATTTCCCCAGTGCCGTGAGAGCTACAATGCTGACAAATGTGCAGATCTTAACATGGTCTGCCAATCGGAGCTGTTTGGCGTCTACGCGCAGACGGGTGAGCGATGCATCTTAATCACGACCCTTGTTTTGCGTGCCCACCTTTCGGAATGGATCATCTTTGCTGACCGTCTGCGTCATTTGCTTGCGTGGGTAGGTCGAAACCCCTACGATATCACCGACGATTGCAAAGCGGGCCTTACTCCCAGTGCGTGTCTTGCTATGACCCATGCAACTCGCACTATCCTCTCATTCTTATTGCATCCTCCGCAGACCTGTGCTACCCCGTCTCAGCTGACATCCGCAACTACCTAGACCGCGATGACGTGCGCTCGCTCATCGGTGCGGCACCGAAGAGCCAGATCGGCAAGTTCCGCTCGTGCAACTTTGAAGTCGGCGCCAGCTTTGAGTGGCACTACGACAGCCTGCTGGACAACTCGCGCAACATCGCGGGCTTGCTCGAGCGCGACATCGACGTGCTCATCTATGTAGGCGAGAAAGACGTCATCTGCAACTGGCTCGGCAACAAGGCGTGGGTCATGGACCTCGAGTGGTCCGGCAAGGACGCGTTCCACGCCAACAAGCTGCGAAGGTGGCGTGTCGACGGCGACGATGCCGGCGAGACGCAGCACGGCGGCGGCCTCACGTGGGCCACGATCAAGGGCGCCGGCCACAGTGAGTTCTATCGTATATGGCACAGCCCGCTGGCCGTCCAGAGCTGACCTCCGAGGCCATTTGTCCTTGCAGTGGCTCCGTACGACAAGCCTGCAGCATCCCTTGCGATGCTCCACCGCTTCCTCGACGGCGAGACGCTGTGATAAGCTCTCCCTCGCCCTCGCTAAGGCCCGAAGAGCAAACAGGAGTGACGACGAGAAGGAAGGCCAGTCCAACAGACCTTGCACTGACGCACGCCGCGGTTTCCACGGGTTTTAATGCTGGGCCGGAGGGCTCGTCACGTCGGGTGCGCTTCTGCCAGATGGCAACGACCCCGTGGGAGAAGGAATTACCCAATGTCTAGGCATCGGGTAAGTCTGTAGAACGGATATGTTCATCCATAATGCTGCAATGCAATCAGTGCTCTGGCGCTGCGGAATCAAACATAGCAACAGCAGATGATGACGGAAATGAGATCATGAGACAGGAGAGAGCCGGAAACCCTCTGCAACGAGGGGTTTTTTGGAGTTAGAATGATGCAGAGATCCCTGACGATGTTCGTTGTCACCTGTCAGGCCGTCACCGGTCACCTGTGCGGACTGTGCGCTGTGCCGTCCCCGGATCCTGGCGCATTGAGAGATTGGAGACCTCCTGTGACCTTGTCTTCACCCTAACATGTGAAACATGCCTAAACCAGAGCCCTACAGAGTGCATATGAACAGAGATCCGATCATCTGGTTGCTACCTGCTTGCGAGTACTGCATACCATACACATATGCATGCAATAGGCCGTATGGACCATGGAGGCGTTTGAATGCAAGAACCTGTGTGAGACCTGGTGAAACAACACAAAGAACACGCCGCGGACTCGGCATTTAAATACTCTTCTCATCGTGTCATGTCGCGAGTGGCACTGCGGCAGTGTGCACTGCTTTCCCTTCTCCCTAGAAACAAACACTCAAGACAACCCCCCTCATTCTCCTTCGTCCTTCGTCGCGGTCAACATTCTTTGCCCCCAACGGTCTGCCGGTCTCCGTCGCTGTTGACGACGACGGGTTTGCATCATCGTCTTTCACCCCCTCGTGACTCGTGGGGACTGGGAACTGCGGAGGTCCGCACTCTGGCAGTCTGCACGGTTACCTATTCTTACCAGCTGCTGCCTCCCAACTGTGCTTCATATCGTCACCATGAGCAACCTGAGAATCTGGATCCCCTTCGTGGAAACGCATCGCTCCGAGGTCCAGGGAACCGTGCCAGGCCACGCCCATAACGCATAATAGCGGAGTACACCTCCGAATTGACTTCCGACAAGGACCGTGCTCTATCCGCTGTAACATACTGTGAAGACTGCTCCCAAGCTCCAGCGGGTTCCGGCGCTGCAACTTCCTTCAAGTTCTCGATCCCCGCGATTCGGCTGTTCCTCGAAGCAAGCGCCCTTGCGGCCAACAGCAAGGAAGCGATGCCAGTGCGGTCCGCTATGCCGGTTCATAACGTGTTGTTTACAATGTGTATGTATGATGACGCACAGCGATGAGCCGAGGCCGCATGGACGGGACTAGAATGCCTGACGACACTTCGATGTTGAGGAACAGACACACCTCCCATCGTCGTGTGATCCGGAAGAGTACAGATGCCGAAGGCGACGGTGGTTTGCGCCGCTGCAGACGGCAAGAGTGGAACTTTGGCGGTCAGATGGTTCACACTCTTCGTTTGTTCCGTCTCAAAATCTTGTCTCCTGGCTCTGGATACTCATCAACAGCATGCTCCCTGCTACCCATCGAACTGCCAATGTTTCAGAAAGGCTCTGGCTGAAAGGGCCTAATCTTGAGGAAATTGACAACGTGATCTGTCGTCGCTCATCAGTGCTGCACATGAAAGGAGTCTCTTTAGAGCAACGCTGTGAGCGGTGTAAGGTAGCTGGACAGCTCCTTTCCATCTAAGGCGACTCCGCTCAGAATCGCTTAAATGCAGCATAAACCGGCTTGAGCATATTGGCAGATGAAAGTGCCAGCCATCCACCCCTCATGAGAAACTCCTGTTCACGACTCTCCTCAGCGATCAAAGATCATGCGACTGACCCGGGTCTTCAAGAAGCGCTCACCAAGCAAGGTGGACTCGCTCGCGGAGCGCCGAATCCCAGCAGAGTGGCTGTATGACCAAAGCGAGCAACCTGTGCTGTTCGCAGCAGCAGAAAGTCATGCCGACAAGCACGATGATGCCGTGGCCGACAGGTGCGCGGAGCTGGACTTTGAAAGTCACTATCTGCGCCGACGCAGGTCGTCAGTTTCTTCGGTCGAGACCGGGTCGTCGGTGCCGAGCAGATCCAGCTGCACAGTCTCCTCTTCTTTCATCTCCCCCTCGCCGCGAGGAAGCTGGTGTACCCCATCGCCATCTTCGCAGCGGGCATGCGCGGAGCAACTGCTCGACGCCGATTCACCCTTGCGGCGACACATCCAAGGCGCCACGGCACGCGAGTGGTCTCCCGGTCTCATGCGCCAGAATGCTTGTGGGGACGAAGACGCTTTCGCACCCCAGGAGGCGGCAGAGTCGGAGGCAGAGCCTGACCCTCAGTGGTCGCTCCCAGCCCCACGACCGCCACCGATGCTGCGTCAGCATTCGGGCGCTCCATCCTTTCTATCGCTTCCACGTACGGTCTCAACCGGTTCGCTGGACGAGCTGTGGTCAACGTCTGATACCTCTTCTAACGCAAACTTATCACCGCTTCCTACACCCTTGCGCCCAGCATTGGCGGGTGTTCAGCACGCCGCGCCACCTGCGCCGCTGGCCTTATCGCCACAATCTGCAGCCGAGCGTACAGCGAATAAGCACTTTCACAGCTTACCCACGAGCCTTGTCTCTGCCAGCAGCAAGCGCCCGACAAGCTTGCTGCACGCCCGTTCGCTGGCACGTGCGGCGGAGAAGGAGCTGCGAAAGTCGTTCAAGGACAACTTCATGCTCGACCTCGGCGGTAAAGCAGTTTCGCTCGCCATGATGCCTAGCCCGCGAGTGGAGCTGCAGAATCCGCTCTGTGTTCATCGCCATTCCGCAAGCGGCGCTGGCTGGATTTGAGCGGCCGTCGATATCACTTCCAACCCCGAGTTCGTCTTTTCCTTCGAGCTTCGCTTCGCCGCATTGCTACATCCGCTATTGCATCCCATATTCTCTTTGCGGGGCCTCCCCAAGGCCTCACTCTCTTTGCTGTATCGTAGCACAACATCGCATCGCATCGCATCGCACCGCACCGCACCGAAATGAGGGTGAATTTGAAATGAAGGATGGCTGAGATTCTGTTAAGCTTTGCTGAATGGTAATTGCGTATGATACACAACACCGGTCACTCCTCGTCTGTGGGATTCACTGACTTTGGGGGGGCAGTGAGCAACGAGTCTTCTCGCGTCTTTGCTCGCCAGTCCCAGCGGTTCTGCCAAGGTAGAAGGATGTTATGGAAGGAGAGGGAGAGAGAATGGATCAGCCTTGTCGCCGCCCGGGTGCGCCGAGGCTGGGCGCCTGGCCGGCCATTGTGCTGGCATGAGTGCTCACGTCAGAGAATTTGGCAATGCCGTAGGTCAGTGCTGGGATCGCGATGCCCCAGAAGAGGAAGACCCTGGTTTTGGAGGGGGTGAAGCGAAAGCGCTCGTGCATCGAAGAGTGCTGACGAGCCAGAAGTGGGAAGCAGGCAGGCGCAAAGGCTATCAGCTCTGTTCTCTCAAGCTTCGAAGAGGTGGTATACCCTGCCTCATTGCATGCTAGCTACCCACCATCGCCTGCCACCGCTCGATGGCGGGGTCCACTTTGAACGAGTCTGCAAGGTTTTCATTGAAAATGTCAGCTCAAGATGGGCTTGCACGCACGCGGAGAGGAGGACCTGTCCTCGGATGGCAAAATGGCAGGCACTACTCACGATGATCACCGGCCATCTTGTCTAAGCTCCCACTCCTAGTGTTTCTCTGATGTGGGGGGGGGTAGCCTTGGAAGCTTACTGCGTACAGATGACTGGCATGTTGTACGAGGCAAAGTACAGTATGACGATCGTCCTCTCCCTCTTGGGTCAAGACTTGAGGTTCGAGTCGCCAGAAGGAGCGACAGTAGGTCACGTGCGAATCTTTTGACGCGCGACCACACAGAATCCAGGCACAACCGAAGGTCCACAGCGAAAGCGTTACGAAATGTGTACCCATCCTGAGGAGCTTCGTCAGACCTCGACATTCATCAGAAAGGAGGAGACTGACTTCCCCCAAGCAGACAAACCATAAGAGCAAAGGCTGGTGTGGTGAAAAGTAGCGACATGTCATCGAAATACGGCGGCCTCCCAGACATCGTGAGCCCCTTGGTGCAACGGAGCGCGATACTTCCCAGCTGACAGCCAACCACTCTCCCTGAACCAGGACACAGCGCCGGACGTATACGAGACCGAAGATGTCCTGGAGAGTTCTAGCATCTCGGCACGTGTGTCTTCTTCTCGAAAGAGGGACCACGAGTTTGGGAGAGGAAGCAGCGGCAGCAAGTCTGGGTCGGGTGGCGCGGCCGCGACGCAGAGCGAAGACATCGATAACAACGGTCTCAGTGTCGCTGAGGCCGCGAGGCGATTCCAGAAGAGCACACGAGTCGATGCAGCTTGCGCAGGTGAGTTCGAACTCCTTTTTGGTACATAGGTTTAGAGGAGATGGATGACACGCACCCTTCGTACCGCCCCAGACTTTTCCGGTACACTGAAACGTAAGCCACGAGCAGCGGCGCAGATCTACCCCGTTACCGCGTCCTTCGAGACGGAGACCTATGAGCTTGCTGGGTACTCTTCTACAAATGGTCTTCGAGATGGCGCAGGTCCTTCTGAATCGCGCGTCGACAAATTACGGAGATTGCGGTGGGAGATCGAAGAGCTGGAGCGTGAAGTCTTCGCATCTGCATCGGCATCTACGTCCGGCACAGGCATTGCTGCTGGGGAGGGGGATGAGAGTGAACGACAAGCAGCGGCGAAAGGGGGACAACGAAAGGACAAAGACGTGGTCCCTCCTGCAGCGATCTTGGAGCAGCTAGCCGGGCTCTCCAGCTCGCTCTCTCGCGTAGAAGCAGCAGCAGCATCTGCGAACCGAGCGGGCGAGAGAAACGAATGGGCAGACGCGACACGAGAGCTCATCAGGAGCTTGGACGGCGTCCGAGTCGGCAGCACCACCAGCAGCAGTGACACTAAGGATGCTGTTGGTGGCGAGGCACAAGGTTCAGCGGCAGCTACCGCTCTTCAAGAGGGAACGACACTGCCACTGCCACAGCTGGAAGGCAAAGTGGTGGAGCTGGAAAAGTTCGTTGGCGTGCGCGATATCTTGATGGACGAAGTGAGTGCGGCGACTGCAGGTGATCAAGCCGGAGGCGGCTGCTGATCTGGACTCTGCTTGAACGCCGCCTGCGTGTTTTGCTCGGTGCACAGACAAAAGGACTGCAGAGACCACTGATCGAGTCGGTTGCGCGCCTGGAGCACCAGCTCACGCTGCTCACGCAGCCGCGGCAGCTGGACGCGATCAGTCGACGCGTCAAGGTGCTCTCTACCGAGCTAGAGCGATTGCACGAGACGAAGCGTAAGGCGCCTGCTGGTGCTGGTGTGGGCGATGGTAGAGGCGCGGCTGCTGCTGCTGCGAGCCAATCCCCAGCAGATGGAGGCAAGGGTGCGGCAAGGGAAGGGGGAGGAGGGGCAGGAGCGGGGTTGGGAGTAGGGAAGCTGGATGCAGAAACGGCGCAGAAGCTCTCGACGCTGTTTGCGCTGCAGAAGCGACTGGAGCCGCTGATCCCGCTCGGGGGCTCGCTGCTGGGGCGGATGCGCTCGCTGTCGGCGCTGCACGCATCGAGCAGCTCGTTCGCGCGGCGGCTCGACGCGGCGATGCAGGCGGATGCGCAGCTGCGCCGCGGGCAGGAGGAGCTGCGCGCGCTGCTGGACGAGGCGCAGGAGAGCCTGCAGACCAACGCGTGCGCTGTTCAACGCAACTTGGACGCTACCGAGACGCGGATAGAGGGCCTAATGCAGCGGCTGAATCGCCTCGAGCAGCCGCAGGAGAAGTAGAGGTTCGTTGCGTTGTATTGCAATGGGTCGCAATGTGAGGGATGTACAAGATGCGCATTTGAGCGCATAGGCATGTGAGCTGCCTCCCCCACTTCCGCCTCCATCTCCTCAATTCATTATTCTGTTGTGCTACACACCACCTCCTTTTGGGCCACCTGGCAGCCTCGATATCGAGCACCGACCCCCAATCCCTTTTTCCAGCTGGCCCTCCTCGTCGTCTGCGCTGCCGTGGCGCGCTACCGGAGACGCACGCACACACTTGACGTAACACATGATCTCTCTTTTCTCGACAACGGCAAAGGAGGAGGAGGAGGTTGACGTGCCGATCGACGACCCAGTCACTGGTGTCCATACGCCTACCCAGAAAAGGTGCTGTGACGCGCGTGGGTTAGTCACTCCCCTTCCCCTTGGCTGAGAGGAGCGTGAAAGGAGAGAGCAGAGAGGCGTGGGGCGCGCGCGCGGAGCGGACTGTAGCGCCGCCTCTTTGCACGCTGCGCCTGCGTGCCCACTACGGGACTTGGGAGCGTGTGCTGTGTGCTGTGCTGCTGTATGTATGTATCCAATCAATTGCAGGGACATACATTTAGCGCGACTCAATTGCCCGGTGGGTGCTCCAGTGCCAGTGGGGGGGGGGAGGGTTGAGTGCGCCGAGCAACCCCCCCCGTGCACGCGGTCCTCCAGAAGATCGATCGGCGGGCGGGCACTCTCTCCGACTGCGGCAGGTAGATAGAGAGACTGGCCCAGTCCCACTAGTGTTTACCAACCCTGGTGCACCTTTCCTTTCTCTCCCTCTCTCCATGATCATCCATCACACCTTGCCGTCGCATACGGAAGGGCAGGGTGCATGCACATGTGCGCATGCGCGTCGAAGCTCGTACCACGAAGGCCGTCTCATCCAGAAGCACCCGCTGCCATCCTAGCGCCAGGAGACCGTAGGCGACCCCCGGCACCCGAGCCCGGACGCACGTGCACGCACTCGACCCAGTGGCCGCGCTGCATCTCGCACATCGCCGGCTTCTACCAAAGCCAAAGCCGGAGACAAGAAGCTCGCCGCCCACATCACTTGGGCTTGCAGGAAATATACGTGTTGCGTGATCGTCAACGCAGCCGGACGGGGCAGACTGCACAGGGTTGCTGCCGCCCCGCCCACGTGGAGTAGACGCCTAACGCAAAGCAGCCAGAAAGTAGTCGGCGCCGCCTTTGTCTGGCTTGCCACTTGGCGCGCCCTCATGTCCATGTCCGTGCTGCCCATGCTCGTCTCACTGCAGCAGCTGCACTGCCGTCCCCGCCCCTGCTGCTTCCACTTGCTGGCTAACGAGCCACCCCAAACACATTGCGCTTCCCAACACCACCCCTCCTTCCTCCCCCGACGTAGAGTGGACACGGGACGCGCTTCCGCAAGTCGGCGCGACGAACCGCAACGATCCACCGCGTCCCCGGAGCTCAGCTCGCGAAAGAACCACATTGACACTGAGCCAAGATGGGGACCGTGCCGCACACCAACATGGAGGACCTCTCCGCCGATGACGACCTGCTCTCGGACATTCTGCTCGACCACCTCGAGTGGGAGCAACCCATCTCGACGCACAAGATGAACCCGCAATATCGCTCGCCTCGCTTCGACACTTCCGAGGCGTCCGGCATTGTCCGCCGCTTCTGCGTCGAGATGCAGGACGTCGTTGCCGGGGTCGAGGCCATCTGCCAGATGAGCGTTGTCAAGAAGCTGCTCCAGCGGAAAAGCTCGCGGCAGCAGGCTGCGTTTCAAGCGTGAGTTTAAAATATCACATTTTCTTCGTGTTGTTTCTCTGCGGACTTTGAGGCGCAAGCGAGCTGCTGCTAACTGCCTGGTCCCACTTCTCCCCCCTTTCCGCTTCATGGCCTGGGCAGCCATGCACGCCGATACCTCGAGTGCTATCTGCCCGACAGCGGCGTAGAGTTTGCGTTGACCATGCGCTACAAGCAGTCTCCCGGCGCACCGCTGCGCTCGCGCAAGCACAGGGCCATGCTCCGCGCCGCGCAGGAGGGCCTCGAGATGCGGGCAAGTGGCAGTGGCGTTGTGAAGGAAGAGGGCGAGCATCGTGGGCAAGGCTTCAGCGCCGCGAACGGGCGGAAGACAGAGGGTAGCGGCGATAAGCCGGGTACGAGCGCCAGCGCCAGCATGATTGCCAACGTCGACTTCGGGGCTACCTCCCTCAGCAACCTGCCGCCACTAGCGCCACCGGGTGTATCGATGACAGACAGCGCACTGCTTTCCAAGGCCGACCTGTGCATCCTCGCTGTGCGCCCGTTCAAGCCGGGGGACCTGATTACCGCGTGCAAAGGCGGAATCACCGACCTGAGCAAGGAGGAGGACGAGGCGCTACGCGAGGAGGCGGCGCACTTTCGCGCGCTCAAGCATGGGCATGGCCAGGGCCATCCGGATCCTGGCGGCAACGATGCCGACAATGAGGGCGGCCCTGCTGGGCCTGGGCCTGTCTCCGATGAGGCAGGCGCGGCGCGGCGGAGTGAGGGCCATGCACATGGGGCGGAGGTCACAGTGACAAAGGGGAATGGCAAGGCAAAAGTGGAACCGGGCACGGACGCTGACGCGGGTGCAGACGAGGGGCACATGTCAGGACTTGCTGATGCATTGAGTGATACAAATGGCGATGCAGGGCATATGGCAGCGACAGAAGATGCGTCAGCGGCCGCGCGCCTGCCTGCTCTTCCCTCTGCCGGCGCTGGCATCGGGACGCGGATAGGAAGACGGGCACGAGGTTTCAAGTACAAGGGCGTGCTCGGTGCCGGTCGGGACTTCTCCGTCGTCAGGAGCGCGAGAAAAGGGTGCAGCCAGCTTTTCCTTGGTCCGGCGAGGTTCATCAACGTGAGTTGTGCTGCTTCTTGCGTCCGGCGCTGCCTGCACTGCACAGCCGATGTCTGATACGCCGCGTGCCCTCCTTCCCTCCTCATGATGTGCGCAGCACGACTGCGAGCCGAATGTTGAATTCTACCGTATGGGCTCGCAGATGACCTTCCGCTGCATCCGCCCGATCGCGGTCAACGAGGAGATCGTCACATACTATGGAGACAATTACTTTGAGCTCGGCAACGCCGAGTGCCTCTGCGCCACCTGCGAGGCGCGGGGCACTGGCGCCTTTTCGAGCGTCGTCAAGACGGAGGACGTGGCATCTGGGTCGGAGGATGTTAAAACCGCGGCTGAGCTCGATGGCATTAGCAGCACCAACGGCGAAAATGGTAGCGGTGTTGGCGGGGAGGATGGAGGAGGCGCCATGGGCCTGGGCCTCGCCGACATCTCGCAGCAGCACCTTGCCAATTCCAACGGCAGCGCCGGCATACAGCGCAGCATGAGCAATGGTATGCTCGATGACAGCGCAGACAGGGATGAAAAGAAGGGCATCGGCCGGCGCGGCGCCTCGCGGCGGCCTGCGGCAATTGCCGCATCCGCGATCGGGTTCAACGAGTTCGGGCGTAACTACTATGCCAGCCACATGAGCGCTTCCGAGGGCGATTGGGCCGAGATGATGTACAAGCGCTCCAACAGTAGCACCAAGGACGGCAACCTGACGCGAAAGCTGCTCGACGAGCCCGAGGCGTTACTCGAGTCCGCCGGCGGCGGCAACAAGGGCCCTGAGCGCGAGTGCGTCACGTGTGGTGCGCGTTTTTGGAGCAAGGAGACCTGGTGGAGGCAGGAGGAGTGCCAGCGCTGTGAGCGCCATTACAAGATCTTCAAGGCTGACTGGCCCGGCAGGGTGCCCACCGAGAGCCTCATCGCGCGCAGCAAGGGAAAGAAGCCGGGCGAAGCGGTGCTCACGCCTGGTAAAGAAGAAATTCCTACCGAGCACGCGAGCAACGGCAGAGCAAGGGAGAGGGAGAGGGCGCCATCGCTGCCCAAGAAACGCGCATCGTACACCGTGCGTGAGCGCCGGACTGCGTCCTTTGTGTCAATGCGCAAACGCGACGTATCCAGTGAGTCGTCCCAGTCCAGCATCTCCTCTGCCTCTGCTTCTTTCGGCGGCACTCCCGTCGTCCTCACCCCGCTCCGCGACGGCATCGGCCAGGGTACAGATGACAACGCCACGTTGACGAGGAAGGCACCGCGCAAGAGCAAGACGGCTCTGGCTGCGCATGCGGCTGCGGCTGCGCCGCCCATCGCGCCGGAATTGTCTGCGGCAGGGGCAGGGGCAACCGCTGCGCCAACACCAGCTAAGGCAGAGGCGGAAACGGCACCAACCGTTTCCCCGCTCAAGAAGCGCGGTCGCCCGAGGAAATTGGACAAAGCCAAAGCGGAGCACTTTCCCACCACTGCTGCTGCTGATGGGCTTGATGAAAACGCTATCGATGAGATCCTCGGTGACAGGGCGCGCAAAGTAGGTGCGGCCGCGGATGAACACGACTCTTCGGATTTGAGCAGCGTATCTTCACTTTCCCAAGTCGAGTGTATAGAGACGCCGGTTGCAGCGGGGGCGTCGGTAGCGGAAGCCGAGCAGCAGCCTCCGCCCTCTGGGCCAGCTAGTGGCAGATCCGGCGAGGCGTCGCGAGGTGAGCAAGGGCAGAGTGAAGATGGCCTGCTGGGAGGATCGCAAGGCCAGAGCCCGTTGGCAGAGGATCTAGAGTCGTCGTCATCGGCAGCGACGGGCCCAAAGATGCTTGGCAAAGACGCCAAGACGGAAACGCTGGCCATGTATTGGGGCGCTGTCAATGGCGATCGCCGGTCGCGACGCAAGTCGATCAGTGGCGGACCCAACGAGAGAGCGTCACTTGGAACGGCGCCCGCTGCCGGCCCGGCACCGTCGAGCCGCAGAATTGTTTCCGCTGGGCATCACCAGCACCATCTCCGCCGGTCTGCGGAAGACAGCCGCAGCTCCTCGCGCAACCTCCCGAGTCCACAGGCTTCCCCCGGCCCTGTTCGCAAGAAGGCCCGCATCACCGAGAGCGAGGATGGCAGTGATGACCCGATGCCGAGTCGCAGTGACGATGGGCACGATGCCAAGAAGGATGAGGACTTCAGCAGCATCTCATCAGAGGGCTCATCCTCGAAGGGCGGGCCTGTCCCAGGCCTGGCCACTAAGGGCCCAGCTCGGACTTCGGTACAGAACTTGGCCCTCGCTTGGAGCGCCGGCACCGAAGGGGGCAGGACGCGACGGCGCGCGGCCAATCAGCCGGTCAAGTTGGCGACCCCACCAGCCTCCTCGACATCTAACAAACGGCGCCGCCTCTCTCGCGAAGGAAGTACGGAGAGCAGTCGCGCGGGTAGCGCGAACGTCGACGACGATGCACTTACCGCACGCGCGCGCGGCCGTCCTCGCAAAGTGCAATCCGAAGCTACTCTCTCACCTGCAATCGCAGCCGCTGACCTGACGGATGTGCACACGCATGCGCCACGCGCCGACAGTCCTGCACCCACTGCGCATATCAGAGGTAGTGCTCCGCCAGAAGCGGACGAAGGACGCCAGCGCTCGGTCGACTTCAAGCTCAAGGACGAGATCATTGGCGACGAGGCTGGGTCAGCGGTGGCCGACGATTCGGCCGAGGCCCCCAGTCCACCACCTCAGGGGCATTCGCGGACTGGATCCTCATCCACATTCCCTTTGCCACTCCCTCTTCCCTTCGCCAACAGGTCCGCAGTCATGAATGTGGAGAATATTCCGCTGCGGCAGCCTGCCAGGAAGAACCTAAGATGGGGCAAGGGCAAGACGACGGCAAGTCGGCCTTTGCCCCCGCTAGGTCCAGGCATCCCTCAAGCGCCCTCACAGGTGGGCATGGAACAGCTATCGCCGGGGCAGGCAGCATCTGTGTCTCCCGTGCCAGACGAGCCGATCATCCAAGGCGTGCAGATCGCCAGCCCTGGTCATGTTGGCATTATGGTACAACCCGTGATGGCCTCATCTGTCAGCTTGCAAGCGGCTATTGGCCAAGTGAATGGGGAGGCTGGCACAACTGCCACGGTGGCCACATCTTTCGCTGACAGCGCGACGGGTCTCCCGCTTCTGGCTCCGTCTGCACTGGTCAAGGAAGAATAAATAAGCCCAGTAGCACAATGTATTTGCTGGCTCGTACACTTTATCTAGTGCACCAAGAATCTATTGGCATGCACGGGCTTCGCCTTTGATTGCGGTGTTAGCGATGGATCTACAGGCTCTTGCTATCTTCAGCATGCTCCTTCCCTTTCCCATCAGTGACCTCCGGCGATGAGGGCTGCACCTCATCGTCAGCCGGCAGGATGCTGAGACAGCGCGTGAGATCCTCGACAGAATTCCATATCTGCTGATCGATGCGGTGCAAGACTCTCAGCCTTTCCTCAATTCCTCGCCGCGTCAGCCGCGATAGGTTTTCTAGCTGCTCCCTGCTAAGTTCATCACCGTCGACAGCCAGGCTGTCCATGTAGTCCTGCAGCGATGCAGTCCTCTGCAATGATGGCTGAGAGACTTGAAGGATAGGGGTCAAAGTAACGCCACCACCACTGCCGTAGCCGCTGCCAGGCCTGGTTTCCCGCTCTCCTGTCTGTGGAGACACTGATGCTGTTGTTGAATTCTCCGGTAAATGTTGTCCCTCTTCCGCTTGAAAGCGCTTCAACCTCGCCTCCCGAGATCTGCGCATTTCATCTTGAGACACTGCCGCGCCACAACTCTCATCATCTGCTTCTTCATGTTCTTCTTGCGTTTCCCTCTGTACAGGGCCATCCGATTGGTTGCTGCTTGGCCCGTTTCCCTCTTCAACAGCAGCTGCGCTCGGCACGACTGGAGAGCTCGACCAAGAGAATTGACCGCCTTGGATGACCGGAACCCGTGTCGGTGGTGGTACTGCTGCGCGCAGACTAGCTGGATCCCGCAAGGCTACGCCCCGGGTTGCGGTGCTGTTCGAAGTGGAAGAGGCGCCACTGAGAGCCGAATTGAACGTGTGATTGCGCATGAATGCTCGCAACCGCGCGTCGGCTTCTGCCCCTGATGCCGATGCTGATGCAGGCCAACCTGATGAGTAAGCACGCCAGTCGCGCGAGGCTTGTTCTGAGTGCGATGTGGGAGCATCTGAGGTGATACCCTCAGCATTCGCCCTCCTATGTGCGGATTCCGCAGGTGCTGCTGTTGACGCAGTAAGCCAGGGAGTAGGCTCAGTGCCAGAAAGCACTTGTGCTGGCGCTGGTGGCGCTGCGCGATGACCTGGTGTAGCTGCAGGCGGCGCAACCGCATTAGTGGATGTGTGTGGCATCTGCGGTAGTTGCGGTGGTGCAGCAGGAGCTGCTGCTGCTGAAGGATCTGCATTCGCCTCTCCCGTTCCTTGGGCGGCGGCAAGGGCCGGGGTCGTGGTCGATTGTACAGCGGGGTCGTTGAAGACGGTTCTTCTACACGTGGGACAGCTCTGCTGCCTTTCCAGCCAAGCCCTAAGGCAGTGGAAGTGGAAGATGTGCCCGCACGGCAGCTTCTTGGGCGTGTGGTTGAGCCCGTTGGAGTACGTCGAACTCGGTGCATCAGGATCGCCAGCGATGACCATCTCTTCCCTGCAGATGATGCAGGTACCGTCCGACATGACTTGCATGTCCACTGCTGTCGCGGACGGATAGCGACCGTCCATATTCTTCGTTGCGGCACGGTAGCGGATCAGATCCCGGATCTTCGAGAAGAGCGACCGACCCGTTAGGTACACATCTCGAACAATGTTCAACGGTAGGCCGTAATAAGTGAGGATCATGGCAAAGAAGGTGAGGTAGATGGCAAGCTTGAGGAAGTCTGTTTCGTGAAGAAGAAAAGAACAAAGCAGGAGGGATGAGAACGTATGAGAACGTGAAAGCTCTTGGAAACAGGAAGGAGTTTCATCTACGACTTACCGGTAATCAGGTCAATGCCAAAGAAATACATGCTCTTGCCTTCCCACGGCTCCTCGCTTCGCGCATCGATGCAATTGATAGTGTATTTACCAATCGTCGACAACATGTTGACTAGCAAAATGGAAAACTGCATGTTTTATACCCATATATTGTATCAGCGTTCCATTCGGCGGCTTGGGCAGTTTTTGTAGTACACTCACCTCGCTGGTGAACATGATCATCATGCCCACGCGACGGTTTTCGAGCAGTACCTCGACTGTGAGTGCGACCAGCAGCAGGTCGATCATAAGCAACATCCCCTGCACGCAGATCATGCGCAAGTGAAAGATAGCCGTTAAGGACGGAGATTGCTCCATCTGATCCCAGCGCGCCAGGTACATTAGCACATCAGACGATTACTCAAACCTGCCAAGAGACAGCAGCGGACACATGGAACTCACATACTCGACTCGGTCAGCAGTAAGCCAATGGAATGCCTTCATGATCAAGAGGGTTCCAAACAGCAGAACAAAGCTGGCGTCGAACTCGCTGCGGAAGATGGTTGTAGCGAGCAAGCTTTCCGTGATGGCGTACCACATACGCTCGTAAAGATGCTCTGTTTCGACGGCGCGGAGCTGGCCAAAGAAGATCTTCTGCATCACCCTTGCGAAAGACAACGTCAGGAAAACTCCGAAGTTGAGGAGCACCTGGAGAACGGAATGATCGGATGGCGTGTTGTTAAAGAGAGGATTAGTCAGCTTGGTGTATTTGCGTGCATAGTCAAGGTGATAAGAGCACCCACCATCATCCCTCCATTGCTACGCCCGACCATGACAGCAGCCGAATAGGAGTTGGACCTGGACCGTAGTGCAGACAAGACTATGCCGGCCGCAGCTACACTTGAAGCGCAGCCGTAGGCAAGCATGCGGCCACTCCTGAGAAATGTGTCCGTCATGATGTGATGGGTAGTCCAGCTCTGCTCGCTCCCTTCAGTCTCGAGAGCCCACTTGAGGTTGCCACCGGCCTAGATTCTGCCGCGAATCAAAAAGTCATTTACGCCGAGGCTAGCTTCTTGTTTATGTCTTCTGCCGTTTCAATGTCCGGCTATGTCACAGCCTCTCAGACCTCACGGTGTGTACACCCGAATTGGGGGAACGAACAGCTACTGTGTCATCGTCTCCTCGAGGAGCCTATACGTGACGCTCAGCACCACGAAATGACGATGCAGACGCTTACCGGCCACTTTACGCGCTGATACAGTGAAGACCCGGTCGAAGTCGTCGTTGTGTAGTACTGTGCTCTCGTAGCCATGCCTACCAGGCGCCATCAGCATGATGCTGAGCATACCTGCATTACGTGGAACTTGGAAGCTCAGAGGAAAGACAACGGAGACGCAGCGTGTTGCGAAGGACTGAAAGGACACGTGACCATGCATCCAACCCTGTTGTGGCATGGGGCCCCACCATCGGCACATCCCCCAGTGTCTCCCCCCTCGCCCTCTCACCACTTAAGCGCAACTATGGTGGCATATGCAACCCGTATGCTCATCAGATATGTATCTAGCCATTCTCCCTGCCTTTGTAGAATGCCTCTGCACCTGTCCCTGGGCTACTACACGGCCGACGGTCGCAACAAAGCTGCTGCGTCTATTGGGGCTGTTGCTTGCTCATCTTGTGGGTTAGGGTTGCGGAGATTTGGCAGTATGTGCGAGCTCCGTTATGATTATGTGATGTCGTCAGTGCGCCGCTGTACTAGCCACACCATGGGACCATACCACTTGCGAGATTTGCTGTTACATTGAAAGCTCGTGGCCAGATTCATTGAGTTATTGCATGAAGACGAAGCAGGCCGTGTCGGGTAGAGACGCCAGCGCTACACGTAGATGCATATGCTGACACGCTGATAGAGCCGCGCACGGGATCCAAGGAACGTCTTGCTTTCTTCAAGGTCTTCTCAATAGAATGGGCCGACATGGTGTCCAACGATGATTGGATCAAACAGCAGCCGAGCACGAGCATCGGAGGCGAAGCGGCCAGCTCAAAGTCTCGGAAGCCAGATACCGATGCGCCGAAACCATCGATTCCTAAGGAAGGGCAGCGATCGGTCATGGCGCATAATTCTGCCGGTCAGCCGCTCTCATCACCCTGCTTTGTGCATGCATGTCTCGACCGTGGAGTCTGCGCAAACACCCCGACCGTCTCTTCAAGCGCTGTTGCTGTATCAAATCCTGGCGGGGCTGGGAATGCTCGCGAACGACGCTATGCTATCTCGCCAATTAGCGAGCGTGAGAAGATACCTCGACGCTCGATGAGCAGCGATAGCACTCATAGTTGCAGCAAGGCTGCAGAAGCTCAAGGCACTTCTTTGGCAGAGCCACCTGCTCCAAAAATTGATGCGCCCTTGATTGGAAATTCAGTTGCAGACCCTGGGGCTGAGACTCCGCGCATCAGTGAATGGAGCAAAGACATGCGACATGCATATTTCGAGGAGAATCCGACATCCTCCGTGCTACCTGGGATCCAAACCTCTCTGGAAGCAAGTCAAGCAGGCAGTGAGGCGGCCCAGTCCGAGGAGAAAGGGCTCTCTCGTACCAAGAGTGCTGATGGGCATTCGGACAGCGATGGCACTGTCATACGTGCGAAAGGAAACAGCAAGAGGGAGGCACAGTTTCAGCGCCTCATACATGCTGGCGCAATGGGGCGATATGATGAAGAGCCCGAGCACCAGGACCGCAGCGACGATTCTCACGATGAGATACACGACTCAGATGTTTCGGACGGTAGCTCTTACCTTCTATCCAGCGGCGAAGAAGACTCGGATGACAGAGTCCGCAGCTTGACGCGACAACTGGCCGAGACGGCTGTCGGTGTGCGTGAGATGTCCAAGCAGCTGGGGCGAGCGCGTGTCAAATCGACCATCCAAAGCGTCCTCATCATCACCAAAGCGCGAGACAATCAGCTAATCAAACTCACGCGCGATCTGGCGATTTGGCTTATGCGGACACCAAGAAATGGGAGAGAGACGGGCTTGATCGTCTACGTCGACTCGCAGCTCAAAGCCTCGAAACGCTTCGATGTCGAGGGTATCAAACGTGATTTTCCCGCCTTATTTGAGCCAATAATACACCCAAACGCAAACCAACCACATGGCCATGGTCAGCGTAGGGCGAGCAGCTTCGCCAGCACGCCTTCCAGTGGCACTTCCTCCTCCAGCAGCGATGCCGACGGCAACGCGATCGGCTTCAATCTCGCGAATATTATGACAAGTCCGAATGGACATGGACTTTTCAAGGGAGAAGGGCAGCTGAGATACTGGACGGCTGAGATGTGCAGTCGCCATCCTCAGCTTTTCGACTTTGTCGTCACGGTGAGCCGTCAATCAGGAAGTTTGAATAAAGCGTGCAGTCTGATTTTGTTTTACCACACAACTGAATGCTTGTAGCTCGGCGGTGATGGAACAGTTTTGTTCGCCTCCTGGATGTTTCAACGAATCGTCCCTCCCGTGCTTCCCTTCTCCCTCGGTTCCCTCGGGTTCCTGACTAACTTCAACTTTGAGGACTACGCTAAGGTGATGAAATCAGCCCTCGAAGATGGTATCCGCGTCAATTTGCGCATGCGATTCACCGCGACCGTCTATCGAGCCGTCATGCCAACTTCGGAGACGGTAGAGGAGGACCGTCGGCGTGCGATCAAGTCCGGTCGAACGGGCGAGATCATAATGCGGAATATTCAGGAAGGCGGGTGGGACAGGATCGAGACGCCCTGCCCTGGTGAGCCGGGATGGATGGGCGGCCAAGCGCAGCGCGAGAAATGCGCAAGGAGGGACAAGGAGGTGATGTGCTTTCCAACCCGGCCAGTCGAGACGTTCGAAGTGCTCAACGATCTTGTTGTTGATCGTGGACCCAGTCCGTACGTCAGCCTGCTGGAAATCTTTGGCGATGAGCACCACATGACGACAGCACAAGCGGATGGCATCTGCATCGCTACACCGACCGGATCGACAGCATACTCGCTCGCTGCTGGTGGCTCTCTCGCTCATCCTGAGATCCCGGCTATCCTCATCACACCCATCTGCCCACATACACTTAGCTTCCGGCCGATGCTGTTGCCGGACAGCATGGAGGTACGCATCATGGTGCCGTACAATTCGAGAAGTACCGCCTGGGCCAGTTTCGATGGTCGTGGCAGAGTCGAGTTGAAACGTAAGTCCTCGTGGTCTGCAGCGTTGGTAGCTTTGAAGCTGACGTCACTTGTATCTGCTTCGCGCAGAAGGGGACCACATCAAAGTATCTGCCTCGCGCTACCCTTTCCCTACTGTCTGCGCTGAGAATCAGTCCATTGACTGGTTCCGATCGATCTCGCGGACACTCAAGTGGAATGAGAGACAGCGGCAGAAGAGCTTTGTCGTCGTCGAAGAGAACGCAGACCAGAAGGGTGAAACCCGTGTGTCTGGCATGCGAGCAGGCGCGCAGACGGCTGTTGGCGCTGGTAGCGCTGGCACCTCAAAAGGCAAATACCTTAGCGGCTCTACCAAAGTGGACAGCCTTGCCAAGTTTGCGCTTGGAAAGAGCGATGATGAGAATTTCGACATACAAGAGACAAGTCAAGCGAACACGCGCGCGAACAGCCCACAGCCGCCGAACGCGGACGGGCCAAAGCGACGCTCATCGACGCATCGAAGCAAATTGCCCTCATCCTCGGACTGCGGGGTTGGAAATCGGACCTATGTGAATACGCCCATCGCGTCCCGAAGGCCCGCGGATGCACTGCCCCGGCTCTCAGCCATGACGCCTAGTCAATTCGCCAATTCGCTGGGGAGACGCTCGGATGCTCACGCATGCATAAACAGCGGAAGTAGTACCAGCAGCGCGCATAAACTCCTGACTGTTGCGGTCAACGCGGACCATGTAGTCACCAATGCTGGTGATGCTTCTCCTGCTCCGTACTCGAGCCCAGACCGCTTTGGCAAAGCCGGCCCTCCAGAACCGCCGCAAGCATTATCTGAACGCCATCTCGCTACGGCTGACTTCCGACTGCCGCCATCGGAAACGAGTTTTTCCGTCTCGCCAGACACGGCCAGAAAGAATGGTACCAAGCAGTCCGGCACCGGTCAGGGTACGAAAGGAGATACAGGTGGTGCGGAAGGAAGGAGCGCATTGCCTACGCCCATGACGAGCTTGTTCTTGGCCAGGGAGAAGATTTGTCCGCTGGCAGCTGCCTCGCACGCCGTGCGCGGCGCGACAGATACACTCACGCCCGCCTCGCTACTGTCTGGCCATTCATCAGCGGGGAGGACGAAGAAGCTTCGACCTGGCTCCAAGCGGCGCGGAGGGGCAGCTGGGGATGCTTCGGGAGTGAGTGGAGGAGGGGCGTTAGCAGCAGGCGGGGGCGTGGCGGGCGAAGGATCTAGTCAGGCGCAAGGTGCGCAAAATCCTGAAGGGTTATCGAGGAAGGAGAGCAATCAGCCTGGTGGCCGCACTGCCCTAGTGGTTTACGGCGACGACGACAGCGACTCTGAATCCGGCGGAGAAGAGAGGTGGTAGCCGTACTTGTTCTGGGAGCCCATGTACTCTTCTGCTATGGACCCGAATCACCTGATAGTACAAGATGCAATCATTTGCACATCTGCTCTACCGTTACTCAAAGCGGAGTATTCCGAATCCCTGGTCGCATGAAAATGGAAACCATGAACTGGACTGTCACATCGGGCCGCCCGTGTTCGGTTCACCACGGCTGCACGCTGCGGAGTTGGTTGTTTCCAGGGTCATGTGTTTGCAGCCTCTCTGCGTTACGCAATGTGAGCTTGCCAAAAGTGGGCTCCCCACCTTCATTGAAAGGCAAAGCGAAACTTTCGAAACGATGACCATTTCAGGGTCTATCATTCAGTTCCTAGTATTGTTGGCGTCTGATACGTCGAAAATCGTGACTGAGAGCCTCAGTTGAGAGTTCTGGGTCCGCATCTCCTTTTGCCTCTTTCCCGGGTAAGGCACGCCGATCGGGAAGCCACTGACGAGCTGGGAAATGGGAATATTTCAAGTACCTGAAATTCATCAATAGAGTTTTTCAGGAACTTCGCCCAAGAGGTGAGTAGGCTGTAGACTCAATGCATAGCGAACAGTGAAGCGTAAAGCTTGGGCAATCGACAGTCGGCACTCGACACAGCAGCCAAGGCAGAGGAGAGCATGATGCAAAAGCACATCCAACGCCCTCGACTGGCAGCGATATGCGATGATGATGTGGCCCTGCTCATGCGTCGGAAAGGTGTGCTTTTTCATTTCCATTAATCATCCTTGAATCTCAGCGTCATCCCTGGCTAGCAGACAGTATCCCTCGCGAAGCCTTGGCATGGTATCTCCGCTTATTTCGCGCTCCGCAATTGTCATAACCTGCAGAGGTGGGTAAGGTATGTGCATTATATGAGTCTTTGCTCTCAGCAATGCCTCATCAGTCCGGCGACTTGAAACACGTCGCATTACTGCTGACGGCAAATCAGACGACTGCTGCAACAATACTGCCGGGCACAATGTTGACACTCCATACTCCATGCTCAAGCGGTCGAGCTGGTCGCTTCTCCGGATCTTTTGTTCAAAATCTGCTGCTCCAAATGGCCAGGTCCCTCTAGCCTTCAAGCTCAAAAGATAGGCGAGAGGACATCGAAGGACTACGTAATCGTCCGAATGAGACCCGTGATCGGCACCAGCAGAGCGTGGTCAGCGCTGCTGATGGAGTGCTGATGGTTGATCCTGCTTGTTCCTACCCCTTTCCTGCCCAACAAATAATGTGCACCTCATTCACATTTGTCAAATAGCTGTTGCACCCCGCAAGAGGGCTAACAAGCTGCTGAGAAGTTGTGCACTCAACCTCCAAAACGTAGAGGGCGTGGGAGTGTTGGACTGAGTCTGATATCTTCTCTCTCAAAGCCATCATATTTTCAACAAGTCAACAGTTGCAAGTTGGGTCTTCTTTGACTCTCCTCTTCCTGTGGGTGGCATAGCCACTCGGCACCTCGATCAGCCACAGAAAGAAGTCTGAAGCAGCACCCCGGCTCTTCGGCTCCGCGCCATCGGGTTGGCATCCTCATAACGTCGTAGTCCCTGATTTATGCGACTTCCAAGGTCTGTAGGGTCATGTCACGATCAGATTCGTAAACGAGCGTCGGCTGTCAGGACCTTGTTTTGTACATGATGATAGCTTAACCTGTATAAATGGAGAGGTCGTGGATATCGGCAAACACAGATGTTATCATCAGGGTCGCCTTGTAAGGAAGAAACTCCGGGGTCACGGAGAACTCGGGGAAGACTTGTGGGAAGGATCGAGTGAGGTTTGAGTGATCTGCCACACAAAAAGTCGCATCTTGGCCGCAGCCGGGCAGATGGAAGCCTGTTCTCCTGTGCCCCCTGTGCACCTCGGCCACAGAAGTGAGCCTGTGCCCGCGCTGACGCTCTGCTGATCTGCGCTGCAGCGCGGGACTCTTCTGAACACTGTCCCACGCGTTTTTACCCGGCGCGCAGTCACTGCACCAGTGCATTACAACAGTCACACGAAACGCGTCCCGCACTTTCGTCTCCAAGCCAAAAGTAATTAAAAAGATCTCCAAAAGAAGACAGAAAAAGGGCGACATTTATTGCTGCTGATTGCAGCGCTGGGCATGTGAGCAGTGTCCCGTGATCACCGCTATCCATCATCGCATCATCGTCCATCTCATCCCACACCTGACTCCAGGACCGAAAAGCCCCCTTCGAGTGTCGGGAGCAGCTTTTTGGCATCCAACTCATCGCCATCAACCTCCGCCCATCCCCGTAGTTGGAGCTCACAGTGCGGCAGACAGCACGTTTGGACGTCGCAGCACAGCGGGCGCGTGGCACGACGATCATCCCCAGTCGTGCTGGAGGTTTCTGGCTTCTGACACAGTCAGTTGGTACTGGCGCCTCGCTACTCGCTGCTCGTTGTCTCCATCACTGCATCCCGTTCGAGAAAGGGCAGGGTACGCGCCAACAATTCGCACCGTCAGGCGTCAATATCCCAGAGAGCGCGCATGATACGGCGTGCGCTCATCGTTTGTCATCACCAGCTTGGCCCCCTGACCCATTCAGCCGGCCTATCTCTTGCTTGCGAGCTGTGTAGCAGTATCATCAATCGGCGTATCAGCAAACAAATACGCAAGCAAGCAATCAATCAAGCAAACGAGCGAGACGAGAGAGCGCGAGCGAGCGAGCAGTATGTGATAAAGATCGACGGTCAACGAAACAACACAAAGTCGAGAAGTATATATACAACATTCATGCGCGAGCGAGCCCTGAGCATCCTTGGTATCACCGCTTCGCAGCGCATCTCGCAGCAGGGAGCCCAACTTTGAAGAGTCATCGCACGATCTGCCACGGAAAGCTTTTGCGTCGGGATCACCAACTTTCCGATCCATCTAGCTGCAAGCACCAACGCTTAGCACTTAGCTGTTACAGCATAACATACGGCCGCTTTCGAGCACCGAGAGGTCCTGGACTCGCTCCCATCAGCCAAAGCTTTCCATGGAACCCGAGGCCACAGTATTGTGAAGAACACAGTTCCCGTTCCTGGGCTACGTGTAAGTCAGCTACAATCCTCGAAGATTATTTAGGACTATTCGCGTCCGATCAACTTCAGGTTCCCAAGCACCCCACTGATGGACATTATCATCCTCCATCCATCCATTGACATTATCATCCTCCATCCATTGTCATTTTGACACTCTTGCTCGGACTCTTGGCCGGGTGCGCCGTGCGTTACTCTCCGCGGATGCTCTCTCTTCGTTTGTCGATCCATCGGGTAGAGCAGTTCAAGGGTCCAAACCATTGGGTATCGCTTGCGACTTCTCCACCTGACCGAACATCGGCACAACATCTGCGCCGCAAACCACTCAAATCCGAAGCTGCATGCATTGCAGCCTCGTCATCTCGTCCCATCCAAGAGTATTCTGTATTCAAGACGCAGAAGGATCTTGGGTAACATTCAGAGTAGTGGATTACGAGTGATCCATCAAGTGAGGCATAACGTCAACGCGTACGCATCCACCAGTCGACGTGCGATCCATGGTGATTATCACTTCGCAGCGCTCTCAGTCACCACTGCCTATAAGCGCATCATCTGACTTGGTTTGTCAAGGGAGTATCGTCGCCAAAGGCGGCACCAGCTTGTTTGGCGAAACGATGAGCGGCTCCCGCTCAAGCGCAAATGGCCAGGGACTGCGGGGGTCCGCAGGTACCAACTTTTCGTCCTTTACCTTTCCCCCTGGTCGACGAAAGTCTCCGCCGGTGGCTGCCAAGGAAAGTGAAAAGGCGTGGGAGCAGGATCAGATGCAGAGGCACTCCAATGGGGACGTTGGTCAGAAGAGCATCCAGCCATCAAGCGAGCGCGGCAAGGAGTTGGACGATGCCGCTGATGTGACCATCACTGCAGACCCAGCAAGGCGACCGTGTGAGGAAGAGGATGGGGAATTGACGTACGCAACAGATCAGGAGGCGGTGTTGTCAAAGAACAGTTCAACTGTCCAGCTCACCTGCCTAACGGCTGCGTCTCCTTCAGTGCCAGCTGCTGTTGTCCTACCTGGCATCCAGAATCTGCTCAATTCGGCAGACAATGCGCCTCTACCACCATTTTCCAGCTTGCGGCAGCATCATCATCACGCCCAAGGCGCGCATTCGTGGAGCTCAGGGCACGAGCGGAGCAACAGCCACTCACCTACGACATCTGCAGGCTCTTCATCCTCCGTAGGCGTTGATGCAGCATCGAGCACAAAGGAAAACCAGCTGCAAGTGGAGCCTGGCACGGTGCTGACGGCGGCGGCACAATTGCTTCATACCGCCGGAGCAGGAGGTGCGGGATCCGTCGGCAGCAGCAGCAGAAAGAGTCGCAGAGGTCAGGCGTATCCGCCGTCTGCGCGGATGCACAACGAGTTCGTATTCCCCGGGAGATCGCAACGCGAGCTGCCCACAGTCTCCAGCAATGTAGTCGCATCGTCGGGTCTCGCCGTGGCGGATGTTGTATTGATGCAGCGGCGCTTCGCCTCAGAATCGCCCAATCTCCCAACGCTTCCGCCGTCGATGTTGCCAGGTTCTGCAGCTTCGGCGCCAGGGGCAGGGTCCTGGTCCGCAGATCAGGGCCCACTGCCGCTGCCAGCGATCCTGCGCTCCCCACAACTGCAGCAACGACAGCCGCAGCCGTCAAGCGTACGGCCACATCGCCGCACAGGTCGTAGACCTAGCAGCTTGGGCTCAGCAGAGATTAGCGATGCTGCTGCGCCGATTTTCGGCACGCCCGGCGCATCTGCGTCGTTCCCGAGACGTCGGCATATCTCTGACGAGTGTCAGCGGACGAGGCCAAACTTGCCAGCCGAAATGACTGGGATCAACCTGCCGCCTCTGGTGCCGTCGAACGGTAGCAGTATTGTCAGCAGTGGAATCGGCAGCCCGCAAGCACACAGAAGTTCAAGTCTCAGAGGCCACCGCTCGACGGGCTCAGGTGGGCTAGATTTGCTTGCGATCGCTGGCTCGGCTCGAGCGGAGCGACGCGATGCAACAGCAGCAGCGGCTGCTCAGTCTGATGCGCTGACGGGTTCTGCTGACAACCAACAGCGGCTTTCACTGGGTGTTTCAACCGCCCAGGTATCGTCCGCCAGCCGCCGGCGCCACACACTTGGGGAGCGCGACAGCGCTTCGTTGTGTCTTAAGCGGTCCAACTCGTCGGGCTCGACCTACGGAACAGCCAGAAGGGCCGGTCGTGTGTCGCCATATCCATCACCCGGGCCCGTCATTGCGCCGCCGCCACTGCAACCATTGACCTCGTCCGATGCGTTTGGTACACCTCGCGCCGCTGCGAATACGCGCCCGGTCGATTTTCGAGAGTCTGGTTCTTCACCGACCATGCCGCTCGTGCCTCTGTCACGCGGAGTTGTTGCAGACGTGCACCCTTCCGGCTCGCTGGCGTCCATGCCCTCGCCCGTCTCTCTGTCCTCGTGGGGCTCGTCGGATCACCACAGGCAGGATAGTCAAGGATATGAGCGCTGGTCCAGCTCCTCAGGAGTCTCGCCGCCAACGCGTGCGACGAGCATCGAAGGCAGCAACTCGGAGCACCAACATCAGATGACGCCAGGTGCATCGAACAAGGACTGCGCGCTGCTGCGTTCAGTGGCGATTCAACACGGATCGCGCGGCTCAGTTCCTTCTTCCTCTGCCAGCATGGATCGCCACACGAGGATGATGGAGCAGATGCACCTCAGCGAGTCGGCAGGGCTGCACCAGCAGCATCCACAGCATCCGAGCATGTCGCCGCAGGCTCCGCTGCCTACTTCGGCACACACGCAACACCGGGCGTGGTACCCGCCCACGGACGCATACAGCCTGCCGCCGCAGTACGACTTGGCTCTGCAAGCACACCCTTCTGTGCTTCCGCAGCCATTATCAGGCCCATGGTCACCCTCACCGGTGGCTCGCACTGTCACGGTACCTCCCACAACAGGAGCATTCCATTCGAACGTCTACCCGCCTCAGCCAGGTATCGTGCCCTCACACATGGCACAGGGTCAGCGCATACGTCATGCTCACTCTCACTCGTGGCAGCAGCAGGGCACTCCCCTCATGCCGATGGGCGAAGCTGCCTTCCCACCGACGGATGTGCGTCACGCATCGAGAGTGCAAACGCAAGAGCTGGAGATGATGCGGCACGCGCATTTCTCCATGTCAGCGGAGGGCTCGCCAATGAGTCGCTCGGCTTCGCTGAAAGGAAAGGACGCCAAGACTGGCAAGCTGCCGGGACATGTTGCTCCAAAGTATGAGTGCCAGTGGTGCGGAAAGCGCTTCACAAGGCCTTCAAGTCTCAAGATTCACCTTCATGTGTGAGTTGAGCCGGACATGCGCTTATGTAGTGAGCTTATGCTGACACTCTCGCCTTTCTCCCTTGCTTCTGGTGCGCGATCACAGGCACACGGGCGAAAAACCTTTCGTCTGCGAAGTACCCGGCTGCGGCCGTTCGTTCAGCGTTCAATCCAATCTGCGCCGCCATCAAAAGGGTCACCAGATATCTGGTCTCGGGCGATCCGAGGAGCCGGGTGACGGTGGGGACTCTCCTGCGTCCATGCAAGGCGAGTTGGATTCAGAGATGATGGAAATCGACGAAAAACACACACCGACTCCAACGCCGACGTCAGCCTCTGCGCATCGCTAAGTAGCTGTACCACTGTGCTGCAGCATACTTTCGGTTTCACTATGGTCAAGTACCTTCGTTCATTGGCGCACCATTCGTGCGCCTTCATTTGCACATGTTCCTCCGGTGTCTACATCGGTACCTTACAGCATCCAGTAACGCATCGTCATCGCCCAACCGCAGCTCACTCTCCATCGTATCCTTTTCACCCTCCATACCCGCTCAGTCGCGCATGGCGCCTATTTTCGCTTGTTAAAATTGATGACAGCTGGTCTGTCTTCTGACGAGAGGGGATCCGTTGTCATCATACGGCGTCACCTGTCAAGCAAATCACCCTTATTTTCACGAATGTATAGTAGAGTTACGCGTCTGAAAGACAATGTATGCATTGGAAAGGAGTCGAACGGGAAGTGGTACGCATAAAGAGTGTGGCATTCAAAGCCAGGACGGGCCTGTCCAAGCAAACACGCGCTAAACGAGACGGACACTCCGTGCGGATGTTGGTGTCGCTGCGCCATGTGCCGTAGGTGTTTCTGCGTCTTCACCTTGAAGGTCTAGCAGCGAGAGTGCTCGCCTGAGAAGTCCGATCGTCAATCCGATCTCAACGTTCTCTGACGGGCTAGATGCCACATTAGACGCGGAGTGCGCAGCAGTAGCAGCAACGTTTGAGTTGTTAGTGTCCGCCGGTGCCGCTCCCCCGTGCTGTGCCGACTTGGCATCGTTCCATCCAAGACCTGTCATAACTCGCCAGATACGTTTCGGCGTCGGTACGTAGTCGTGGCTGATGACTGCTAGCGTCGCCTCGAATGCGATGAGGTAAATTATGATCAGCTCCATTCGGTGGGACGAGCGCTCGGTCAACAATGCCCTGATGACACCGAGAAGATTTTCGCAGTGGTCCAGCTTCTCGTTCAATGCACGGAAGCGCGGCTCGATGTCCAAAGATCGACAAATCTCGTCGTAATGATCTTTAAAGGGACGGAGCCAAAGGAAACATGTCTGAGTCACCCGATCATGTGGCAGTGGCAAGCAAGAAGCTGGACACGGACAACTCACATTCCATGGAGCCATTATCCCAATGGCCTTCTGGGTCATCCAGGAAGTTGTCTTTCCCTAAATTCGCCCTCTGACGCAACCTTAACAGCGTCCCCATCTTTCTGATCACCTCTTTGCGAGGCAACGGCACCTTCCCTGCCGCTTCCAGTTGCTCTGGAATGGAATTCACAGAAGAGAGGAACATGTCCAGCGCTTCTTCTTGTGCTGAAAGGCGTGCGGAACGCGCCAGGCCTTGCGAATAAGCAAGACGCGCGAGGAGCGGGGACCAGTCGGCTTCATCCGATGCTGTTCCTGCTGCGTTATTTGAGGTGGAAGATGATGCTATTTTTGATCTTGTGACATCCGCATCGATGCGCATTTCGGTAGTGGAGGTTTTGTTGCCTCTTGTCGACTGCACATGGGGTGCGTGCCCCAAGACAAGTACGTCCCCAACAATGCGAGTTGGTCTATCGGAACGAAGATGCGGTTTGCAGGAAAATGAGCACGACTCCTATGACGTTGTGACTCCGGCATGCATGCTCGCGATCGCACTCACTCATCTTCTCTCCACACCCATTCCATTCCCTCATCACCGATGTGATGATACTTCTCGTGCTCGACTGGCAGTTCGTCCGCAGCGCACGCCTTACCCTTGGTACTGGTCCTGGATGCAGGTCTTCCGCGAATTACGCTCCTTAGAAAACGATGACTTTGATCTTCTGAGAGCCCCCAAGTGACGTATGAGCCTGATCGAAAAATGAAAACCTCACCCGTCCCGGCTGCCGGTGTGATCTGTTGTTGCTGTGAAGTCTGTGAAGTGGTGGGATGAAAGTGCTGAGGCCAAAAAGGTATGTGGATTGCCTCATCATCCTCAAGCAACGTCCAGCCCGAGGGCAATCGACCACTGCGGATCAGAGCGTCAAAGTCGTACGAGTCCGCTGTTGCCCACGCCACAACTTCTTCAAGCTGAGACGGAGAAGGAAATATGCGCGCTTTCAATTGCGCTGCTGCTGAACTTGCGGATACAGATGCAGAATGCGATGTCCAAGGGCTTGAGGAATGCTGTTGCGGCAGATGTTGCTGCTGATTCTGCTCTGCTACCGCATTGCCCTTCGACGAATGGCCGGAATGCGTGCCTTCTTCGTCGGCGTGCGTTCGGCCAATTTGATCAGTGACACGCTCACTTGCTTGGATTACATCAAAACTCTGAGAGCGCTGCGATGCAGCTTGTAGCTGCTGACGAAGAGCTTTGGAAGCTTGGGCCTTGGCTTTCGCTGTTGGGAGTTTTGACCGAGTGCGATCCACAGCTGCGCGAGGGGTACCAGAGGCGGAAGACGCTGGTGGCGATGCTGACGTCGAGCCGGAGAGCGATTTGGTCACACGCGCAGTGCTGTTGCCCGGTATTAATGGTGCAGCTCTTAAATTGCTACCACTGGTACTGTTGTAGCGAGGTGTTCCTGTACTTGAGGCGATTACAAAAAGGTGGACGCGCGAGCTTGAGGTTCCTAACCGAGTCGGGCCCAGTCGTGCTCGGAGACAGGGCAGAAAGGCTGCTGCTGTGGCACGTTGCTGCGCCATTTTCAACAGTATGGTACGGCTGCTGAGCTTGCAAAGGAGCTCGTACGACTTCTTCCCTCCGATACTTTGAACGAGATGTTGCAGGTAGCCTTCGAGTTGCATACGGCGCTGCGATTATTTTCGCCCCCCACATACTTTAATTATAGATCGGCAACAAAATTGCAAGTGATGTGAAGGGTGACAGAAGGGCCGATGCTTATGTAAGCTGATTGTAAAGAGGCGAGCCTGATTGGCGATTGTGGGATCCGGGTTCTGGGGACTCTCATCTGTGACTGTGACAAGTCTCTTCGCGTGTCGCGTTTTTAAATACGCACATTGTGTTTGGAGTGTGTTGATCTCCTAGCTCTCCCACACTCTCCTCATCGCTTGGCCCTACAGCCCGCCTTTGTCAGAACATTCATGCTCACCATCAGATGCCGCTGCTATACCGGAAGAAGTAGACTACTTGGGCGTAAAGATGCTGCCAGCGTACGCCGGTCGACCTTACACTGGGGGGATTGTTCCCGGCGTCGCATATCCCTTTCATCGCGCAGCTCAATTGTGGTCCTTTTTGAATAACCGACGCATTGTTTCACATTAATCTGCACCAAATACAATTTTGAAGCAGTCAAGCAGCAGTAATCCAAAATGAAATACCTTTGCGTTGCCGAGAAGCCGTCCGTCGCCAAATCAGTCGCAGAGATCCTATCAGGCGGGCAGTTTCACAATCGCCCAGGCAAGGATCAATACTGTCGCAACTACGACTTCCAATACCGTTTTGATGATGTCGGCTTCGTAAACATGACCATGACTTCTGTCCGCGGACATCTTACCAACTCAGACTTTGAACCTGAGTATAGAAGTTGGAGGAGCTGCGACCCTAGTGCTCTCTTTGAGGCTCCAATCGTGACCTCCATTAGTGATGTCAGTTCTTTCCCTCGTCCCATGCATGGAACAAACCCACTGAATCAGTATAAATTCTGCATTCAGGATGCCAAACGCATCAGCAGAAACCTCGGCGACGAAGCACGCAACGCATCGATGCTGATCATTTGGACCGACTGCGACCGAGAAGGCGAGCATATCGGTGCAGAGATCGTCCGAGAAGTACGTAAGGCCAACCGCCAGATCGTGGTCAAACGCGCGCGATTCAGCGCGATCATTTCCAATCAAATCCATGCCGCTTGCCGAAATGCAGAGCAGTTGGATTGGCATGCTGCTTCCGCTGTCGAAGCCAGAATGGAGCTGGATCTGCGCATCGGCGCCAGCTTCACGCGCATGCAGAGCCTGAGGTTGCAAGCCAGGTTTCCCGCTGAGCTCGAATCGCAAGTCATAAGCTACGGGCCTTGCCAATTTCCTACGCTCGGGTTCGTCGTCGACCGATACGACAAGGTGGAGAATTTTGTCCCGGAGGCATTCTGGTACATCTCGCTCGAGCACCGGCTGCCAGCAAACCAAGGTGATCAAGGGGAAGGCAGAACAGGGACAGGCATGTCAACAGCCTTTACTTGGGAAAGAGGACATCTGTTCGATTATGCTATTGTCCAAATGCTGCATCGCCGCTGCCTTGCAGCTGCCGAGGCAGTCGTCACGAATGTGCAGAAAAAGCCCACAAAGAAATGGTGAGTGTATGCATACCTACTGCTGCTCGTTCCATATTGACTCTGTGCGCCATTACGTATACTAGGAAACCCTATCCTCTCACCACTGTCGAGTTGCAAAAGGCAGGCTCTCGCCTGCTTCATCTGGCTCCGAAGAAGGTGCTAGACGTGGGTGGCAACTATGATTGTGATTGACATGCACCGCACCTTCTAAGATCTTCCTCCTCTTCCAGATCGCCGAAGCACTTTATAACAAAGGATTTCTCTCCTACCCCCGTACAGAGACAGACACATACGATAAAGATTTCGACTTCCACTCTTTGATTGAAAAACAGCAGTCGAATGAGTCATGGGGCCATTATGCGCAGACTTTGAATGGCGACCGAGGCCACTTTGACCGACCACGCGATGGCAAGAAGAATGACCAAGCGCATCCTCCGATCCATCCCATCGCCCATGCACCGTCACTAGTTGGAGATGACAAGCGCGTGTACGACTACGTTACCCGACGCTTCCTTGCAAGCTGTTCGCGCGATGCCGTGGGGTGGCAGACGACCGTCACTGTTGAGATGGCTAGTGAGGGCTTCCAGGCAACTGGCCTAGTGGTCACAGAGCGGAATTTCCTCGACGTGTACCCTTACGAGAAGTGGGAGAGCAACGTCCTGCCCGACATCTACCAAGCTGGCTTCTCCTTTATCCCCACGCCTCCTGCCGGCGAGTGCGCTCTGAAAGAGGGGCAGACGACCCGGCCAAAGTTGCTTACGGAAGCGGATCTGGTCGGCTTGATGGACAAGAACGGTATTGGCACAGACGCGACAATTGCAGAACACATTACTAAAGTGATTGATCGGCAGTATGTTATGATGCAAACCGAAGGGAGGATCAAATATCTGGTGCCTTCAACGCTTGGTATCGGGCTCGTTGAAGGCTACAACAAAGTCGATCTGGAGAAGAGCCTCAGCAAACCTTTCTTGAGGAGAGAAGTGAGTCCAGATTAGGGTTTCCTGATTCAGCGACGCACGCCTTCGTGAGAATCTGATTATATTGCTCTGTGTGAGCAGACAGAGCATCGCATGGACCTCATCGCGCGCAACGAGCGGACAAAGCAGGAAATCATCGACGAAACACTGGACGAGTATCGTGCGGTGTTTGTCACCGTCAACTCGCGCTTCCAGACTCTCATCGATGTGAGTTCGCAAGGCCTGTAGAAAACTCCGAATCGATACAGTCACCTTATGCGCACCGGTCCTTGTCATGATTTAGAGCGTCGGCAAGTACTTTGGCGTGGAGGGTGGCGAAGAGAGCGGACAAGACGAGAACGCCTTTCTCGAATTCGGCAGCGATGGTGACGGAGGAGATGGGGGAGGAGCCGATGGTGGGCATGGAGGTGGTCGCCGCGGCCGGGCTCGTGGCAGCAGGCAGCCAGGAACTCGACCCTCACGAAGGCCGCACGGACGGCGAGACGCCAATGTCACGAGTCGTGAGGACGGTGTCGATGATGGCGACGACAAAGATGGTGGCTTCGGCGCTGGTCAACCACCACATAAAAGAGCTCGCGGTGAGCATCGGGCAGGGCCAGCGCCGACCTGTGCATGTGGAGAAGAGACTATCAGAAGGCAGGTCAAGAAGGATGGTCCGAACAAAGGGCGCTGGTTCTGGGCTTGCCACAGGCCCCGTGATGAGGCACAGTGTGACTTCTTCGAGTGGGCGGATGGCCCGAGCAAGCGCTCGTCAGCATCTGCATCGAGTGCCGCTGCCAACAATGCACGCCCAGCACGCCAAGCATTCGCATCAACCTCAGCAAGCACTGTGCAATCTGACAGATCCCCTCCACAGTGCCGGTGTCAGGAAGCATCCGTGGAGAGGACATCAGGCAAGGAAGGCGCGAATCAAGGGCGAAAGTTCTGGGCGTGCGCCAAGCCGCGGGAGGAGCAATGCGGATTCTTTGAATGGCTCGAAGGGCCATCATGCGCTTCTAAGTGCGGAGGACAGTATGGGCGCTCTGTCTCTTGTACGGGCGCAGGACAGACGGCACGAAGTTTGCAAGACGAAGGCGGAGAAGAAGACGCAAGGTACTGCAAGTGCAGTGAGCCTGCGGCTTTCTTGACCGTCGCCAAAGACGGGCCGAATCAGGGCCGGCGATTCTACGGCTGTGCCAAGCCGCGCGACGCTGGCTCGTGTGGCTTTTTCGAATGGGCTGACGAACCGCCGCGCGAGAGCGGCGGAAGGTGCGCTGGGCCCTCCAGTCTTGGACATGCGGGCAGAAACGGAGGTGCCGAGGGCTGGGCCTCCCGTTCGCGTGCCGATGATGCGGACGCGGAGAAACGAAGGTGTGATTGTGGCTTGGAAGCCGCCCTTAAGACAGTCTTCAAAGTGAGAGCATCTGTACAAAGGGTGCTCGCTGCCATGTTCGAATGTGTCGCTGAGCTGCTATTAATTACAGGAAGGACCCAACAAAGGTCGTGAATTTTGGTGCTGCTGCAAGGAGAGCGAACGCCTTCGCTGCAAGTTTTTCGAATGGGCAGACGGACAGGAGTCCCGCGGCGGCGGTGGCACGGGGAATCGGTCATCCATGTCTGCATCGCCTCAGCGTCCCGCTGGCAAGGACTACTCGGGGAGGAGCGGTAGTGGAAGCGCGCGGGGAAGTAGAGGTGGAGGGCGGGGGATAGGGGGGAGAGGGGGGAGAAAGGGCAGCGGAGGAGGGACAGTTGGCGGGGGTGCCGGCTCATGCTTCAATTGTGGGAAGAGGGGACATTGGGCATCAGAATGTCCAGTATGATAGTAGCGGCATCTTACTCTGTATAAATACACTTTATGTACCAGCTCTGACGATGCCGACGGCTCGTGGGGAGACAGTCAGTGTGCGATATTCATCGAGAGCTTGAGCACATCGAGTCTACCAAGCCCATCATTGACAATAAGGCGGCACAAGCTTCCGCATGGATGCAAGGCTTTGGCGACCTCGACGCCGAAGGTTGAAGGGGATGTCAACCAGTCCAAAGCGTCATCATGTTGAGGCATTGGCTCGTATCACCAAAGGAAATGCATTGTTGAGAAGAGATCAATGATCTCCCCAAAAAGCCAATGGACCCGAGCGGCGAGCAGTTTTCGGTCAAGGCACATCAGTGATGTTACGCAAGGGTACGACTTACATCCGAAGAGACGACACAGGATGAGTGGTTGCGAATTGTGCTCCGTCCTCCGAGTTCCCCAGTCCCGAATCTCGCTCTGACCAGACAATACACTTTACTCTCTCCCACTCCTATGATCCGTTCCTGCCTCTTGGAAGCTCCAATTGTCATGGAGTGAATTTATCCACAAGTTCCACCCATTTCGGGGTGCTGTTCCGATGACATGAGACGATGAGGTTAAGGCTGATCTACCACATGAATACCCCGCTTCAGCCAGGATCGAGGGCAATTGGCGCCAGCTCACAGGCCCCAACCTTACATGTGTTGACGTTGTCGTCGGCTCGCCTCACAACACTGTTCGGGACTGGATAGTGGACACTGTCCCCGGCCCTGCGGTATTTGCCAAGGGTATTTCGTATTTTGTATTTCAATTTTCGATACATACCCATCCGCAAATGGAGAGTGCGACCATCAATGTGATAGCCAACCAACCGCAGGCAGAGATCAAGCCCGCTCCACCCCGATTGACCGTAAAGTTGGGGCAACAATCTTCATTCAACTTTGAAACAAGCGCGCTAGAAATCCTCTTGCGGCCGAGCAGGAGGGGTAACCTGGAGCTCACCCAACGAAGGGAGGCAAACCTTGCATGCATTCGTATGGTGATGGTTCAATTTTTGCCTTTTCTGACATAAGGCAATATTCGTGTATCGCTGAATCATCTTTTGAGCATCATTGGCGCGAACTTCGACAAGCACAAGGGCGGCGGCGTGGCATGCATCCAGTGATCGATGCAATGCAGATTTTTCCTCGCCGATCATGGATTGAACAGCCCACTCCAGCTTCAGCTGCGATGCCCCCAGGGACGACTAGATTCATCCAGCCTAGGTCAAGGTCAAAGTCAAGAACTTCAACCTATTTCCCCCGGCTGCTTGTCGCATATCTGGTGGTTGCAGCCGGAAGCGTACCCACAACTGTAGCTGCAAGCTCCTCTTCGACCGTTCATAGCCTGCTCCTGTTCACCGCGACGGCAGGCTATCGGCATGACTCGATCCCGACCGCGATTGAAGTGATCACCGCGCTGGGAGATGTTACCCTACGGCCTACGTCCGTCGACGAGTCTGTCAAGGACGTGCGCTGGACCACGACACATACGGAAGATGGCAGCTTGTTCGAGCAAGAGGATTGGCTGAGGCAGTTTAGCGCCATCGTATTTGTGCATACCACCGATGTGGACCCGCCTGGTCAGTTGGGAATGAGTATCCCCCGTGACAGCCAAATTCGATACGGTTATTGATTTCCGCAACGTCAATCTCCTGCAGGCGTCGGAACAGTCCTGTCTGATGTCGGCGCTCGCAATCTCGGCCAATACATCAAGCAAGGAGGAAATTTCTGCGGAATCCACTCGGCTGCCAACACCCTCTATGCATATCCGTGGTACGGCCGCACAGTCGGAACCTTTTTCAGCTATCACGCAGCCCTGCAGAATGCTGTAAGTATCGCTCCGCTGGCATACCGACTGTCGCAATTGTTGACTTCCTGAAATATTACAGAGCATCGAACGCTTGACCACAACTTTCCCGGCAACGTCCACCTTGCCAAAGATGCTGAACTTGACCGAAGAGATCTACTCGTTCCGTTCGGATCCGCGACAGCTGCCCTCGTCAGCTACTGTGCTGCTAACTCCGGTAGCGGGCTCGTACTCAGACACGGGCAAAGCGCCATACCAGGGAACGCCGCACCCGCTCGCATGGTACCGTGAGGGGGATTTGCTGGCCGACATCTCCGATGGAGATGACGCACGCGGCCCCGTCATCCCTGCTTCTGCGAACCTGTCAGGTGGCGACAATGCCTTGCGGAGTGGTGGCGGCGGGAGGAGCTTCTATACGAGCTTGGGACACACCAACGAGACATGGCGCACGGATGAGTTCCAAGCGCATATATTTGGTGGTATTGCATGGGCGATGGCGCTTTCGTGAGGTTTGATGGAACCCGCCGGCAGACACGAAAAGCAACTCATTCTTTCGCTTTCGCTCCCTCTTGTTCTCCGCAGCAACACATCTTCGACCGCAGCGAATGCATCGTCAAGCTCGACAGGCAGTAGCACCGCCAATTATCACAATGCGGTATTGGCTTTACGTCCCTCTTGGGTCTTGTTTGCGGCTACGCTTCCTTGCTTTGCCTTTGCTTTAGCACTCTTGCAACTGTGATATTCACTCGCGTTTGCTAGTCACCTGCATCACGATTTCTGCCTTCGGGTCATGCCTCCTGCCACCCATCCTCGTCCTCGTCGTCCCGGACATTATTTGGGTCCAGAATGTCAGAAATGTCGCTGCTTCCTGCGCCTGGTACACCTAAGCGTTTGAGCGCTTCGTCGTCATGGAACTTGGACAAGTGTCGCGATCCTGAGTCGCATAGAATTGTCACGACGACAGGAGCGTCTGACAACAGCCAGCCTCCACGGTGCTTTCTCTTCTTGAGTTTCAAGGCCGTGCGCACTGCTGCGACGCAGTTGACAGCTGACGATGATCCTAGGAAAAGACCGTCACTGTTCCGTTGTAATAAGTGAAAATTTCAAGTCAATTTCCTCAGCGTCTGTTTTGGGCGATGGACCTCGTGCTATAGAGCTCACTTCAGCACCAGATGCCTGCCCATTCTTGCCGCCTCGTCGTCCGTCACTCGCTCTGCGTCATCAATGCACCGGAGTCCCAACTCCAAGTTGTGCGTAAGCCTGTTGATGCCTATGCCCTCGACAACGGTATCAACTTGATGTCGTCTGCGCGTGCCTTCCTTCTCCGTCGCATTGAACATGACGCCGTATTTAACGCGATTATACAGGCCGCTCCCTTGTGGGTCAGCCAGCACGACATGTACGTCGGCCTGATCGGTATGATGCTCGAGAGCGCAGGCTCGCTTCAAATATGCAGCGACGCCAGAGAGAGTTCCGCCGGTTCCTGCGCCTGCAACAAAAGCGTCCAGCATCCCGCCGGTCTGCTGCCAGATCTCTGGACCCGTGTTGTTAAAGTGTGCCCAAAAGTTGGATGAATTCTCAAATTGGTCGGCAAAGAAGCCTCGTGCGCTTCGCTTAAGAGCATCTGGATCGTCATTTTTCTTCGCGTCTTCATGAGTCGAAGTGAAATCGGCCTTGGTCGTGACTACAACGTTAGAGCGCACCGCGGACGAGGCTACCACAGAGCTCCCTAATCGGACTTCGCCATCGTCTTCCTTGTCAGCGGCGGCAGGAATGCCCCCGACTGAATCGTGACCGGAAGCGACCACCGAAGTCGGGAAGAAGCCTTTGCTGTCGCGACTAGGGTGGGGACCAATAAGTTCCGCCATGCCGAATGCCTTGGCCTGCTTGCGGGCCTCGTTCACAAACTGCCACGAAACGGTCAGGAACAGCGTTTACAAACATGAATTTACGGGTTCTCTCACATGCTTCGGATCCGCGATCACTCTTGGCCGCACTGCCTCAATTTCTGCGCCAAGTTTCCGGAGCAGCTCGACCTTCTCTGTGGCGACATCGTCTGGAATGACCTGCCAATCGTGAGAGTGAGAGACTGTGAGGCATGCGTTCATTGGACAGACATAAAATGAGACTTACAATGTGGCAGCGATATCCCTTTGCTCGCGCCAGGGTAGCTAGCGAAATCCCTGTACTTCCTACAGTGCCTTCAAAGATACACGAACCTGTATGAGGGTGCAACAGTCCCTCCTCTTCGGCGTCGTTAAGAACTGCGGAACCGCGGCACGTCTTCAGCAAGCACATAAATACATTGTGGGAACAATGACCCACTTTGTAGAGCTACTCGATCCTTAGGACTTCCTGCAGGGTTCAGGAACTCAGCTTTCCCCTGTCAATGTACCGTGCGTCAGTCACAACCACGAGTGAAGCGACGCATGTGAAAAATGCTCTCACCAGGATTTCACAACCCGTTGCATCACTGAGACTGTTGATTCTCATTAGAGGTGTGTTTCCAATCAAGCCTTCGATACCTCGAACCACCTCCCCGCTGCGGACCTCGATCGTTCCTTTTCGGATGCGTCTCATCTGCGCCTCCGACTCGAAACTGCTCCCTTCTCCCATTTTGGCTGCGTCCATGCTTGAATCAAGACCATACTTCCTGAGCCTCTTTTTTCTTCGCCTCTTGTCTCTTCTTTCGGCCAGATACATGACTGTGGTCAGCGAGCCAAGCGAAAGAACGAGGCCGGATATGAAGCCGACAACGAAAGCGGACCGACGATGCCGCTCGAAAGCGGTGGTGACATGCTTGAGAGGTGTCTGTTGCGCAAGGTGTTGCAGCGTCTTACCCCTATTGGACGCCATGTTGACCTTCGACCCAGATCAAGACAATGGACTATCTGAGAGCAAGGTAATCAATAAGACGCGTGAAGAGCATGCAGTTTGCATCAAGGAGCAACGGATTCCAAAATCGAGTCTGGAGCTTTGGCCGTTCCGCGAGTTCTACCACGCCAGCGAAGCGACGCCTTCGCGAGATGTGGCCTTTGCACCCCTACAACTGCGCGCGTGCTATACAGGCCGACGACTGAGATGCAAAGCAAAGGAAAGAACGGCAATTGCCGTAATGAAACCAAAACAGCAGCAGCCGTCTGTAGAGCCGTCAGCATCATCGACCATCGAGTCCATTCTAGCCAGCCTTGTGGGATATTGGCTGGTCGCAGGGGATGCCCGGTTTTCGGTGCAACATGTCCCCTGTGTTTTCAACCAACGCTTCGCTATCCTTCCTCGACGTCATGAGGTGCCCATGTTGAGCCTTGACTGCACTTTGGATCAGGACACTAGGTTCCAAAATTCTGGAACCATTTAGTTTCAACGCTGATTCGACTTGGCTACAGTGCACCTGCTAGGTCACCTTCTTTCTATACAATGATGATTGGAGGTAGAGTCCAGCGATGCGCAGTGTGCGCGGCGCAAGCCTCCCGTGCCCAACAGGCACTTCAAGTCGTGAAGGCTAGTTTTGCCAGTGAGTGGTACATGTTTCTCATCTGCAAGGACATATCTAAATATTGCTCGGGATGTGGCGCAAATTTGCACCTGCGGTCGCCTTTTCCACTAGCTTCCTCGAGGCGAATGGAATCCAGGGGCAGCTCGACGAACGGTGATGCGGACCTGCTTGCCCTATTGAAAAGCGAGCTCAAGAACAGCATGAAGGCAAAGGATGCGAATGCCAGTGGAGTATTCAGGGTAGGTCACGCATTGTTTGCCGCCTGCTTCCGGGCTTTGTTGAGCGCCTTTGCTAAGCTTTGTGTTTGATGATTTCGGCAGGCTCTTCTCTCCGAATTCCAATATGCAGAGAAACAGGCTTCCGCTTCAGACAGCAAATCACCCCAGCCAAGCATCATCTCTATCCTCCAGAAAGCTGTTACCAAACGACAAGAAGCAGCAGCGCAATACCGCGCCGCTAAGCCATCCCCGCGAGAGGACCTCGCAGCAAAGGAGGACGAGCAGATCGAGCTGATCAAGAAATTCCTGCCAAAAGAGATGACGCGCGAAGAGATCATGCAAATCGTGCAGCAAGTGATACAGGAACTTGGCCTCTCCGGCGAGGGGAAGCAGATCATTCCGGTAAAAGGTGCGATGGGCAAAGTCATGGGGGAATTGAGCAAACGACTGGATAAGGGCAAAGCACCCGGGCAGGTCGTCAGCGCTGTCGTCAAGGAGCTCCTAGGATCAAAGTGACTAAAAACTAGATCTGTCCAGGCTCATACCGTTGAGGTCTTAATTTGCGCCTTCTGGTAGAGGAGAAGAGACATGCTCGGAGAACGTCAAGCATTGCTTTGGCTTGCCTGAATATATAACATCTTGCGAATCGTTGGGTGTGGTAAATTCATCAGGAATCCAATCATGCGAATGCCTCCAGTCCATGATTGATGCCACTACTCCACCAAGGGATGCATTATGATCCCTTAACCGTCCTCGCTCACCAGACCGTCACTATGTAGATATGTAGTGACCTCGTTCGGAAACAAGAGCCTTCGTCGAATGTGAGGATCCATCTGCATTCGATCACGGTCAAAAAGTAGTGAGGTCGAAATGGAGAGTGTATAGAACCCTACTTTCTGAATTGTCGGCTGCTTGTTCGGCTGCGAAATCTCCCCTTATGTCGCAGCGTTGGCGATGTATTTATTGTTCGAATAATTTACGGTTACGTCTGTGCGATATATAGTTTCTCTGGTTGGTAGGAAGCTAGCGCTTCAAACCCGTCCCAATATGTCCTCGTCCGAAGTGGAAAAGCGAGAGAAACTGCTACAAGCGTCGCCTGGTGGAAGGCAACCGGAAGGCAAACGAGTCGCTTATCTCGTCTCGCCGGACCTGATTCGATCTTCCGACGCTCTTGTTTGTCATCCCGGGCGGTCATCGTGTGTGCACAGTCTTGTCTACCATCTCGGCCTTCTGGACCCTGCAGAGACATCAGAGCAACCTGTGAAAGAAAGCTCGAACAGCTCATCATGTGCCTCCAGCGATGGTGGAGAAGAAAGTGAGCTCGCTGAACTCAAGCGCATGCTCGATCCCGATGCCAGCTATATTTTTCCCGAGCAAGGCTCCAAGCCATCAGAACACAGGCGCGCAAAACTCGTCATCTCGCCTCTCGCATCCGACGAACAGCTCATGGCTTTTCATGATACCTGCTATGTCAAGGCACTCCTCGGAGAAGCGTCCTTGAAAGGGGACACCAGTGAGGGACACGAAGCAAATTCGGCCCTTGCATCTCCGACCAAACGACCGCGCTTTGATACCAAGTCCAAGGCTAATGTGCAGAGCCAAAGCAAGAGAGAATCTCAGTTTGGCCTGGAAGACGTCAGTCTTCGCATGCAGCATTCCTAACTATGGGCCCCAATCCTGACGGCTGAGATGTTCACCCTTCTGATTTGCTTTAGGACTGCCCCCGCTTCCCGCTTCTTGCGCAACATGTGCGAACTGTCGCAGGAGCTACGATTCATGCTGCCGACCTGCTAGCGAACCATCAGGCGGATGTTACAATCGTGTGGGACGGAGGAAGGTGAGGGCCACGTACTTGTCTTGATGGAGTTAGGTGAGACTGGCGGCTCGCTTAAGGGATCGCGCTCTTGCGCCCCATTTCACCCAGACATCATGCGCACAGAAGCAAAGCGGCAGGTTTCTGCTACGTGAATGACATCGTGCTCGGAATTCTCGCTCTCAAAAGGCCTCGAAAAGTGCCGCAGTCGAGAAACGTGGGGTCTGGCAGCAGGAAACAGAAGACCATACTAACGCGTTTCGAGCGTGTGCTCTACTTAGACTTGGATCTACACTGGGGCGATGGGGTTGTCAGTGTTCTTTTACATCTGCAACTTCCCTGCCGAATAGTATTGACGATATTTGCTGACTGCAATTGTCTAGGAGCAAGCATTCTATTCGAGCTCGTCCGTGTTAACCCTCTCTGTACACCACCACGCTCAAGGATTCTTTCCTTGCCGTGACACCCGCGAGAGTGCAAACGGATCTTTTCAAGTGTCAAGCGGACCAGAAAGCGCACCGGCACATGCGCTCAGCCTCCCCTTGAGACCTGGTGCCACGTCGGAAACTCTATCCGCTGTGTATGCGTCGTGCATCGATCCGATTATCGAGACATTCGAGGTGAGTTCTGATGGCGCTTGATCCGAGGACTCCCATCCCACCTACAGACAATTTGGAATCTGTTGTATTTTGAACATCGGCTCGACCGCTCCAGCCGCAGGCAATTGTGGTACAATGCGGCACGGACGGTGCCGCCGGAGACCCACACGGTGTATGGAACCTCTGCTCTGCAGGATATCTCGACGTGATTGGGAGAATTCTCAAAAGGGACAAAGCGACACTCCTGCTGGGAGGAGGTGGGTATGACAGTCCCAACGCAGCTCGTGTGTGGGCGGGCGTGACCAGCCTGGCGCTCCAACATGGCGAGAACAAGGACCTTGAGTCCATCCGTTTCGAACTGCTCGCCAAGAAGGTACCGGATCAAACCTTCTGGTCGGAAATGAGCGGAAACGATTCACTGAAAGTACATGCGGGGGAAATGAAGAATGAGAATGACGAGCAGTACCTTCAACAACTGGCAGATAGATTTGAGCATTACAAGAGTCTGTTGACAAAGTGGCGCCAGGAGCGCAAGTGATGTACTAGGAGTGTATCAAAATGCAAGGAAGCAGTGCATCTGTGCTGAGAAATCCAAAAGCAGAGGGAGCGTGCGCTGCGATAAATAACTACGGATCTTGCCCAAAGGACCAAATCTTGATTTCGGCATCATCGCTGCCGCTGACGATCTTGTCGTCGCCGAGCGCGATACAGGTAACGGCGGCGCGATGACCGACGAGCGTGCTGGTGCAGTGAGCCGAGTCGCGGTCCCAGATTTTGATCGTGCGGTCGTGGCTGGCGCTGACGATGCGCAGCTTATCCACGTCGACGCCCCAGATGCCCTCGATGTGCCCAAAGAGCGAGCGGATGCAGCGGCCTGTGCGAACATCGAAGATCTTGAGCGTGTTGTCCAGTGAGCCGGACAGCAGGACCGGACGCGGGCGCGAGCAGGTGCGTTGGCGCGCGGGCGACTTGGAGTCTGAGCGCTTCTTGCTACCCGCGAGCGCGGGTTGGTCGTGCTGGTTGCGGATGTGCGGCGCGTTCGATGCCCGGCCGAGGCGTGCGTCGTTGCTGGCGCCGCTCTCAAACTCAGATAGGCCACCGTCAATGTCGCTCATCTCGGCGTCGAAAGGGAGCAGCGGGACGAGCCCAGCGGCGCTGAGGCGATCTTGCAGCTTGAGCAGTTGCGGCGGTATGCCACGCTCCGACGCGGAAGGGTCGAGGGAAGGCCTACGGTGCTGCTCTGCGAAGGGCGCACTTCTCGTGCCTGCTGCTGCTGAGCGTGCTGAGGTGGAAGCAACAGCGGCTGCTGCGCTGTAGAACAGTTCCGGTAGGTCCGGCTGGTTCGTGTTCGGCGCCCGCCCGCCAGGTACATTCGGAGGGTTGTATCCGCAGTGCGCACTCGTGTCTCCATTCTGCATGCTCAAGGGAGAAGGGCCGCGCCCGCGCGCGTCTCCGTCTTCGCCGTCGCTCCCGCGGCCTCGAGCCTCGCGACCGCGCCGATCAGCGTCGGGCTTGCCCGCCACGGGACCACTAGCGGCGCCACGGCTCAGCTTGAGCACGGCGTCCTCATCGAGCATGACGAGCTTGATGCTCTGTACCTGTCCGACGTGTCCTTCGTACGTCATCAGACACTCTTTGTGCTGCAGGTCCCACAGACGGATCGTGCAGTCGTCCGAGGCGGAGAAGAGAAAAGTGGGCGGCGTGTCCTCCGCGTTGGCGTTGCTGTCTGCGATGGGCTCGCTGGCGCTGCCATTGCTGCTGGTGGCGCTGCTGTTTGCGATGGCTTTCTTCGGCCCGGACCACAGCTGTACAGCATTGATCCAGTCCTCGTGCCCTTTCAGCGTGAAGCATGTGCCAGTCTTGAAGTTCCAGACCTTAATGTTGCTGTCCTGGCTGCCGCTCGCGAGGATCTGGTCGTTGTAGTGCAGGCAGACGATACCGGCGGTGTGCCCCTCGAGCGTGCGGATGAGCTGGCCGGAGCGCCAGTCCCAGATCTTGAGCGTGCGGTCCATGCTGCCAGTAATAAGCTTGGCCTCGTCGAACTGGAGGCAGCGCACGCCGCGCGTGTGGCCCTTAAGCACGCGCAGTTCCTTGCCTGTCTCGAGGTTCCAAACGCGCGCCGTGCGGTCGTAACTGCCAGTAATGAGGATGGGAAATGCGGGGTGCGTGAGCGCCTCGCTGAACTGCAAACACATGATGCCATCGGTGTGCCCTTGCAGTGTGCGCACGGTGTAACGCCCGGCGCGCCAATTGCGCTCGATCATCAGGCGCTCGCAGTACACCGACTTCCATGGCCGCGTCAGCGGCTGCACCTGCGCGCCGGTGGTCACGGGCGAGATGAGCGCGGTTGCGACGTTTGGATCATCGCTGCCGCTGCTGCTGGTGCCTGAGCTTGCGCGTGCGGATCCCGTGCAGTGCCGCTTTGCGGCTCGTTCGCTTTTCGAAGCTTGCGTGCCGCTGCTCGACGCAACAGGCGAGGGCGGCCGCGAAGCAGCACCGTGACGCTTCTCGAGGGCCGCCGCATTCGCAGCTGCTGTGATATTGCGCTTGAGATTGCCATTGCTACTGGTGGTAGTGGTAGTGCTGGCGCTGGCGCCGGTGCCGTCGCTATCGCTGGTGGTCTGCGACTGTTGCGCTGCAGCGAGTGAAGAGGTCGAGGGAGCTGTGTTACTCTGCGCTTGCGCATGCTGTTGTTGTTGGTGCTGTTGCTGCTGAGGCGGGTACGCTGCAGCGGATGTCTTGATCTTGCGCCTGCGCTTCTTGTCGTTGAGCAGGGGGAGGCCCCAGCCGCACTTTTCACACTTGCGCTCAATATGCTGCTCGCACATATTGCGCCACAGCAGATCGTCATCCGCAAGTTCGCGCCAAGCGCGGCTGACCTGCGCGGCGCGGCCGAGGGTGATGGCGTCGGTAAAGCTGAGGACCTTGAGCGCGACCTCGCGCGGGAACAGGCTGAACGGGTCAATGCGGATCGCCAGCGCAAGTTCCGATGAGAGCAGTGAGAGCTGCGAGAAGCAGCACATGGTCAGGATACCCTGCAGAATCAGTGCGCGGCGCGCGTTCGACGAGCTGCTGAAGATCGACCAGACCGAGTTGACCGCGCGCTGGTCCGCGAGCGGGAGCGATTCGATCGACTGTAGGACCAGAACGTGCAGCAGAAAGGCAAGGTATATACGTCAGCGAGCAGTCTCGTTGAGGGCAGCTAAGCGTTAAGCCAACACAAGTGACGGCTAGAAACGAAGAAAAGAATGCCGAAGAAAGAAGGGAGGAATGCAGGTGGAAAAGAAATGTGCCGCATCTTCTATAACAGACGTCCCACTTTACCCGAGCCCCGACCTTTCCACAAACACAAAGGAGAGGGAGGGAAGGTGGTCAAGCAAGGACGCCGTCTCAAACTGTGCGCCTGAAGAGAATTTGATCTGGCAAGCGTGACAAGTGCATAACCTCCTGGGAGACCCAAGCCGTAAAGCAAGGGAGTAGAGGTAGCATAATAAAAGCTTGCGGCTGCGTGTGCGGCAGTGCCCGGGGGGTAGGGGGGGAGGGAGAGGCAAAAAACGGAAAAAGAGAAAGAGAGACAAACGAAGTGGGAGCAAACAGCAACTGACCTTTTGCAGCTTGGCGGTGGTCCCTTCGTCCGCCATGCGCTGGTGCCGCACGCAGAGCTTGCGGCTCGGTGACGGTACGAGCGGTGTCGTCCCCGCTGAGGTTGTTGCTGTTGCTGGTGCAAGAAATATCCCTGCTCCTGCGTCTGGTTCGAGCGCTGCTCCGACCCCGGGGGCGGATTGGAATGGTTGGGAAGGCAGGACCGCGGCCGCGTTACCGGCGGCAGTCGCCGTGGTGGGCGGGAAGTAGTCGCTATATCGCTGAATCGATGCCTGGAAGGAGCTGGAGGAGGAAGGCTGCTGCACATTGCTGGGAGGTGCAGCCCCAGCCCCAGCACCGACGGCGATGGGTGCAGTTGCGGCTGTGAGCTGCGCGACCATCGGGTGCGAATGCCCAGTGGCACAACTGAGAGGCTGTTCCTGCTGAGTCGTTGCACAAGCCGCCACAGCGGTCGTGGCCATCTGTTTTACAGTTACGCCTGCGTTTCTGCTTGCCTCACCTCGGCCTTGGAGGAAGGATTCGTCCCAAGACAGCGCGTCCTGCCTGCTCTTGCCCGCTACGGTGGGGGCGGGACACGGTTGCGCGATGCCGGCTGCTGCAGACGAGCTGGCGGAGAAGAGGCTGCGCAGGAGTGGCGCGGATGGGCGTGGTGGGAGCAGCAGGCTGAGTGTCTCTGGTGTTGACGAGGGGTTGAATGACTGCGAGTTGCAGTCTTGGTCTTCTCTGCTGCTTGCGTTTCCTTGCTGCCAATCTGCTTCTACCGAGTGCTGGGTGTGGAGAGCGGGTTGATGACGGTACAGTTGATGCTGCTGCTGCAGATCGCCGATACGAGACGTAGTAGCAGCAGCGGGTTCATGAGGCCTTTCTGGTGGCGGCGCGGCCGTCTCTGGCGCCATTTTGGCAGACGGCAGGCTGGCTGGTGCTCATGAGCACCAGCTGCCGTCCGAGCTGTGTGGGCGTGAGCGTGGTGTCCCCATCGGCAGTGCAGCAGGCCAGGCAACCAGCTGGGGCAGAGAGGGATCAATAGCCGGGGAGGGGGGGAAGGAGGGATTGGGGAACGGGTTTGCGTCCGTGTTTGCGTTTGTGTTTGCGTGTGGTATTGCAGTTGAGTGCCAGCGCTGCTTGGCCTGGCGGTGGACAGAGTAGAGTCAGTCATTCACCCGCAGTCAGCCATCACACCATCACACCATTTCTCCTCTCGCTGGCAGAGTCTCCAGTCGGGACAAGAAGTGGCGAGCTCAGCAGTGGGCGATGGCGTGCCCAGCCCACATCACACACACGTTCCTTTCGACTCGCCCAGTGCAGTTCGTCCCATTCCGCACTCTCTCGGCCGAAAAGATTGCTTCTGAAAAAAAAGAAGAGAAGGCGAGAAGAGAAGAGAAGCGAAGAGAAGGAAAGAAAAGAAAAGGCAAGAACACTGGGGAAAAAGTGAACCTGATAAAAAAGAAAGCAACAGGGAAAAAAAGAAAACAAGTCGTCATCATTATCCCCTTTGTGAACCATCAAAGCGGGTGGAGCAGGCGTGCATGGACGCAACGTGGCTGCTGCTGCTGGACCACTGGCACGTGCCATGGGTACACAACACAGCCAGACTACATGCCCACCTCACACATCCCCAGCAGCCCCGCTCTCGACCAGCGCACCGCCGTACACGGTTGCGTTCCTGTAAGCGGAGCTTACGACTGCTCTCACCGCCTTGCCGGCGCCGTCGACGAGGACGGACTCTAGGTGCGCGCAACCGGCTCGCGTTGGGAGCGGGTGAGGAGGAGGCCGCCGATCCCAGGCGCACGATGAAACTGTCGCCGTCCTCGCTCGGGGCGCAGCTGCTGATTCAGCAGCGCGTTTGCAGCGTGCAAGCCGCGCTGAGAAACAACAACACACCGCTTGTGCCCCACCGCAAGCTGCTGCTTGGCGCAGGGCCGCCAGCGCAAGCTCATCACGCCATCGTGCGATGCGTGACCGCGTGCTGGCCCCCTCCCCATGCACCGCATCCTGATTCTGATTCACACATGCGCACCTTGGCCGTCGCGCCGACGGCCCGTCGCGTCTCGCTACTCCCACTAGCGTCGTTCTGGGCGCAGCAGGCAAACCAGCGCTGGCGCAGCTGCACTGCGGAAACGAGCACAGGTGCGGGCGCACGCAGGCGGGGCTTTGCGACGCGCTCGTTACCATGCTCCCAGCCGCGCCGCGCAGAGCCAAGCGCGCATTCTCCCCCGCCGCATTTGCACGCCGCCGATCCGCAGCTCCACCCCTCAGGACGATGGAACAGCCAGCAACCCATCGCCGACATACGCCCTGCTAGCTTTGACGCCGCTCCAGCCGTGTTTGCCGCATCGCCACTCCAACCCGCGGAGACCTTCCACAGCGCCGAGCAAGAAGCGCGCTATCTGCTGTCGCTGCGCGCGCCGAGCGTGTTGCGCGCGTTTGCATTCTGCGCTCTGCTCGCCGCCGCCGCGTTCGGCCTCGCGGCGTACTTCACGCTCGCAGATGCGGACGCGCTCGCGCGCCGCATCCGTGAAGAGAGCGGGCCGTTTGGCGACTTTGCCTCGTTCGCTGCGCGCGCGCTCGGCGCTGCAACCCGGAGCGAGCACGGCGTCAGCGAGGGCCAGCTGCGCGCGGCAAAAAAGCAGGTCGCCGCGGAGCGCTATGGCCGCACGCTCACGTCGCTCGTCGGCTGGTGTGACCAGCTGCACCTGCCGGATGGAGTCAAGGAGTTTGTTGGGAGAAGCTATGTCATTCTTGCTGAAAGGTAAGCAGCTGGCAGGCTCTGCGAGATGCTATATACACTTAAAGCTCGAAGGCTCACAGGCAGCTCTTTCCTCCCATTTCCTCCTCCCCAGCTACCTCAACCTCTCGCCATCCAAAGAGGGTGTTGTTCCGATCATCGCACTCAACACGGCCGTGTTCGGCGCATTCCTGCTCGTCCCGAGTTTGTACCCATTCCTCTTCCGCACGTTCGTGCATGCGCCCTGGCTAAACGGGACGCGCAAAGTGTCGACGCTGCTCACGTCGACCTTCTCGCACCAGGCGCCAGTGCACTACCTGTTCAACACGCTCGCTTTGTGGTCCTTTGGCGCCGCCGCGTTCCTCAGCCCGGCCTGGCCGCTGGCCTCGCCGTTCAGCCTGACCGAGCACCGGCGGCAGCAGGCACACGCGCACAGTGGCGGCATGCTCCCCGAGCCGAGCCATGCGCCGCACTTTGTTGCATTCTTCGCCGTGGCCGGCACTGTTGCCGCGTTGTTAAGCCATGCTGTGCTTGCCATGCGCTTTCGGCGCGCCGTGCGCTCCTCGGCCGCCTTCCGCAACTGGCGCGCCGGGCCCGGCCGCGCAAATGCGCACGACAACGCCGAACTGCGCGCCCGCCTCGCTGAGTTCGTCTCGCACGCCTCGCTCGGATCCAGTGGCGCCGTATACGCCGCGTTGGTCATGGCCGCCTGTGCGCTGCCCGATGCGCGCGTGGGCATCATCTTTGTCCCCTTCATTGCCTTCCCCATCACCTGGGGCGTTGGTGCCATGGTCCTCACTGATCTCCTCGGCGTCGTGCGTGGCTGGAGGATGTTCGATCATTGGGCACATCTCGGGTGCGTGTCTGCCGTGCTTCGATGTTTGCGTGTTGCCTATGCTGACTCCCCCGCCTCCTTCCCTCACTCTGCTCCTTGTTCGTACTTTGGCAGAGGCGCAGCGTTCGGTGCGGCGTACTGGTACGCCGGTTGGGGCTTCTGGGAGCGCGTCAAGCGCGTCACGTACGATGCTTGCTTCAAGGATCGCAACCCGATCGAGCAAAAGCGCGTATAGGAAATGCCTGAGCCTTCATTGCAATCAAAGAGGGGGAAGAGGAGGAGCGAGTCGCATCCCAATGTGCATAAAGCGTCGCACGTGCATCAATTGTATCTATAGGTGCAAGCCTTTAATTCATGCTTATTACATGCTTTTCAGAAAAAGGACTCGCTCGTTCGACGGCAAGCAGCTTGATCTGCTTGCGTCTGGCCAAAGTAGCCCCGGCTACCAGCAGAGATGACGAACTCTTGGTCAAAGAATGCTATGCCACCATCGATCGTGCGCGGATACGGTGTGGTTTTCTCCAGGTAAGTTCGGCCATCGGCGTCAGCAATTCCTTCTAGTTTGGTCTGCGGGGACAAGACGGGTTTAGCATTCCGCGCCGACATGATCGATAACCCTACAATTCATGCCGTGTCGATTTGACTGACTGGCTGTCGGCATCCGGGTGGACAATGGTGGGATTATTGACACAGCACAGCTTGGGCTGGTGCGCCAGCAAACATCTTGCCAGAGCGGATAGTGCATTCTCGGTGCAACCCGGATCATTTGCACCGAATTATATGCGCACGGATCACCCCAATCACCGTCGCTTGGCGGATCTCGTTATCGGGCTAGTGTCTCCACAAAAGGGAAGTACTCGCAATTCATCGAACGCTCGTACATAGCGCGTCTTCAAACTATCTGCGCGCCGACCTGGTTCCTTCGCTATTGTCCTCTGAGCTGGGCTAATCGAGACGAAAGCGATTATGTGCTTTTAGCATCACCGTAGCGACACAAGCGTCTGTATATTCCCAGCAACTTGCTCGCAATTCTGTGAGCCCCTGCTTGCGCACGCGATCACCAACTTCCCCTTTCACCTTCATTACTGCACACGATGCCGAAAACATGGTGGGAACGCGAGGCCATCGTGTATCAGGTTGGTACTTGCATATGATCCACGCTACCATTCGCTCTATAAAGAGCTGCCTGGCTTCTATCCAACGTGTGACGCGAAGAATCGACGACTGACCCTCTGACTGCTCTCCCTTCACGGTGCAGGTCTGGCCAGCATCCTTCGCCGACTCGAACAACGACGGCTTTGGTGACATTCCCGGTATTATCTCCAAGCTAGACCACATCAATTCCCTCGGCGCCAATACCTTATGGGTCTCTCCCCACTATGCCTCCCCGCGGATTGATGAGGGATACGACATATCCGACTACAAGGCCGTTTATCCACCGTTTGGGACGATGGAAGACACGGAGCGGTTGATCCGCGAATGCCATCAGCGCGGACTCAAGATTATCTTTGACCTCGTCATCAACCACACCTCCGATCAGCATGCCTGGTTCAAGGCATCTCGCTCTTCCAAATCGAACCCCAAACGTGACTGGTACATTTGGCGTCCTGCCAAGTACGACGATAAGGGAAACATGCTTCCCCCAAACAATTGGCGGAGCTACTTCAACGAGAGCGCCTGGACGTGGGACGAGCACACACAGGAGTATTATCTCCATCTATTCTGCAAGGAGCAGCCTGACCTGAACTGGACGTGTGAAGATGCAAGAAAGCAAATATATCAAGATGCTATCATCTTCTGGCTCGAAAAGGGCATCAACGGGTTTCGGTGAGTTTCTCTTATTTGCTTTTTTGTCTTGTGAACAAAAGCATTTGTGCTGAGCTGTGCGGTCCCTGTTTTGCAACTTTCTTAGTGTCGACACAGTAAACATGTACTCCAAGCCGATGGACTTTCCAGACGCCGAAGTTACCGACTCAGACAACCCATACCAGCCGGCGCACTCGCTCTTCTGCAACGGACCGGAGATGCCAAAGTATCTGCGCGAGATAAGCGCGATTTTTGACAAGTACGACGCCATGACTGTGGGCGAACTCCCTTCGACGCCAGACTTCAAGCAGGTTTTGCGCTACATTGACCCAAACGATCCTCAGGTGAGCTCATATCTGATACGTCAGCTGTCTACTGAAGCCTCCTGACATAATTTATGCTATCTCCTCGTCTCGTGGCAATGCAGCTCAGTATGGTCTTCTCCTTCGATCACGTCTCTCTAGACCGAGGGGAAGGTCAGCACTTCTACCTGCGGTCCTGGAAGCTCCCAGAGCTCAAGAACGCCATCGCGCACATGCAGACTTTCGTGCGTAACTCGTCTCCACCGGCTATCGCGGCCACTTACCTCGAGAATCACGATCAGCCGAGGTCCATCAGCAGGTTCTGCCCTGCTGCTCAGACACCCGAGGAGACTAAGCGAGCAGGCAAGATGTTGGCTATGTTTCAGACTGCCATGTCAGGTGCGCAATTCATCTATCAAGGCCAGGAAATCGGTATGACAAATTGTGAGTGCTTGCAAGTGATTTGCAATGTCGAGTTTGATGGGGCTGCTTATGAACCGCCCTGTTTGGACCCTTATCTACAAAGTCCCGGACACTTGGGGCCCTCACGAGTACAAAGATGTTGACAGCCTCAACTACTACAATTATGTCGTAGCACACTCGGGGGACGATACGTCCAAGCCAGGTGAAGTCCTCAAAAAGATCAACCGCATTGCGCGTGACAATGCGCGCACGCCCGTGCAATGGTCCTCCGCGCAACCATATGCGGGGTTCATGGCGCCATCGCAAGGCGGCGAAGGCAAGCAGCTGCACAAGCCGTGGATGCGCATCAACGACAATTACAAGGATGGTATCAATGTTGAGGATCAAGTTCACGATCCCGACTCCGTGCTTGCATTCTGGAAGCAAGCCATCGCGATGCGTCAAGCACGCCCTGCCCTGTTCGTCCATGGAACATATGAGCCACTCGACCATGAAAACCAGCATACGTTCTCATTCCTCAAGAGGGCAGAGGACGGGAAGGGGACTGTCGCGTACATCGTGCTCAACTTCAGCGAGAAGCAACAGACCTTCACGCTTCCTACTGAGCTGCAAGGTCGGAAGGTGGAGCTGCTCATGGGCACGCAGCAAAAGGTCCATCTACAGGAGCATCGGCTTGGCGGGTATGAAGGCAGGATTTACGTCGCTTCTTGATCATAGATTGTGACTTTAGAGAATACAATTCGTGTGCTGCCCGTATGCACCGTCTCGTAATTTAATTTGCAACTTTCCCGCCATTACAGAGTCGTAAGAGCACGGGCCTAGCGGGAATTCGGAATAGGAACTTGCGAAGGACAGTTCTATACTCAGTCGGATGGTCCTTTGCAAGGCCTTCCAGCTTGGTACTGTCCCAAGGACTCTGTCACATAAGTGTGTACGGACAAGAAGGAAAAAGGATGACGTTCTGTCCGCAAGGGGGATGAAAGCAATACACAAGATGGTGGACACAGTAAGCCCGAAAAGTCGATCATCAGAGCCTTCGAAAGTGTCCGAGAGCTCGATCGGGCTCGCCGACGATGTGAATGTGGAGTAGAATAGTAGAAAATATATGAACTGAGACATCCATTACCCAGCGTAATGCCACGACACTGGAGGTTCCAAACCGACCCTTCAAAGGTCCATGAATTCCTCTCATCCTTTCGTAAACCCTTGTACATACACGAAGAAAAAGGACACTGCATCCGGACCCTAATTGGAAGCCTTTCAGTTGCACAGCACCTTGTCCCAAAACCCTTTTTGGCGGTTAAGCGTGTTCTGAGTAGCACTGACTGGGACGCAACGATCATGTCCGAGGTATGTTTGTTCTCGCCCTAATGGCGCTGAGCGCATTTCGTCCTTATACCGGGAATGGAGACACTGATTTCGTAAGCGTCTTGCATTCATATATGTGCAGCACGAGTACAAATTTGAGGTCGTCATGACCTGCTCTGGCTGCTCGGGGGCGGTCACGAGGGTATTGTCGAAGCTTGAAGGTGAGCTGCTATTGATCGTCAATCGCAGCCAGTCCACAACCGACGCATCTGACAAGTGTGCCTCCCTCACAACTTTGTGATCTAAATACAGGGGTCTCCTCATTTGACGTCTCGCTTGAGAAACAATCTGTGGTTGTCAAAGGCACAGCACCATACGAGACGGTCCTAGAAAAGATCAAGAAGACCGGCAAAGAGGTCAAGCATGGCGAGATCATCGCATAAGCTCAAGGTCTTCGTCTCGAAGCCTCCACCCATTACGGATGGTTGCCCGTCGATGCTCCGGTGTCTTTCATCATTGTCTTCGCCGTAGCTTGTATTCGTAGATGGCAAACTGCGAGCGGTGCAGCCCCGAGATCGGTGACGTGGCGGCAGCGATGGATTCAGGACTCGCAAGGGCCCAAAGCGAACTGAATCCTTCCCCCTACTGCTACTGCTTACGCCGCCGTCCGGTCCTGCAGCAAGCGACGGTCTTCACAATAGGCTGCCTCTACATAGTTCCTATTCAATTCATTTGAGACCAGGCTCGTGCTGCTCGGACGTGTCTGAACGGCTGAATCGGCGATATTCTAGTTCAAATATGTTCTACGCCACTCCATGATCCTCGTCACCTCGTCTGACGAAGCCAAATCTTGGTAGGCGGCCTGCTTCATTGTAAGACATTTACGTCTGCGATCTGCAGTAACAACTTTGTGGAGCTCGTGGACGCTCGAATCCAACATAGCGACATATCGTTTGATCCATTCTCTCCCTTCTGTCGCGAATGTCAACGCAGCAGCCGGGTTCCTTTCGCGCGCAAAGCTTCCAAGCGACAGGGAAAGCGACGCTTCGCAGCTTCGGCGGCAGTGGAAGCAGGCAATACAGCGCTGTCTCAGCCTCAAGCTCGACGAGATGGTGCACATTCTCCGAGCTGGCGTTCACCTTTCCACTCAAGCTGATCAGTCCGAGGCAGTCCTCTGAAGATGCCGTCAAGCGCATTTGGGAATATCGTCAGCGCCAGGCCAAGGGTAAACGCAGAGAACCCGATGATGCGCTCATCAAGCCTGTCGGGGTGCTCTATATAGTTGGGTATGGTGGAGGACTGGTCAGTGGCGATGTTGTCAAGCTGGACATCGATGTCGGAAGTGGATCAACGCTGCTCGCCTTAACGCAAGGCAGCACTAAGGTGTTCAAGGTTAGGCGGAGGCTCCCGGCGTCAGCATCATCAATGCACCACCATTCCGTCCGTATCCCGGGTGAGAAAACCACAGATGAATATAGCGCATCAACAGCGACCCCTCCAAGTCCAACAAATTTGGCCCCACCGCGAACAGAGCCTGGCCCGGATACTCGGCAATATTTTCGCGTAATCGTCCGCGAAAATGCGACGCTTGCCCTCATACCTGACCCCGTAACATGCTACGAACACGCGCGATACGAACAAGTGCAACGGATCGACTGCCGCTGCCCCAAGACGAGCTCTCTCGCCTTGCTGGATTGGTACACGTCTGGGCGAACGCTGCTCGCTCAACCTCAGCACAATTCTGAAGTGAACGACTTGCAGAAGGTCAACGTCTCAGAACTCTGGGGTTTTGAGCGCTATAAATCGCGTAACGAGATACGCGTAGCTGATCATGTGATCGTACGCGACAGCCTCTTGCTCTCAAGCGACGCGGATGTACCTCCTACCTCAGGCGAGCGTGCAAAAGGCACTGAGAGGCGCGACAGAGACAGTATCTCGACCCTTGCGCGTCGCAACGCCCCGTATGGTTGCTACGCCACGCTCTTCCTGCTCGGACCCGACTTTCAAGCCATTATCGAAGAGCTCGTCATCGCGTATCATCAAGTGCAGCAGCGCGTTCTGAGAGAAGCGCCTGCGTTGCTGTGGAGCTTCAGCATCTTGCGCGAGGACCGCGCTGGCGGCGGCACTGGGGCGGATGCTGGCGCTAACGAAGAGGACAATGAGTGTGTACTTAAAACGGCAGTGCTGCGCGTCGCGGCAGCCGATGCGGAGGCTGTGCGCACTTGGTTGCGAGGCGCGCTTGGGCAGCTGCAAGCTGTCATCGGGGATGATTTGTACAAGCAGGCTTTCGGGACATGAAACGCGGTGACAGAAGGCTAACATGGACCAGATGTTGGGGTGCAAGCATCGATGGTATTCGTGCACATTTTGGTGACAGCCACTATCCGAACACGGCATATGCGATGCTGCAGTGTGCCAAGCGCTGTAGGGCAACGGCATGGGCTCACGACTTTTGTACGAGCTCTGGGTGGCTCTCTTTCCACCACTGAGACAATATAAAGAGGGAAGGAACAACTTCGTTCAGCTTGCGATCGACATGGAACATGAAGTAGATACACTGCATACTCACCTGCACGGATCTCCTGATGCCCTCCTCAAGTCCGACGATCGGTTCGTACCCCAGGAGCCTCCTCGCCTTCTCAATGTTGTAGTAACGCGCGCACGCCGTGTACGTGACCTTGTACTTGGTGAACAGCGGCTGCTTCCCCATGACCCAGCAACCCCACTCGGCGGCACTCGCAAGGAAGAGCCCAACGCCTTTACTCAGCTTCCACGTTTTCTCTTTCGGCACGACGGTGCCGACGGCCGCCCAAAGCGCGCGGGGGAAATCCCAGAAAGGGATTGGCTGGCCATTGGTGATGAAGAAGGCTTGCCCGCTGACCTCGAGGTGTTCGCATGCGAGGTTCGTCTCGGTGCTCTCCGGCAGCGGGTTGTTGACGCTTGTGATCTCCGGGTTGACATGGTGGAAGAAGGGATCGAATTTGTTTCGCAGAAGCGGGCGCTCGTTCAGTGGGTTCTCCTCCGAGATGACCAGTGTCGATGGCAACGAAGCGGCGTAGTCTGTGGCGCCCGGTGGTGATGGCCGGCTTTCCGACGTCGGTACGCTCCTGTATCGCTTGGCCTCTTCGGGTGCCATGATCTTCTCGGACAGATGCTCGTACCCTAGTCGCTCAGACGCGTACGAAGCTGCTTTGCCCTGCCTAATCTCCTCACCAAGCTTGTCTGCGGCAAGCAAGTGTGCATGCGCGACGTTGTCAACGTAGGTCCAGTCGAATAGGTTCTCATTGTCTCCAATCTGCATGTTCGCGCGCCCTGTCGCCAGCACCTGGAAGAAGCCCGGAAGCGCTTGTCGGTCGTTCACGCCAAAGATTCCGGCGGGACGGAGGGCAACGGTGCGAAGACCGGTGGAAGATTCTGAGTCATTTGCTTTGAGCACAGCGTCCTCTGCACGAGCCTGTGTAAGTGCACCCGGATGAGTGATGGGGTGTCAGACAGCTCAGTTGAAATTTAGTCGGCCCATCAGAAGCCCACCTTGGTATCGTTGTACGCATCTAAAGGGACTTCAGGGTAAGGCAAGCGCTCGTCGACATTGATGAGATCTTGGCCGGTGAAAAGCACGCCGGCTGACGAAGTGAAGATGAGTTTCCGGATGCCGAGCTCCTTTCCCGCCTTGATGACGTTTTCTGTCCCTTGCACATTGACCTTTTCGTACAACTCCTTTGCAAGCCCGGCGACGGGGCTGGCAGTGTGGTAGATGACCACCTCGCCTCTGCCTTTTGCGGCGCTCACGGTACTGCTGACGTTCTGGTTGCTCGCGTCGGACAGTGCACGCTTGAGTGAATCGAGCTTGGTGATGTCGCCTACATGGTACGAAACCTTCTCGACTGGTACCAGAGGCTGGGATAGGTCAAAGATGTGCACGGATGGTTCGCCACGTGCTTGCAGGAGGCGCACGATGGACGAGCCGAGGAAGCCGTTGCCGCCAATAACAAAGTGTGCCTCGTGGGTGGGCGGAGCGTTGGCCATGGTCGCGTTTGCTTAGGGGGGGAGGAGGAGAGGGGGGAGACAGTGGCTGTCCGTTCAATGAAAGCAAGTTACCCGTTCGTGCTCGCTCGCAACACCTGCTTGTCCTGTCAATGTGATCTCTCTTGCCGTCAAAGCGGATGTTGGTCTTTGTGAACCTGACCCCATCCGTATTGAGGAGAGAGAGCTTTCTTCGCATATGCTCTCCCTCACGAGAGCAAGTCTACTGGACTGTCCAGCTGGTTGAGTGGCCGCGGCGTGCAGAGTGGGCGCCGGCAGTGCAGCAGTCTAATCTCTCCGTCTCGTAGGCAGTTCCGCCCCTGCCCTGATCTCATCGAGATCCGCATGGGAGCACCTCCCGTTGGAGCGAGATCAACACCTTGACGATGTCATGTTCCATTGGGGTCGAACACAGGGCATGGACGCTTGGCTGTCGCCGCACCTTGAGCCTGACGTCGGCATCGTGGCGAGCTTGACGAGCTGTTGAAAGAACGTCTGTCAGTTTCGTGCATGGGTACACAACGCGCCTTCGCGCATTCTTCGTAACCGCTTCTTGGGACTCTCGCCCCTTGATTCCCTGCCGCTTCAGCAGCGCCATCCATCCTTTATAGGCTTTGATTCGCCAGCCCCACAGATTCTTTGAAACCTACAGAATCAAAGAATAACTACCAGCATCGCCCGTCATGGCCTCTGCAACCGTGCCCGTCGCGCCAGACCTGGTGTCGACGTTCGACAGCCTGACCGCCTCGAAGTCCGACTCGCCTCCCACGCGTGCGCTGCTCGTCCGGCCGACGCCAGCAGGCGCTATGAGGCCGACACTGGCGCTCATCCGAGACTTTCCGACTGCACCACCTTCGGGCTCGGACGCAGTTTCGGCATCTGAAACATTCACGCAATGCCTTAAGGAGTTGTTGCTTGGCGCTGGGCCGGAAGAGACGAACCTCAGCGGTTATGTCCTATATCGTCTCGACAGCAGAGCTGCAGCTGGGACCTGGGAGTGGATCTGCTGCGCATATCAACCTGATGGCGCCAAGGTGCGCCATGCCGCCAATTAAATTCCCGCGTTCTGCTGAACCCCTCATTGAGATTTATCGCATGACGAATACAACCTCTGCAGGTCAAAGAAAAGATGCTATATGCAACCACGCGCACCTCCCTGCTCAGCGCACTGAACGAGCGCAACTTTCTTGACACGCTCTTCGGCTCCAGCCTTAAAGACTTTTCCTTCCCTTCCAAACTCCGCAACAGCCGCAAGCATGACTACCAGAACCCGCAGCTCTCGACGCGTGGGAAGGCCGCAAGCGAAGCTGCTGGAACGGGTACAGGCGGTGCTAGGCGCAACTTTGGCGCTGTCACCAGCGGCGGCGGCACGAAAGCGGCAGCGGAGGCAGGGATGGCAGCTAGTGCAGGGAAGAGCGCAGCCTCAGGAATGCCATTTGGCGCGCCGGCTCCGCGCTTCACTTCTGGGGGCTTGGCGGCGCGGGCAAACGCGGGAGCTGTTGGGCCGTCTTCTGTGCCTGGCGAGGCGCCTGCAGTAGCAGATGAAGGGGTGGAGAAGCAGCAGGTGCGATCGAGCAATGCGCCTGCTGCCGTGACGAGTGCAGCTGCTCCTGAGCCTCCTGTCGTTAAGGCTGAGGAAGTTTTGGAAATGCAAACGGAAGAGAATGCCATAGAAGAAAAAACAGAATCGACAATCGAACCTTCCCCAGTGGCTCCAGAGGGACCATCGGTGGCAAAACCGGCTTCGGAGTCAAATCCTTCACAATCAGCATCCGCCAGCGATTCAACAGCGACTTCATCACTATCCCCCACAGTGGTGCCCCTCGATCGCATCCCGTACGAAACATCAGTCGTATCGAATGCCTATGGCGCAACCTTGCTCGCAGAGTACGCTGGCGCCTTGAAGACCTTCGATCCTGCGCAGCTTCCCCCGCCTCAGCCAGGCTCGCTTGCCGTCACGACGCCGCGAATGAGCGTGGAGGATGTGAGGTTCTTCGATACTGTACACGGTAGAAACGCTTTGATCTCCCCGCTGACGCTCGCTCCTCCTTGTGTCTGACATTTGACAATCTAGTGCGAATTGCGGTCAGCCATCTCAGACGCCTCGCACTGCCCTGAATCGCTCGATATCATCGCATCCCTCACGTCCGAATCGGCCGCTGCGCACATTGCTGCTGTACCGGACAAGAGCGCAAGCGATGCTGTCGCTGACTCTGCCGCGCCTGTAGCTGCTTCTTCGTCGAGCGCAGAGGCAGTCACATCGGCGACCGAGGCGTCGGCGCCTGCAGTATCGCAAAATGGAGCAAACGACTCTGGCGCGGTTTCCTCCACTCCTTCTGCCACTGCAGATGCATCCGCACTCCACCATGGAATCCAGGCGGCGCCGCCCATGTCCCGCCGCGAGTCCATGCCCTCGTCGGACGACCCGGAGCTGCTCGGTCGTCAGGCTGCTGCGAACCATGAAGTAGAGGAGAGCGTGTTGGCGCCGCAGTCAGCCACAATTTCCGAACAGCACAGCGCCGATGACGTTGGTGCGGGAGCGGACAGCAGCGGTAGCAGGGCCTGTCCTGGTGCCGGCACAACTTCCATCGGCGTAGGACAAGGCGCAAGTGACCATTTCACACAGTCAGAGCGTGAGCTGGAAAGTATTAAGCTTGCGCAGAAGGCGGAGGGCAGTGCTGCTCCTCGAAGCACCATCTCGCTCGGCGTTGGATGCACAATTGATGAAGATGGTAAGTTGAGTGTCTCAAGCACATTTGTTGTCTGCATTTGGCTCACGCATGCTCGGCTTGCACCGTGCGGCGCCAGTGGAACTTGCCATCCGTGGGCTTACATCACACCTGTTGGACACGAGCGAATGGAACACGGTGGTCCTCTCGATCGATACCAAAGCCGAAGTGCTGCAGCTGGACCAAGCGCCGCGCTTCGTCTCTGCCACTGACCTATGCTCGTTGCTGTCCTCCACCGAACCGAGACTCTTGTTCTACCGCTACAATTACGAACGTCGTTCCTCGGGCGGCAGTGGAGCAGGCAGTGTGCCCAGCTCGGCCAAGCCAGCAACTGTGCTGTACATATATTGCTGTCCCAGCCAGAGCCCGATACGGTCCAAGATGCTCTACTCGTGCAACGTCTTGCCTTTGTTGGCGGCAGTGAGACACATCGAGGGTATGCATGTGGGCAAGAAGGTGCGTTCATATCATACTTTCACTGTTGCAAGGCTTGACATCTCCTGACGTGCTGTCTTTTTCTGTGCTCTTCCTCTTCCATTCCCCATCTCCAGATCGAGGTTTCGGACCCGGCAGAGCTCACGTCCGTGAGGCTGGCGGAAGAGGTCAAGGCGATGCAGGCACCGCTCACCCACATCGAGCAAGGCCTCGCTGGAATAAACGCAGCTGATGCTATAGAAAATGGCGCTGTCGAGGTCGACACCTCGGATGCAGTGCCTGTTGCCGCAGCAAAAGTCGAAGCGGAAGCCTTGAAGACGTTCTCGCGTCCCAAGAAGCCGGGGAGGCGGTAGCTCCGGCGTTTTATACTTGAGTGCCGCAGGGATCAGTATGGACGCCACCTTGCATTTTGCGAAATAAAGCAATACAAGACATGTATTCTATCACAATTTTAGGAAAGATTTAGGAGTGATCGGAACCAGCAGCGCGCAAGGGCAGGTGCGACTGTGAGGTGGATTGAAGTGAGCGCACTGTGCGCAGGTGGTACGAGTCGCAGGATGCTTAAAAGCTCTGGCATACTGATAGCAGACCGTAGACGCTAAGTCTGGGTTTGAATTGGCGGAACTAAGCACGACGACGCCTTTGCCATGAACCTCTCTCAGGAGAGCAACTGTAACACGCCTAATGTCCTTCATGATGGAGAGCCACTTCAATTAAGGCTACCCTACCCTATCCCCTCCTAAGCACTACGATTTCCCTGTGAGGTTAAAGAGCGACTCGCCAACGCATCTATTAGTTAACCCAAGCAGCGCATAATTGCAGCCACCATGTCCGCCTCCGGCCAGCGCGAGGCGGTGTTCCCAACCCGTATGACCCTGAACGTGACCAAGGGTCGATTAAAAGGCGCACAGACGGGCCATTCGCTGCTAAAGCGGAAGGCTGATGCGCTGACCAAACGTTTCAGAACGATCACGGGAAAGATCGATGAGGCGAAGCGTAAGATGGGGAAAGTCATGCAGCTTGCTAGCTTCAGCCTTGCTGAGGTACAGTACGTCACGGGCGAGATTGGATACTCGGTGCAGGAGAGCGTCAAGTCTGCTACTTTCAAGGGTTAGTGCTTTGATCTTGGCAATGTATGATGGCCTTATAATGTTGTCCTAACCCTTTCATTCATATCTTTCCCGCTCTCAACATGCAGTACAAGCAAAGCAGGAGAATGTTTCAGGTGAGGAAGGCGGCCAGATCAAGGGCTTTGGTGCGACACCAAGCTGACAGAAGTTGAACTGCATTACATTGCAGGTGTTCTACTTCCCGCTTTCGAGGTGCAGTCAGGATCAGGAGGGGCTGCGGGTGAGATACCTTGGGAGGAGGAACGTTTGGCGTATATCAGCTGACGGCCAATGGCGCTGCGGCTGCATGGATCCACAGAATTCTCGCTTACGGGTCTGTCAAGAGGTGGACAACAAGTTCAAAAAGCACGCGAGACATACAGCAAAGCTTTGACGATGCTTGTTGAACTTGCGAGTCTGCAGGTGAGGAGACGAGAGCCGATGCCGCGCTTGCGATGATACTCATATATGCTCACATGGCCGACTCCCTTGAATAAAGACCGCGTTCGTAATTCTGGACGAAGTCATTCGGATGACAAATCGACGAGTCAATGCTATTGAGCACGTCATCATTCCAAGGCTGGAGAACACCATTGCCGTGAGTTTCTTGAGGATGATCATACGCCGTGTGTGCATACGCTGATCCCCCTGGCTCTTTTGAAACTCCCGCCTCATCTGCTGTTGCCGGTCGGCACGACAGTACATTATTTCCGAGCTTGACGAGATGGACCGCGAGGAGTTCTTCCGCCTGAAGAAAGTGCAAGGAAAGAAGAAGCAGCGCGCCGAGCTGGAGGATGCGGAGCGCAAGGCGAAGGAGAGTACAGGCAATTATGACCCGGTCATTTCGTCTGGAACAGAGAGCGCTGGCGGGGGGAAAGACATGCTCTCCGCTGGCAAAGACGAGGACGTCATTTTCTGACTCCAATTTGGCAGTCCTGGTCTGGCAACTTTTGTCTGGCTCCTATTCTTTCCTCGAGCTTTTGAACGAAGCATAGTGTAATTCTACCCAATTTTCCAATGACTGACGACGACATGTATATGCTGCTGGCAAATGACCCTGTTTTGGTATGGCGAGCTCTATGTGTGACACTGTGCTGTTGTAACTAGTTCGATCAACTAACGTCCGGTCCATGTCTTCTCGAGTAGCCTCAGCGGCGCGTACAGCACCGCACAGGTGACGAAACCTAATTCAAAAGCCTAAAGCGTGACGAGCGAGAGGGGCCAGACATTAGTCTTCAATTCGTGCTTTTTTGCAAGGAACTGAGATGCGCATTCGCTCACCAAATCACCGCTTCTCTCCGCAATAGGCCCCGTGAACCAGACCTGGTCGATACTGGGCACAAGTAATCCCAGGCTCAAGACAGCACTCGTCAGCGCAGCGGCGCCGATGGGTAAGCGGCGCCGGTCGTTCCAAGCGGTGCGGTCGTAGCTCTCGAATCGCGCACGGCGGAGTATCAGGTGCTCAACGAGTAGGACAGCATTGAAGAGCGCCGCCCAGTAGCCCAGGACGGCTGTGAAATTGGTCAGGGTTTGATAGAAGTGTGATGCGCCTACGATGCCTAACGGTAGGACGATAGCTGTTGCTAGGATCGGCCAGATGAACCGTGGGAAAGGGGCGAGGAACGGTAGCATGGTTTCTGAAAGGGTAGCAACAGGCGTGGTCAGCCATGGACAAAAACTCTACCGATTGCACGGGAGTTAAACACAGATGCAGTGACTCACGGAATGTTAAGCCAAAGCTGTAGAAGGTATTTGTGATGTTCGGAATGGTGCTCAGCGCCAGAATGACGGTGAGGAATTTACCAAAGCCACGTAGTGCCGTGCTGTAGTCGGGGTCATCCGCCATGATGAGGTTGAAGAGTGCACCGTTCGACGCCCCGAGCGCTTGTTCCCACTCCGGTATATCCTGCGCCGAGATGGCAAATGCGGCGCCAAGCATAATGATGGGCGTGCTGGAGAAAAAGTATCCACAGAAGGTGGCGAGAAAGAGATTGCTGCTCGAGGTTTTCGGATGGAGGTAGTGCGAGACGTCAGATACAAGTGGAGAGTAGGACAGCAGGAAGCCAGCGATTACGGCACCCATGGCCAGCACAGCGCGCGGCGTGGATGGGTCTGGGCCTGCGGGGAGGTGCAAGCCTTGCGGTCCGCTTCCGGCGGCGCCGATCAAGGTAATGTAAGCAATCAGCGTTGGAAGCCAGACCCAGCGCTCGGTCCAATGCAGAAACTTGATGCCTGCGAAGCTGAGCAGCAGAGAGACCACAGCGACAACGACGATGCCGACTGTCGGTGTGAGCGAGGAGGTGCCCGAAGCGTTGGAGGATGCGACAGCGCTGAGTGTTTGGCCGCCGAGGATGCTGTTGAGGATACAGTAACCGATCATGCTTGCGCCACTGAGCAGGCAGATAAGGCTCGTGGGGAAAAACCCCCAGCTGTACCGTGTTTGCACCATCTGGCGCAGACCGAGCTTGGGCCCCCAGGTTGTAATGTAAGCCGGTGGAATGGAGCAAAGGAAGCAAAAGCCGAGGATGGTGAAGAGCGCGCCGTACATGCCTAGACCGAGCTGAGGTGCGAGCGTACCAGCACTGAAGGACAGCACATTGAAGTTGGCGCTGAACCACAACGTGCCGACGGACCACCATGCGGTCTGTGTGCGTTCATGCTCAGGCAGCGGCGTGATGCCGATCTTCTCTACGCTGTACCCTGTTAGCGCGAAGCCAAACTTGTGCAGCGCGTTAAGCAGCTGGTTTGACGAGATGATTCTTCGCTGGCGACTATCGGTTATGTCGGCAAGATGCTCCTCATAGGAGGAGGTGGGTGGGGATGCAGATGTATCTTTGAATTGGTATGGATCCTCCTGGTTCGTTCGCACCTCCGCAGCTGGCAGTGGCGAGGACATATCTGACTCCATCTGTGGCAGATCCTGCTGCTGCGCCTCAGTCATATTACTCGTTGAGGTGGCCGTCATCTTGGCCAGCAAAACCAGACGAAATTGCCCCTCTCTGTAGCTTGAGCCTTCCAACCGTGACGTCTGTCAGGGACCACTGAAAGTTGCGTTGGCTGCGGGGTGTGGTAGGATTCGGGGAGCTACAAGCGCAGATGCAAGAGAGGACTACACAGCCGTTTAAGCCTTTTTCATTTTATCGGAGGTACAAGTTGTACTGATCCTGCAACTAAAGCGAGTAGTGGGATGCAACACGGAAGATACTGTGGTCTTTGACATATTGCCGGTTGAATGACTCGAACGAGAGTTTTGTTGCCTGGCGGACGAGGCGTTAATTGTCCCAGAAACCCGTCGGTACTTCGGTACGATAACTTTTGAATGTGAACTGGGCAGCTTTTGCTGCTGGTACTATTCGGTGCAACTCTCCTGCACCCACATCTCCACATCTCCATGGATGGAACGCGCACTGGCCATTCTGTGATTCCAGCTTCTGTCCTTCCATCGCTCATCCCTGCTCCGCTGGGAATAACAGCTTGCCCCTCCTCTGCACAGGAAACTGTACTCATGCTCTAAGCAACACGGACGAGCACCTCACCTGGACGTTGAATCTCCCCTCCTGCCACCGGCTTTCGTTTTTCTTGACTTCGCTGTCGCTTCCTTCCGGGCTTGAACAACCCCATTTCCACACCTGCTCGCAGCGCACGCCAGAGCTTATGAGCATCCGCGCATCCACGGGTGCCTCCAGCGGAGCCAACCTTCCACGTGCGCGCCCGACATCCGGAACTTCAACACCTCCAGCATTCCACTTTCCCTCTTCGTCCGGCATGCCACACACGCTCAACTTGACATCATCGCCGGCAGCGTCACTGCTCTCGCTCAGCCATATTCGCTCTGTTTTGCAGCGCCTGGAGGACACGATCGTATTTCAACTGATCGAGCGAGCGCAGTTCAAACTGAACAGATGCATGTACCTTCCCGGAGCTTTTCCAGAGCTAACTAAGAAGGAAGGGTGGGAAGGTAGCTGGACAGAATGGTTCTTGAAAGAAAGCGAGAGTGCGCACGCGAAAGTGCGCAGATGGGAAGCGTGAGTACACAACATTTCCTGACTTACCTTTCCTTTCGTGTCGCGACGTCGCTCATACTGATGTTGAGTGGACACAATATGCAGACCCGACGAGTACCCCTTCACACCTGTCGAACTGCTCCCGTCTCCTATCCTCCCTGCAGTGGAGTACCCACCCCTATTGTGGCCATCGAACAATAATCATGGCATCAATGTCAACAGCAAGATTTACTCATTTTACGTCGAAAACATCGTCCCCGCCATCTGTAGCCGGCATAAGGTGGAAGGGGGTGCAGAAGATGCAGAGAGTGATGATGAGAGCGATGACGGGCAATATGGCAGTGCGGCAGTGCGCGATGTCGAGATTTTATCCGCGCTCTCGCGGCGAATTCACTTCGGAATGTTCGTGTCCGAGTCGAAATTCCGCTCAGCACCGTCCGACTTTGTGCCACATATCATCACTGCGTCGTCAACCTCGCCGAGCGTGACAGCGGAGCAGAAGACGGTGGCGCGAGACAAGCTACTGGCGCTGATCACCAAGCCGGCCGTCGAGGCTGCGCTGCTCGTGCGCCTGGCGGAGAAAGCGCAAGTGTATGGGGGCGATTTTGACGCTGCGTTCCAGGCGCGCAATTCTGGCATGGCCAGGGAACAGCAGGAGAAGGAGAGGGAGAAGAGAAGGAAGATCGAGGTAGACGAGGTCGTACAGCTGTATAAGGGCTTCGTAATACCGCTCACCAAGACTGTAGAGGTGAGTTGCTGTACAAGCGCTGCAGGTCACAGCTTCCAACGCGATGTACCTGAGCTAAACATCACATGTCGCACTCCCATGTACAGGTGGACTACCTTGAAAAGCGGCTTGAAGGCCTGTCTGAATCGCAAGTACGAGCTCTGGCAGACGGCAAAAGTTGGGAAGACGTTGCGCAGGAGCTGAAGTAGTGATTACAATTCATAAACACAATTCCCAACTTCTCTCTCAACCCTTGAAAGAAGGGTTTTCCATGTGCGCGGCGAGGTCCCAATCTTGCTTCGCGGCCCTCCTCAGTCCTCTAGTCTCCCGCTTCGCCTGCTTTGCCTCACTCTTGCCTTCTTGCCTGAGCTCCTTCCTCTTGTGGCGCCCAAGCGCGTCGTCCGACTTGAGCACCTTCACCATGTCGTGGAAGCCGCGCGTCTGCGCCTGGACGTGTTGTTGCAGGTTCGCTGTAGCGGCGCGGACTGACGCATGTAGCGTTTCTTGCACGCTTTCTCGGCCGTGATGTCGCCTCCCAGTGCAACCCCTGCCGCTTCGCACTGTGCATCCACCCCAAGAAGTGGAAGGAGCAGGAGCAGCCGGCAGGACACCCTCCGCTTTTATGCTCTTGACGTTTGCGACGTACTCATTCTGCAGTTGCTTGATGGTCTGAGTCAACCTTTTCCGGAGTTGCTGCAGCTGCAATCTGTGTTCTGCGATTGATGCTCTCGCTGTCATAAACTGCTTTGCTCGACAGTCAAAGCCGCTCTCTGATGTTACTACGCCCGGTTGGGCAGCTGCAGCTGCACTGGTGGATGTCGTCGCGATAGCTGTATACGGCGGCGGCAGGTCGTCCTGGGGTGTGTGCTCCTTCTCCACCTGCGGCAATGCGCTGACGCGCTCCGTCTCGGCAGAGAGGAAGGGCGCCACGTGGCTTGTTGTTGGGTTGCAGGGTTTAGAAGACATTATGCCTTGTGTGTGTGTGTAGATTAAACTTCGTTACTGTCTTGCGAGTTTGCTTGAAGTTGGCTCAATCGGATCTTGTGTACACTGTCTGATAGCTCAAGAGGGGAAAAGTCAGGTAGTGTGTAGTCCGATGCGACAGATGCGGTGGTCTTTTATGAGACGTTTGATTCCCCTCTGGCTCATGTGTAATGAGCGTCCTGGGTGCGCTGTACAATCATTGTATGCTAGCGACACCACAGCTGACACTACTGTTTCCATGGTTCATAATCCATTTGGCATTCCACTTAGGGTCGTGTTGCTTGCGAGGGACGACTTAAGGGGACAAGGCTCGCTAGGCGTTAGGGAACTGAAATACTGCAACGTTGAGATGGTCACAGCATCGTAACCAGCAGCAACAGATGCTGTGTCACAACATCAAGCGACTAGCAACTTTGTGAAAGCCTCAATGAGAGGCTGTGTTGCAGAATCGCCATGCCGACAGGTACCAGGAACGGCGATGGTGTGGTGTTGACTTTCCATGGAATATGATCGATAGGATGAGGTGACTGTTGACAATTGGATTCCGAAAGAATTTCCATCTTTCGAGAAATTGTCCAGTGATTTTATATATAGCTACGAGCCCGTGACCCAGGCCGCAATTGCTCGAGCCTCGCCCAAGGATGGTTGTAGCACAAGCTAATGATGGGAGATGTGGATTGTGAAGCAAGCTTTGTTTACCCCCGGCGGAATGAAATCACCGGAAATTCCGGGAAGAGGAGCCAAGGCCTCAGACCGTGTGTCCTACCCACCTATAAATAAATTGGGGTATCTGTGGAGATCAATGCATAATCAACCGTTTGCCCAATGTAACTAGCCACGTACCGATCCAAGATCTGGGACCCGTGAAACGTTGTTGGCATCGTTTGATTCTGCTCTGGGAAATATACGCCAACAGCCATTTATCTACAAGTGGCAGCAATCAGTACATGCGCATGGGGTCGCCGACTAATGGTGCAATGACAAGCCTCGGCTTCGCGTCCTGCTTTTTCTTCTGTCGGTTTTCCTTGCGACCATCCTTGCGATCGGACAGAGTCTCGAATGTCGGGGTGGGATTGGACCACCCGGTGCGCGAGACGTCAGCCGAGAACCCTTTTCTTCAAGATAGCTGTTCCAGTCGAGAGAATTTGAAGCATTTGTCAAGATAATGTTGACGGCAGTTGGGAGGTCAAGTGATTCTCACACATCCAGTCATCTTGCTGCAAAAAACTGCACCATCCAAATTTCCAAGGCCTCCATCATCGCACGCACCTTTCTTGTTTTCATCTCACCTTCGATGGCACGGGTGATGAGGAACCCGGTGGCGCCCATGTGCATGGTGATGGGGACGACGTTGTTGACAACTCTCTGCAGTGCATTTAAGCGCCCTGCGACACTCAAATTTTCGAGAAAGCGCGCCCAGTCCGCCAGCGAGACGTCGAGATGGGCGAGAAATACGCCTGGATAGAGCAGCTCGAATCTATCGGCTACGTGTTTGCCTGAGGCGCGTAACGCCATGGGTAGGAAATTTATGGGACTGCGCCTAGTTGGGGCTTGACGAGCGAAGGAAGGCGCCGGTTTATCAAAGACTTGCCTGGAGAGGGTGCAAAGCGCTGGCGAATGCGAAGCTCGAAGTTGATCTTTGGGAGTGAGGAAATGGTTACGTCTCTCGGCCTTGGTGCCCCCTGGGGGTTCTCCGCGAAAGGAGAGCCCCATTGCTCGCGAGAGTCTTGAGCGGAAGGCGATTTAATGCCTTCCTGAAGCTGAGACTGGCTGCGAGGCCCTGGAACGGGACATTCTTGGTAAGATGCAGAATGCGGCGTGTGAATGCCGTTTGTATTTCGCATCCCCGAAATTGATGGAAGAGTACCGTAGGGTATATGGACATCTCCTTTCTGAGGGTAAGGACGGGGATAGCCATGCTGCGCAGCGGGACCCACGTTCGAACAATGTTGATATAAAGCGCAAGCAAAATTGTATTTCGCCATCGCGCCAATCAGCTCCCGCGTTGTTGTGGAGGAGGACCAGCAACTAGTCTAGAACCGCAATGGGATTGCTGGCAGGTGTGATCAGGCTGCTTGTTGAGACTGGGGGGATGCATGGCTGAAGGCAGTGTGGGGTGCTCTCCTTTATACCCTGCGAGTGTGCTCGAGGACAGTCCTTGGGGGTTCAAAAAATTGCTACAGCGAGTGTTGCACAACTCGAGCTCGTTCTCAACGCGTAGAACGTCGTACGAAAGACACTGGAACTCGTAGAGCAAGCTAAACAAAAGACACGACACCAATGAGGCCGTCACCATAGCTGAACCAGCAACGGGTTGCAACACCGTGGGTGCCGACGATGTAGCCAAGAGAGAATCGCAACACCTGCATGACAGCCGAATTGGGACCCGTGGTATTTATTTCTTTTTCCTTGGAAGAGTTTTGACTCCGCAAAAAGAAATAATCCGGGGAGTGAATTGGTGCAGCTCACTTGAAGTCAACATGGAATGATATCGTGAGCCACAACGTCGAGACGGAGACCAGGTTCTGGCCCATCATATTGGGACTAATGTTTCTCCGTCCCTTGCTGCTGCGTTGGTCAAGATTGAAAAGGTTAAGTTTGCGAACTGTGACCCCGGTGAACGAGCGGTGACAAAGGTGGCAACATGAAGCGTCAATGCCTTGCCTTCACGTACTCACGTATCAGGAGATAAGCGAGCGCTTTCAAGAGCTCCTAAGCTTTCCTTATGTGCTTTGCCTCATTTCTGCTCTTTCACTCATTCACGATGGTGAATATCGCGAATGGCAATGGCAATCAAGCTGGGCCGAAGCGGGTGACAAATTATGAACACTTGTTCGCTGTCCACATTGGAATACGTTGTTAATGTTCTCCAAACGGCTCAGCTCAGCTGAACCCACTCGTTCGCGATCATGTCCTGATGAGTCTTTTTATTCAAGCTATTACCGCTGGGCGGTGACTAATATACCTTCTCTTTATCTATAGCATACCCATCAATGCCCTGACAAGCAGGGACGGACCATTGGTTCCGTGAGCCTGACGTTGCGCGAAGGGTGATATGGCCCCTTCTTGCAGATTTGTTGGGGTGATAGTCTCGTTACTTGGAATTTGATGCTCCCTCTAGCTGATTGGCACTTTATAAGGCCCTATTCTTTTTCGAAGCCCCACCACTCGTTGCCTCTCTGACCATTCTCCCAAGCCACCAACACCCGGGCAACAACTATTCCTCTAACCTCAGGCAACAGTCGCGCAGCAGGAAGCGTTATAATAATGCTGCGCAGGATGACTCTAGCGACCACGGCCGCGATTCTCGTCTTGCTATTATGGATCTCGCAGCCTAGTGCCATTGTTGCAGTCGCTCCTGGCTCCGGCCCGGGCTCGGATGATCATTTGCTCGCGCGGCAGGTCGTCAGTATACTCATACCGACCGCCGTAGCGACAGTCACCGATTCTGCTGCGGCCACTTCTGCTCTTACTTCCCTGTCCGTTCTACCACTAGTGAGCATAGCCCAGAGCACGACCGTAGGGCAAGTGTCGAGCGAGACATCGAGCTCTGTGCTTCCATTGGGGACGGCGGCTGAGGGCTCCAACCAGAGCCCAAGTTCCAGCACCAGTCCGGCTGAAATAGAGCCTCCCCTAAAGAACACTCCCACCAATTCCGCCACTCCATTTGCCACGCAAGGTGGTGCATGCTTGAATGCATGTGTTAACAATGCTGCGCTTGACGCGCAATGCAATGGCATTGCCGATCCTATCTGTTTCTGCTCAAAGTGAGTCTTGTGTCCGATATTTTGAAAGATCAAGCCCTTTGTTGCTACCACAATCAAACGTGATTCATATCCAGGCAATCAGTTGCCGACTCTTCTAGCGAGTGTGTACAAGGCAACTGCCCAGACCAGCTCGGACTCCTTCAGCCTTTGTTCCGAGAGGCCTGCTTTGCAGCTACGTCAGCCACACCAATCGGTACGACCGTGACATTCCCGCGCTACGCGTCGGCGACCAACGTTTCGGCTATTATGACGAGCAGTTTGGGCAGCCTTGCCGCTACCAGCACCGGCCTAGGTACAGCCAACAAGGCGGTTCTACAGAGAGGAATGAAGTCAATGGCCCGGGTACATGTCGGGATCACCGTCGCCGTCGGAATTCTTGCTGGAGCGGCCTTGGTACTTCTTGCCTGAGGTCCGGTATCACGTCTAGGCGTACTTTGTTTTCGCGGCTCTCGGCATCACTTGCGCCGTTGCAGTTGCTTTCCTAATTACGTTTAGATGTGTGGTAGCATGCATCTCATCTTGACAGCATCTTTCATTGTATTCGAGAAAACACGAGCGAATTCTGTTGGCTCTCGATGTGCTCGATAAACGCTTGAGACATCAGCGGACGCGCTGGATAGTTGAGATCATCTTTGAAGCTTGAGGTTCACGATGTGCACATCAGGCGGCCCACCATCATTTTGCAGTGATTTGCCATAGCAACCCAGGGAAATCGGACCGAAACCCTGCGGTTCGGAGAGTCTCTAGCTTTCTCATCACCACTTTCACAGATCCTGCGCCTCACCTGCTTTGATCAGCATTCCACATTTCCAACCCTTGGACTACAGCTGCAACTTAATCATGGTGGTACTCTTGTGCACACTTGGTACTTATATGACCAAAGTAGGAGCCGTCTATGTTGGTTTGTGCACCTACAAGCAGCCAGTACAATCTTTGTGCGCGTATTCACCCGCTCCAGAAGGATGACAATGGAGGAGAAACAACGATGGGAGAAAGCAGGGCTACTCGACCAAGAGCAACCATCCATCCGCTCCAAAACCTCGGCCTTGGTCAAAGGTTTGCTCGTGTTTCTGGTTGCCGGCGGGCTCTTTGCAATATGGAACGGTGACTATTTCTCGAGCCTCTTCAACATGCAACAAAAGCTCGCAACCTCTTTCAGCTCGACCCGTCCGGAGTCGCACAACTCTGGTTCATGGGAACCTTGCCAAAACCAACCAGGCTTCATGTGTGGAGCCATTTCGGTGCCAAAAGATTACTTCAATGCATCGGCTGGTCGTGCATTTATCGCCGTTGCCAAGCTTCCTGCTAGTGCTACCGAGAGGCTTGGGTCCATTTTCTTGAATCCAGGTGGCCCCGGTGGCTCGGGAATGGGTGAGTTCTCTGCAGCCGCGTTTTCTCTATTCACGTGCTCACTGCTCGTAACAAGACCTGCAGAATTTGTCTATGGTTTCGGTCCGCTGTTGGACAGGCTCTTCGAAGGCAAATACGACTTGATCGGATTTGACCCGCGTGGTATCGGAAAGACACGCCCTATCGTCAACTGTTTCGGCGATGCACAGCAATTCGAAGTGTTCAAAAAAGCGACATTGCTGGAAAATGGAAACTCCCTGCCACCAAATCCTTGGTCCAAGTCGGGCCAAGACGATCTCTTAAGACAAATCAAAGAGCTGACTGCGTTGCAGCAAGCAGAATACACTCGGTGCAAAATGGTGATGGGCGATGAATTGCTCTACATGAACACCGCAACAGTTGTCCGAGACATTGATTACATGGGCAAGGTACTCGACGGTCCGCAAGGAAAGATGTGAGTGAGCATACGAAGCGAGAGAAAATTATTTCCTTATGCCCCTCCTCTGCTTGCCACGGTTAGCAACTATATTGGAGGGTCATATGGGACGATCCTTGGTGCATACCTGGTCAACATGCTGCCAACTCATCGACTTGGTAAAGTCGTTATCGATGGCGTTGCCAGCGCACCATCATGGGCCAACGACCAAAGTCATACCTGGCTGTCAAATTGGATGGTCGACACAGACAAAGCGTTTAATTGGTTCACGAACGACTGTTCTCGCGTCGGGCCTCTTGCCTGCCGTTTGGCAAAGTACAAGGGAGAAGCGCCTAGCGCCATTGCACACCGTTTGGATGCCTTTTTGGACAAGCTTTACTATGAGCCAGTAGCGGTTCCGGATGCGATTCGTCCAGGTGTTCTCACTTCAGCCATGGCGCGGACAGTGCTATATTTTTCAACGAACGCACCTCACTCTTGGCAGCGCATTGCTCACGCCTTCGCAGATGCAATGGAAGGCAATGGTGTCAAGCTGTACTCCATTCTTCATGGTCCGTTCTCGCCACGCAGCGACCTCGTGCAGACGGACATGTCCCGAGCTGCGGTTGTATGTGGCGATCAGCCCCCGGGAAAGCCCCCAGCGGCCGAGGACTTACTGGATGGCTTGCTGCGCAATCTCAAACAGACGAGTCGACGCTTTGCGGCGAATGTCTTCCCAATCGAGCCTGACGGTGGCTGTCAATTCCACCCTGCAATCGGACGTACGCCTGAGCGCTTTACTGGCCCTTGGAACAACACGCTCGACTTTCCGATGCTCATTGTGTCTAACACGGCAGATCCCATCACCCCTCGTGCTTCTGGAGAAGAGATCCACAAATTGATGGGCAATTCAAGCCGTATCTTACTGCAAGACTCCCCCGGCCATTGCTCCTTTTCTAGCGCGTCGCCCTGCACTCTTAGCCACTATGCTGCCTACTTTGTCAATGGCACTCTCCCAAAGAACCACGAGCTTTGCACGATTGCTGACAACTTCTGGCCAACCCAAAATGATGAAGTGCCAATCTACGTACTCTCTGAGCGCGAACAAAAGTACGACAACTTGTCGCAAGAAATGACCAAAGTGTTCTCGAAAATGCTTGAAGATCAATTGCCGGGTAAGCTAGAGACCATCAAGCCGTTGCGGTAAGCGAAGCTCGAACGCATGACGCTCTGAGAATCCTGATATGTATGCTACAATGAAACAGACGATTCGGCAACTTATTATGAGTCACATACAAGGCGAGACATGGAAGAGAACCTAAGGTCCCGGAGAGGAGGGTGCTTCAGTGCGCAGGTGCGCTCCCGGAGGCGTTGTTGACAGCGCAACGTGGCATACTGGGCAGAAGGCTTGCTTGCCCAACCACGAGACGAGACAAACTGGATGTAGCTCGTGACCACAGTCGAGCCTACAAGCTCCTTTGTTGCGTGTCCTTTGCTCTTCTTTGCGCACTTCGTTGGAAACATTTGCAAGACTTGCATTTGGACACAACACTTGCTCAAAGCAGATGGGGCAAGTCTGCGGGTATTGGTCGTCTGGGAGTTGTTGTGAGGCCCGTTGACCAGCCCAGCGGTGATTGACGAAATCGAGGCATTCGATCGAGCTACGTGCGGTCGTCCAAGTTATCGTGCACTCCGCGAGCTCGCTTCGCAGGGCGAGGAGCGCCAGAAGCGGCGGCAGTGAGGTGGGCGACAAGCTTGGCAGCGAGATCTATCAAGTGATGTCTCAATCAGCCTCGATACTTGGGTGTGCAGCATGCACTTTCTTTGTATCCTCACTCACGATTACAATGACATATTGGATCGCCGCAAACAGATGGTTGGCAAGTGCTGATACAGCCTCCACTAGCCAACCTGTCTCCACCATGACGTGTAGACCTCTCCTATTGGGTGCTTTGCCTGGCCTCTGCGGGTCTGCCTGATATGGCGATTGGAAATGCAATGAATTTCCCAGTGCTACAGACCACTGCTGCTGGGGTTGTAATGCAAGCTCTGGTCCATTAATCGTCAGCGGGGCCCCAGCAGTGGTGCCCTCAGCTGCAGCCTGCGTGCCCGACACAGGTTGAAGGATAAGGTCAGGCGCAGGGGTGTGGGGGAAACCCCCGTGCTGCACACCTGCAGTAGGCCGCTCATCCATATGATGGCTGGGCGAGCCTGCAAGTTCTGGCGCGACTAAAACTTGGCCAGCGAGAAAGTCAGACACCGAACGAGGTATGCCTAGTGCCTCTGCAAGGGAGGGCGCGTGCGAGGGGGATGGGAGGCGCACGTGCGATGGGATGACAAAGTCGAGCTTTTCCCACAAGGCTTGCAGACCGAGCACGGTTGAGACGCACTGAAGTCCAGAGCAATCAACGCGTTAGCAAAGAGCTCAGACGGACCATTCTCGAAGCTGTAATGATGATGAGACGCCTCACCTCGACGAAGACGATAGCTCTCAAATTTAGCAGAGGGGTCTCAAACTTTGTCGGCGTGACGCAGAATGACTCCAGAATGTCACGAAAGGCCAAGGCTGAAAAGAAGCAAGCTATTGAGCTTAAGCCAACGACGCAGCTAACCACATTGAGAATCAGGACACGTTTCGGCACCGTCTCCGATTGCAACGATACCTGCAAGGTAAGCATGTCACATTGAGCTCTTGCTCTCTCACACAAAAAGTAGACATCTGCTCCAACTCACCGCTTCGACATGGTCTTCAGTGATCATGCCCAGCAGCCTAACCGCCCACAACAAATGCAACTGAAGTATTGGAGGTAACACGTACGGGTGAAGCCACGCATCAAGGGACAAGTCAGGCGGGCGAATGAAGGACCCGGGAGTTAACGCCTTTGTTGGGGTTGGGCTGGACGTTTCCCGAATTTGCGATGCTCTTTGAAGTGAAGTCCAGCCCAGCAATGCGATCAGGACGATCAGGATGAATTTCGGTCGGTATACCTGCTGCCAGAAGTGATCCAGCGTTGTTCGTTTGACCTTCCACATCCCATGCGCAGTTCCATTATTTCTGCTGGAACTAGCCGAAGGTGGGTGCTGCCATGTATGAAAGCCCCCTTTACCTTCGAATAGGGATTAAGAGGGATGGGAGTCTGACTTTGAGCTGGGCTCCGGGCTGCAAGTCGTATGTGAAGTCAGAGGGCGTAATGTAATGTTTGCATCCAAGTGATGGTCGGTTCCCCCTTGACTCTCACGCACACTATTTTGTAGAATTATGTGGTTACCAAGATGAGGGATGCTGATTACCAAATTACCAGCGTGATACCTCGTAATCCAGGTAGCCTCGTTATCGAGCCGTGGAAATACTATCAAACGGCATGCAAGTTATTAGACTTAAATGCACAATGCAGGGTATCCGGTACTGAATAATGATCTACGAGATGTCTGCTCGTTCCAACAGCTTCTGTGATCGCTTCTCCGCCCGCAGACGCACCGCGTTTCTCAAGCTTTCAGCGTAGCACTGGTACTTGACCAGCTCTTGCAACAAATGATTGCTCTTCCGTTCCCAGTTTGCCAGCGCTTTGCCATAGTTGGCGCCTCGTGGCGAGTACAGTTGCAGCATTGGCTGGCGCAGCTCGTTGTGTGCTGTCAGCTCGGATTCAATGTGAGCAACGTGCTTGACGACGCGCTCCAATTGCTCATCCTCTTTCAAGTTGCTTGGGACTGAAGGTAGCTGAGGGTTCTTCCAATCATTGATGTAGATTCGTTCATTCGCATGTATACCTCCCGAGCCAGTACCGGCAAGCGAGGGGGACCGTACGCTGGCACTCGAGTTGAAGATGCTACCAGCACCCGTCCTGGCTGTCAGAGATCCAAAGGCGCTTGATTCTTGCCACGGCATGTAAATGCTGCCACCCCCTTTTGATTTACCAGAACGACCGCTTCGAACACTGCGGTTGTCCGTTGATGTTTTGTCTTTGTCCGACGAGTTGTATATCGAAGCACCCAGGTTGTTCGCGTCAGGTCCCGAAAGGATCGAGCGATTGTCCAACTGTTCTTCTTCGTCTGACTGGGCGTTGGATGGCAGCACCTTGTTCCAGCCGTACTCCATGTTTGAAACGCCTCCCGCAAGGGGCTCCTTGCTCTGTCTCGCAGCCCAGTAGTTGCAGGTGCTGACCCATTCATGCACCAATTCTTCGTGGCCAGCCTGAAAGAAGTAGACTGCCCCACCTGGCAAGGTCAAAGCAAAGACGTGCGGCCGATTGCGATTATATCCAGGTGGAGGCAAGACATTCGCCAATGTATGCGCCAGGTTAATGGTTCCAAGGGAGGTTGCGTTGGTCAGCCAGTTTCCTCCACCGACAGCTGTACCAGCCTTGGGCCCGCTACCCCGCACGGACGAAGTATCACCAAAGCGGAACATGCTTAGCATGCCCTTTTGCACGACCACGAACGTCTCCAGCCAATTTTTGTCCTTGGCTCGCTTTTGCGACGCTTCCCAGTAGTGCTTACGCGGCAGGACACCTTCCTTAGCCCATGGAGGACCGAAGAGGGCCAGCTCTTCGTCAGTCAAGTCGTCATGCTCCAAGCCCGCGAGTACGTGGGTGTACTCGTCCTGAGATTCTTTAATGATAGTCTGGGTAAGCGTGCTGGCAAAGCCTAGAGCTGCATTTGGCTGTTGGCCATTGGTACCGCTCGAGTTGGCAAACGAAGTAGTGGAACCGAAGGCCCAGCTGTCGACACCGAGTGAAGCGCCTGTATTGGTGCTAGAACCGGGACTAATCGTTCCCTCGCTGTTGAAAGTCGAACTGCTGGCTCCGAGTAATCCTTGAATGCCACGAATGCTGCCTCTCTTCAGCATGGAGATGCGGTCCGAGCCTGGAGAGGCCATGCCGCGTGCTCGACGTCCCACAGCAGGAGGTGATAGGGTGCCTTTCCCGGCATCGATTTCCGGGAGACGAATCTGATCGCTCTTCACGGCAGCATAAATGTCCTGAATAGCGAAGGACATATGTGATCAGAATCATCGAATGAAGACCGGGGCAGCAAAGTCTCAGACCCACTTTCAGCAAAGACTCCATCTCAACCTCCCAAGCTTTGCTATGCCCACGAGTTGAGTCCAAAGAGCCATTTGTGACGCTCCGAGCCCGATTGGCGGACGGAGGCGCGCCAAGGGTATTGCCCGAAGCTTTGCGAGAAGGCTGAGACATCAGATTCGGCGATGACTGGTTTGTCATAGAGTAGCTTGAGCTCTCGTGACCGAGAGACAACATGGAGCCTCCGGAAGGGGACAAGGTCGCCGAGTTGCCGCGCAATGTCGGTTTTCGTCCGAGCGATAGTGTGGCGCTTGACTCTCCAATATTCTCGCTAAAGGTGCTCTGCGAGTCATCGGCGCCTCCGAGGCTGCCGACATCAGCTCCGTGAGTGGGATCGACAGCCGACATGGTGTTCCTGATGAACTGTCCGCGCGTCATGCGATCTGTGATGTCAGCGACGTGCAGATCTGTATTGAGCAAAAGGAGTGAAAAAACAATGCTGTGTACAGTGTCTGCACTGCCATAGATGGATCCAGGGTTGCAGGTCCAGAAACGTTGACTAAACGCCTCGAGAATACGGTCCACCTGTTGCGTTTCTGCTTTGAGATAAAGCCTGTCACAGAGTCGCCTGAATGCCACATCCACCCGCAAGCCCTCGTAAGTGAAGTTTTGGAAGTAAGCTGTGCGAGCCAGCTTATTGATCACCCCCCTGCAGAACAGCATTTCCATCAGCACCTGACAGAATGCTTTCTCAATGATGAGCCTGTCTACTTACGGGCCACCGAGCCATTCTGCGATCTTGTCTTTCGGCATGAACTCCTTATCCTCCTTCCACGCTCTGCCCGCCATGTCCTGAGCTCGCTGTAGCATTCGTTCTGAAGCAGCGACCTCATCTGTAGAATTTAGATAGCGTCAGAGACCATGGGGATACCTGGGAGAGTAAGGAACAGAACTCACCTCTTGTTACATCTGACAGACCAGGGCTGGGCTGTCGCTGAATGCTGGGCATATCGCCAGGCACAGGCAGCGGCTTGTGCATCGTTGCCGAGTGGATGGAAGGAGCGTCGTTGCCTTCGGTCGTTGCAACACTATCGCGTCGCGGAATCACACGAATCGACTGCTCCGGCGCGTAAGAGTGCACGTCGCTGCTTGCGGGGGATGCAGTGTGCTTGCGCGATGGCGCATCTGATGATGCGTGGCCCCTCGTCGCCGCAACTGAGTCCGAGACGACGCGACCTCCAGAAGCAGACGCAGGATGAATGTTGCGCAATGAATTGCGAGGAGCGTCAGGACCAGCAGAGGCCGACCTGAACATGGTACTTTTGGGCTCTTCGTGCTTGACAGCCGTGCCCAAAATGCCGAGACCTGCGGCAGCTGCCTCTGAGTCTGATGTTGATGCGAGGGACCGAGAGCGTTTCGCGTTCCTCGAAGCAGAACCCGGGCGGCGAACGGCCAGGGGCGTCGCTTCCTCAACTCGCACACCTGGCATAGGTGTGCTCGGACTCTCCTCATCTCCTTCAGCAGTGCGTGGCTCCGCAGCGGCGACAGCAGCAGACTGCTCCCATTTCGCCCCGTCCATGAAACTTCCAGATTTGCTCCTCCTCTTCTCGAGCGCGTCAATCTCTGGCAGCTGTGGACTAGGACTCCACTGTGCGCGAGGACTCAGGTCTATCTTCTTTTCCAGATCCTGGGCCGATCCGCGGAGAGTATTCTCCATCTCTGACTCCCAAGCTTTCAGCGCAGTTCGCAGCTCCTGCCCAGTTCCGTCTGAACCTCCTGCTGCAGTCGACGTCTTTCGTCGTGGATCCCAGCTTCCAGGGGAGCCGGATACGGCAGCGCTGCTGGTCGCATCGGACACGACCGATGAGCTTGGCTGCGATGGCCTGCTCGCCAGAAGTGCTGGTGATGATCGCCTTGCTGCATCGGAAGCCGAAGTATTGCTGGAAGCAGATGCGAATGCCAACGCCGACGCCGACGCTGGTGCAGAAGATGCAGGAACCGATGCGCGGGGCGGCCGTCCTGGGGCAGGTCCGAGCGCTTGATGAGCCTGCGATGGGAGGCTGATGGCACTCGGGCGCCGAGCTTCAGGTGGCGCTGCGGGCGGAGGTGGGGCCGGTGCCAGGCCTTTATCCCTCCTGGAAGTCTTGCCGGTGGGAGAAGGAGCTGCAGTTGCACTCGAGCTGGATGACGTCCGCCCAGGGGTTGCAGCATTGGTTTCTCTCGCGTACTTGCTCGGAATGGAGGGGACAGGCACATTAGTTGCGCCCTCAAATTCCTCTGCTGCATAACCAGCTTCGAAAGCGCTGGTTTGGCCGTTGAAAGATCTGCGGCTCGGAGTGGGCGGATCCAACAGGTCGGTCCCTGATGCATTGGATATGCTCATAAGGGTAGCAGGCTCCTGGCCTTTGGCGCGCGCAGAAGGCCGGAGGGAGCGAAGGAAGCCACTGGTTTTCTTCATTCGGCCTTTGAACAGACCACCACCTGCGCCCTTCTCGTCCAGTTTTGGACTACCCATATCGATTTCGTCTGCGAGAGACAGGCTCCCGCTTGTGCTAGTCGAGATGGCAAGCTTGTTTATGCCTATTCCAGGCGTCGAAGAATTGTCTTGTGACCAGGAATTCGTGGCAGTGCTGCCGCCTTCGTTTAGCGCAATCGACGCATCAGGCGCAATGTAATTGCGCCCAGTAGTACCTGCGCTCCATGCAAGTGGGAGATTGCTGCTCGATCTCGCGGCTCCCGGCACACGCACGTTCAGGCTGCCAGAGCCGGCGGCGCCACCTGCCGAGCTGCTGCTACTGATGCTGTGGGGAATGATGCCTTCTCTAGAACTAGAGCCGGCAGTCTTTCTCCTGGGGCGTAGCACAGGCGGAGTGTTAAGATCTTTCAGCGGTACCTTGGGCGACTGCGATGCCAGCCCTTGCTGTTCGATCAGATCGCTTGGTGGATTTGTCGAGTACTCGCTGGTACCGGGAGAGAGCTCGAAACTCGTGGCCGTGCCCGGATCCTCAAGCATTGCAGATCTTCCATTTACACCGGTACTTGTTCCGCTACTCGCGCTAGCAGCGACTGCGTCTCGCAAAACTGCGTCTCCCAGGATCCCGCGCGCCATCTCCCCGCTCATTCTTCCCTGCGCCACCGCTTCAAGAGCCTTCTTGTGCACGAGCGTCTTGAGGTCCGGACTAGATGCCGTGCCGACCGCGCGCGCATAGCGATTTGGATCGAGGCTGTCCCTATTGCTGACCGCCGTCGCGCCCGAGCGATGATCGCGTTCGCGGGCGTGTGTGCCGCCTGAAGAGGAGCCGGATGAAGAGGAATGTTCAAAAAAGGAAGATGCACTGAGGTTGTTCAGCATCCTGGGTGTTCGCCCCAAATCCGAAGCGTCCAACGCATCCGTCAGAGGGTCATCTTCATCTGGAGGAGTCACATATCGATAGGAAGAAGAGTATGGTGCATCTGACGTGGTGCCCTGCTTGTTTGATAGCTTGGACGCAGCCTTGGAGGAGGATGCGGCGTATGGCATCATGTCATACCCAGTGCTATTTTCGCCTCTGCAAGGGGCTATCGCCGTCGCTTGCATTTTGGACTGAAGATCTTGCGCCGAAGCAGCAGCCGTGGTACTCGAAGGTCCAGGCGTGGTGGCAGAGTCGCTGCTTCTGCGGAGCGTGCTCACCGCTTCGGAATTCCTACTAAAGCTGCTTCTCATTTGAGGGACAGCTTGAACACTCTCCAGGCTCTCACCGTCCGCTGAACTGAGACAGTTTCCCTCGGGAAGCCAGACTGCGCTGCTGAATGGCGAGACGGCTTCTGAGCTGCCTGACGAGAAGTCGCCGGGAGCTGAAGTGAACGTCGCCGACGTACTTCCCGTACCAGGTCTGCTCCTGCTTGGAATTGGCAAGCGCTTGAACGCTCCACCACCAGAGCTGGCGGCTGCACCGATTCCTACAGCACCCGTCCCCGCTCCGGCACTGCCTGCTCCACTACCAACTGGTTCCGAGACGTCGCCGAGAAAACCACTACCTTCAAAAAAGAGACCAGGTAGGACGCTTTTGGCCGTCGAGAAGCGGTCGAAGATACCGTCTAAACTGTCACTTGCGCTACTGCTGTCCAATGCAGGGAGCTCAACACTCTCTTTGGACAAAGTGCCTATTGTACCTGTGCCTGCTGTGACGAAGCGCTGGTGTCCGAGCACGTGCAAATCACCTTCTCCGTCAATGCTCGTGTCTTCCGTTTCTGTCTCGGCGTCCAGCTCTAATATGCTGCCGAACTGCGTACGTGTGCCTCCAGATGCAGGAGGACTGCTGGATGCTTGGCCACCGCCCTGGACGTTCCCAGTTCTCGGTGTCACTGCGGTGCTCGCGTTTAGGGGCGGACTGGCGTAGACAATGTTCCTGCCGGCGGAGCTTGCCGAAGGCGAAGGCTGGATGAGCGAGTGAAAGTCGTCTGCGCTGCTGTACAGAGACGTGTGCGCTGCACCGGCAATGGTGTGATGGAGAGTCGTGGGAGTATACGTAACGAGGGCTGCGAGATGATCTGGCCGGCGACGTGGTGAAGAGCGTGTTGCTGCTGCTGATTTTGCTGCTGATGGAGATCTACGGGTAGGCGACGGCGGGGACAGTGACGGTAATTGGGACATGTCAGCCTTCGTGTGCTAGCCTAGAACCTGTCAGCCCCTGGTCAACGCCCTGGGATCAACGAAGCGCTGCCTCAACGCAAGGTGCACGCAAGCTCGCTAGCCAGATTGTGCTTGTCCTTGCCAAGGAAGCCTCGTAGCAAGCACAGGTGAGCATTGTCATCTGAGGAATGACAGCCCAGCACAAGTCAAACCAGAGTTCTGGTTCCGAGGGGGTGGCCGGCAGAACGCGCGCGAGGCGTGGCGCGGACTAACGCCGCGCTCAGCGCCGAGTCACGGGATTCGGGAACCATGGTCCCCAAAAGACGCGGAATGGGTCACAGTCTATACATAGAGTGTAGCGAATGTGTTAGAAGCCCCGGGATTTCTCTTAGTTCACCCAGATTTTGACAGACTTTGGACATCCATTATTGACTCTAATTCTATTCTCGCTCTAACTCCAAGAGGGGATTCCCTGGAAGACCGAGTTCCGGCGCAAACGATCGGCCTTTGAGCCTCTTATTCGGTGCATTCACAGGACAACTGAGTGGTTCTAATGAACCTCACACTGACTCAGTTCTCCACGCCAACTTCGCGACATGATGACAAAGTGCGTTGCTGGACGGGGTAGGTACATCGAATAACAAGGTAAGACGGTATGGACCTCATTGCCGTCCTCAACTCCTGGTCCTGGTCTTAGTCCTGGTCTTACAGCTATAGATGTCTAGCTTGAAATAGGAAGGTACTGCTTCGCCTTCACGAGTGTTCCAGTTGGCTTTTCCACCGTCAAATTCAAGCAAGAGAGGGCTAGATTTCTCGAAGCGGTAGTAGCATCTCCTCACCAACGTTATTTGACGAGCTGACCTCCTACCTCGCAGCACCACCGTGCAAGCTGACCCTGCTATGGCGATTCGCTTACTGTTTCTCTGCCAAAGTCTCTGCCTACCTGCCGCCCGACGTTCAAGAAATGATTTATTTCCGTCTTCCCTGCTCGAAGATTACACACTAACTCCATGGAGGGGTGACGAGGAGAGTGCGAAGTTGAAATTAGATGAGCTCTTTGAGCTGCTGAATCATTCGATAGTATACCCATCGCGCCTCAGTGCATCGCTACCGTGAATTAAAGCGCTTTTATTTCATCCACAATGAAAATACGCATATCTGACTGGTTCGCTTGCATTTTCACCGTACAGATATGAAAAGTTCCCACGGTGACTCCTCCATTACAATCTGGGCTTGACCCAAGGACCATGGAAAAGCACGCGCTCCTACAAGTCCTTTATGTGAGAAGCCCTACCAAACCCCTCGAAGGCTGCCTACTGAGCATCATACGCTACGGGCCACGACCCACCATGAACGCGTATACACATCAACAAAGACACGGAAATAATAGCGGAAAGTGCCAATTCTCTTCCATTGCCCCGGATCAGAACCTCACGGCCCTGTTGGCAGAGCAGAACCGCCCCATCAACTTCAGCGAAAGGTCGTAGGATTCTGGTCTTTTTCTTACGCTAGCATAAGGGACGAACCGTTGTTCATGCCTGCCGTCGTCAAACATTTGCTCCTTAGGCTACGTGATCAATCAACAACACTCGGGCAAGGGTATCGTGACAGCTGCATTGCGCGCCAATATGCTCGCTGTTGAAGCCATTTTGCGCCTTCCCTCCCCGTCTGTCAGCTCGGTTCCCTTCCGCAGTACCGTCCGGCACTGCAGCCGCCGAGTCTCGCTCATCGCCTCCGACTGCTACTCTTCCCCTCATGCGCCTGGCACCCTTGCCTCCCTCCCCGCTTCACACCACAGGTGATGACAATCAACATCCCTTCGTCTAAGGACATGCGCAAGTGCGGATTCAAGCCTGCCGCGGAGGGGGAAGACGGGAACGGAACAGCCTATGGATTCAAGACGGCAGGAAAGAGAGCGGCATCCTGCAAGGATCTGAGATCGGCAAGCCGAGCAGGGGTTACGAAAGGAAGACGAGATCCATTGTAGCAGAAAAATGATGTCGATTTGCACTATAAGAGTATCTTAGCGATACCCTTGCATATTGTACTTTTATAGAATGGACCGGCACAGCGGGCAGGTAGATCCGCCGGAAGTGCTGACCCACTTGTACAAGCACTGGCCATGGAACTTGTTCTTGCACGTTTTGCACGGCTTGTTTGGCAGCGACTGGTCCGTCGGGCTGATGATCGAGTAACAGATGGCGCCTATATTTGGTCCACATGAGACATCTCTACTTCAGTTTCACGTCACTGCAAAAGCATAATTGGTCCCGCTCACATTCGGCACCTTCGTATCCGGCGAATTTAGCCTCGGCGTTCTTCTTGAAGAGCATGAGCGCGTCGAACACTAGTCCATTGCGGCTCGTAATGAGCTGCTGCACAGCCAAAATCCATGCTCTCCACTGCGCTTCGCTGACACCAACGCGCTTGATGTCTTTGATCTCCACTCCATGCAGCGGAAAATCAGGTGGAATCTTGATACCAATTTCCATTGGATGCTCGTCGATAGTGTATGTGGCGACGACTTCGTTCGTAGAGAGCACTTTCACGGCCATGTTTTCGCCTTGCAGGCGCGCAAGCGCGTCAACTTGTGTCAGATGCCCAAGTTCGCGCGTCGCGATCAACGGCGAGCAATGGCGCATGGTGAAACGCTCCACTTGACCCGAGAGCTGGCGGTCACGCAAATCATACCACCAGTTGCGTACGAGCGTCGGGATGCGGACCAGCGCACGGAAGTACACATGAGCAGCTAGCACTTGCAGCGCTCTCGGGTTCTCAACGTCAAGGTCTATCCCATGTCAGGAGGCAAGACGAGGATCAGCCTGCGTTGCAGCACGCAAGCGTTGCGTATGACTCACAATTCAGGAAAATTTCATCGATGGTCCACAGGCTGGTATCTAGCGCGGGCGCAAGACTCGACTCTCCAAAAAGAGCAAAAACAGCTGGCAGGAGATTGCCTGTGACAAGGTTCCAACGCTGAAGGTCCTCCACGTATCGCGCCGACAGCTGCATTGATGCACCTTCAAAGTGTTCAAATATGACAAGCCAGCTGAGCAAGTATCCATAGATTCGGTATGTCGCCAAGTTTCCTGCGGCCAAAAGGTCGACCAGGCAATTGCTGGATATGGTCGTCATAATGTCGACAGGGAGGCGGTATTGACTGTTGGGCACTTCAGTCTCCTTCCCGAGCGCAAGCTCGACAACAAGGTCGGCCACAGTACTATGCGCCTTCGCTTGCAGCCTGCGATAGGCAGCTCCTTGCACTGGCTGTGACTTGGAGAGCAAAAGTTTTGCGAGTGCGTGTGAACTGGCTTCATCTTGGAAGCGGGCTTGTGGGAGATCTGCGCACAGGTCAAGGAGCAGCTCGATACACGCGTCACGCCCGATGGATCGCCCAAAGGGAACGTCCGCAATAGACAAAAAGAGCCGATGAATGATCTCCAGCGGCTCGTTCATGTGCTCCTCCCACACCTCTCGCACAGTCGCATTTCGGCTCGCTATGTTGCGTAATGCAACCAGGAGCTGCAGGGAGTGGAAAAGGCATGGAAGAGTCTCTTTCTCCGACAGTGACGAGACTTCAAGATTCGACTCGACAAGTTCCAAGAACAAATCAAAGTGCGAGCCGGCGATGTCCTGTACGATGGGCAAAAGATTTGTGGCAAGCTCCGCCAATCGTGTATTGATCTCCTCCGGAATCTCTTCATCGCTAGCCAGCCACTTTTGCACGTTCTGAAGGACAAAAATTGCCCGTTGCTGAGGGATGAATGCCGTCACGGAGTCTGAGGATGGCGCGAGTGCCGAGATGTGACGTAGCAGAGCCAGTCCTTCAGTCCCAGCCTTGGACGGCGGAGTGCCAGTAAGACGTGCCGCAGCCTCATTACAAGCACGATTGTAAGCTTGCGAGGCCTCCACCTCTGACTTGACGGCGATCACGATCGCTCTCGCTATATCAGGCCGCTCTGCTTGCTGGCTTTGGCCATATTTGAGCCACCCGTCCAATGAAATGCCATCCGTGCTACTGAAGCGCAGGGCTCCACTGAGCAGTCGATGGAAAGACCTGGCGCTGATGGATTCCAGGGGTCCATCTTCCAGACCTTGCAAGTCTAATAAGCACGCTGCGATTGGGTCTAGACTGTTGGCCGCCGGCTTTCCATCCAAGGCTCTGACAACTGCAGTGTGCCATGCCGGCCCTTTGTGCTGCAGGGCCGAGGAGAGAGTCTTCGTAAGGAAGCCGGATGTATCTCCCAAAATTGACGTAAGTACCTGCGTGCTACAATCGTCCCCAAAAAGCCGCGGATGACTTTTTGGGGCGCCAAGCACATCCTCTGCAGCGATAGCGAGAATGATGAGGTGCTTCAGGGCCCATGGATGTTGAGGCAAGAAAAATGGCTCATCCCTTGACGCTTGCAGAAGCGCAAGCACAGCGCGGGTGTAAGGGTAGAAGCCTTGATTGTCGGATGCAGCGGGAATGTCGTTGGCGGCGCCAGAATGTGTCGCATGCGGATAAAGCGGATCCAAAATTGATAGTTCGCATTCTGACGAGACTTGAACACTTTCTTGCATGATGATGTCGTAAGTAAATGATGCTGGAAGAAGGCTGGAGAGGCGTTGTGATCCAAGGTGGACTACTGCTGCTTTCATTGTGTTCAAGGGCACCATGGTGTCAAGTAAATGCCCTTGCAAGCCTCCAATGACGAGCTGCTGTGCTTGTGCGTCATCCTTTAGCAGTGCCCACAAGCTGCAAGCACTATCCACCGCTGGACTTTCAGGCCCTTTGGTATCTGCGCAAAGGAACGCCAGACTAAAGACGACCGGAATAAACCCTGACAGAGCCTCCGAGTTGCTGAGAGAATATATGCGCTCCTCTGGCTTGTCTTGGACGTATGCACGAATAATTTCCAGATATAACGATAGCGATTGGCTTGCTTCGGGTCCTCCTCCACTGTTTCGTATCGCACATGAGACGACATCGCGGCCGTCATGTTCGATCTTCGTCAGAAGGAGACCAAGCATCTCCTCGCTGGTAGAGCGTTCAATGAATGGAGCTGGATTGCACATGAGTTGCTCGAGTGCCACTGCGATGCTGGACGTTGGCGAAATTGGAGACGAGAAAATTCGTGACATAAACGATAAAGCCACAGTGTCAATGGTGTGAACAGAGTTGGCCAAGCCACAAGACACTAGTTCTCGCGCCGGAGCGAACAGCTCTACCAAGACATCAGCTTGCTGCTGCTGGGACGGTAACTTCGTGACCGCTGAGATGACTTCAGTCCAAACTCGTTGTCGCTGCCCCGCATCGGAGCATAGCGGCAAGTAGACAGCCAAGTACCGGGCCAATGCATTTGCTGGAATGGTGCCTGCGAGTACTCCAGAGGGCAGTGAGATTGTGCTTACTGCTGCGAGTGCATTTGACACTTTTTCCGAGCGTAAGAGGTCGGCGGGTAGCTTCTTCAAAATGCTCGTCAAAAGCTCGACAGCGATCGTGCATGCGTCTAGGTCGTCCGAATTGTTGTCTAGAACAGCCTGGCAGTTGGAGGTCAAGTGTTGAATCATGGAAGTGATATATGGCTTCCCAGTCTCAGTCGATGCAACAGCAGCAAAAGTTGTGGTAGCACGTCGGAGCGCTCGCAGTGTCAACTGAACATCAGGTGCATCGGCATGCATGACTTGTTCCATTGATGAAGCGATGACCTGCGCGAACTGTTCAAGGAGGGCCCCATTTCGTGCATTTGCCAGCGCGACTAGCGCCTTGCCCATGTCGCTACCTAGGCGGTCGTCTCCAATCGCCCGGACGCGAGCATCTAGTAGTCTGCTCCTTTTATCATCTGACGAGGGTAGAGCACCGTGCAACACCAGCTCCAGCCAAGCCTGACCAAGTTGCGAGCGTACGAGCTCCATGGCAAGCTGTGACCCTTGCTTGTTCCTTTCACAGACCCTCTTTGCGAAAAACACGACCGTTTCGCAGAACGCAGAGAAGAATGCGCGGGCACCAGGGGGGTTGCTATCGAGGGAGCGAGATCCGACTGCCGTATAAAAGCTGGAAAAAAGATGGCGCAAATTTTCCGCTGCTGACTCCCCTTGAATGTGTGCGTCAGGCAAGGTTGAAGTAAGCACGACGACTGCTGGAAACCCCATTGCGGGTGACTGGCCGCATGCAGAGCGGAGCCAATCCAAGAAGCCGTTGTAAACGGAGGAAGAGCGCAGATTGTCTGTGTTGGTCTGTCTGCCGTGCCCTTCAGAGCTGTCCTCCTCGCTATCTGCGTCTTCGTCGTCGTCCTTTACGGCTGTGTCACTGACTGTAGGAGATGAGTGCCTCTCCCACAAGTCCCGGTGAGCGATGAGAAGCGGAGCAACAGCCTCCAGCATGGCCTTGTGAACCATAACATCACGCTCCTGCCATGCGCAGCCAAGGATTCTGGCCCCTCGACCTTCGGAGTGTAGCAGGTCGGTAAGCAGACGGTTGCGATGCTTGGTCAACGCTGCAATCAAAGTCCATGCACGAGCGCGGATTACTGGAGAGTTGGCAGCCAAGTATTCGGCCGTCAAGGAAAATGTCTCCCACTGTCGCTCAACCTGAGGCGGCTGAAAACAAGACCATAGCTGTTCTGACATGAGCAGGTATTCCATCTCCTCGGACAGTTCCGCTCCGTCTCTCTCGTCCTCTGATGGAGGCTCCTCTGTTCTTTTTGAACCTCCAAAGGTTTTGACACTGGAGATGGCCCATTCAAGAAACCCGAGCGCACCAGCAGTGAGTCTTGCTTGAGTCGTCACTACTGTCTCCTCCACATTCTCGTCCCTATTCTTTGCATCCCTGAGCTCCGTTCTACCGCTAGTTTGATCCGCCTCGCTTGTGCTGACGCCACTGGTTTGTGTCAATGCTGGATCACTGTGAGTTTGGAGAATGTTTATTGGTGACGTGATCGCCTGTGAGATGTGTGAGATGAGTGCTGACTCTTTCTCAGTCATGTTGATTCCAACTGTGCTGACTGATGAACCGAGCGCAGAAGAGGAGCTGAAATTTAGCCAGTAGGTGCAATCAAGCCATGATTCTTTGGCTACTCGTGCAACCTGAGAATCTGTGTCCCATGCCAGAAGTGCCCATGGGCCAAGCAACGTCTCGACAAAGTGCGGGGACTCGAGGATCTCTGCCCGGGTCAAGCTCGATGTCGTGAGCAAGCGATGAATTTGAGCCGTTAATAGCCTCAGCCTTCTTGTTGGGGAGGCTGCCAAGCGTGGAAAAAGGTGCGTCTAAATTCAGCCCAAGGCACATTTGTGTCAGCAACGGTGCGCGGGACGAAGTGTGAACTCGGGCCCACCCAGCATGGAAGCGCGAGGATCAGCGCGGATTCTTTCTCTGCAGCTTCTGCAGAGTCCCCAACTTCGGAGAGTGAAATGGTGTCTTGAGACCAAGCAAACAGTCCCTCAAGTGCGCGTTGTCGTGTGATAACATCCTTCTTGCCCGCTTTCCTGAGGAGCACGACCAGGTCGCCAGGCAGCTGGCTGGCCAGACCCAGAGTGTCTAAAGGATCCGGCAAACCTTGTGGCGGCTTAGGAGGAGGAATATAGACTTTCTTCTTTAGCTCCTTTTTCTTGGACTTGTCCTTCTTTTGTCCTCGTTGAGGCGGCTGGCCTGCGACAACTGCATCGCCTGACTTCTTCGCCACCTTCACCGCCTGCTTCTTGCGCGTTGCGGACGATGCCGAAGACTTTCCCTTTGCTCCTTTCCCCATCCTGGATATTTTACTGCGTAGTATACGCAGTCAGGTTTCTCTTGGTGATTACAGTGTCAGACCTTGAGACCTGGACGCTGGACACCATGCACCATCGAGGGAAAAGAAGCAACACAAGCTCGAAGTCATGATCACGAGTCGATCCCTCTCTATGACGCACCTGAGGCGTTAATGTTTCTAAGCAACTTCGCATTACGTAATCTGCATGATTTCTTTTTTTGCAGCCTGCCGCCCTTATGCTCACACAACCACTGAGGTGATTCACGAATCGCGGCTGGCCATCAAATGGGCATGCTGTGAGAAGGCCAGTGAAGGGAAGAGAAGGAGCGGTGAAGGCAGATTATTGGACTGCAGCTTAAGTTGTCGAAAAAGAACCAAGGAGAAAGAGCCAGGATGGCTGGCCCGAATCTCGAGCTCTTCAAGTTTGGATTGTGAGCTCTTTCAGAGGTCGTATGCGCCTCGGCGGACTCACTGACGGCTCAACTCTTTCCGGCAATTGCAGGTATCTTTTCTTCCCTCTTGCGGTCATGGTTCACTATGGTGATCCTGAATGGTATCACAAGAACGTCCTTCCGGTCCGTTGCGAAGCTCGGACGCGCCATTGGTAAGCGACCGGTTACTAACTCGTGCTGTCCCACCTTCAGATCCGTGATACCTTTTGGCCAAAAGAGAAGAATCTATACGTACGTGTTCATCGTGCAGGGAAGAAATTGAGATTTTCCGCATTCGCCTGACCAGGCTCTCGACCCTTTAAACGATCGCAGAAGCCTCCTCGAAATGAGAAAGACTTGAAATCAGAGCTGGCAGAACTGCGGCGGCAGCGTTTAGAAGGCAAGGCTGCGAAAAGCGGTTTGACGTCATCGACATCTTCAGCCCAAGCAGAAGAAGCCGGACTACCATTTGGCACTTTAACAGAGGCTTTGGCAGCATTGCCCTTGGATCATGAACTCCCGAACGGCCAGCGACTGCCAACTCGACGTCTCATCGCCCCAGCCTCCATCAAAGCATCGTTTTCGAATCCTGAGGCACTAAAGATGCGGCTGGTTTGATAAACGCAGGTACAATTTGCCACCACTTAAGCATCCATCTGTATCATATTGCACCAGTGTATTTGTATGCGAGCATGCGAGGGCCTTCGTTTTTGGCTTTGCTTCTATCCGTGCGAAAGACGTTGGCGCCCACATTCACGTCGCCTATTCAGCGAGCAAGCCGCGTTCTTGCACAAAGCAATGCAAATGCGTTCGCATGAAAGTCAGAGTGACTCGTGGACAACCACCATGTAAGTCACTGTCTATGCAGACCTTGGTGATGTGGTATGGTGCGTTGATTACTTCTCTACAGGAACAGCCTAAAGGGATAGCTGGGATTTTTGGTGCGGAAGATGGCAAAGAGCAAGCTGAACGTGCCCAAAAAGACCACTGACCATACATAAACGCCGGCACGCTGTCTTACGGGATCCCGCTGATTCGGCACAAAAATGATAAGTGCTATCATTGAGAAGGCTAACAATGCATCTGCGTAATGCAGGGATTCGTTGCAAGACCTGATCAGCAAGGGAATTGATTGTCCCACAGGGTCGGCTGAGCACTTACAAATGGAGGAAACAATGTGCGTCTCGGCCACGAATTGATTTTGGAAGCCACCAGCAAAGTACTCGATTCTGCCACCGCTTCCGATACCGTTATACGGCGCTCCGCGAATGTGGTTCCACATGTATCCGGAGCACATGACGATAACTGTGCCAAGGGTGACCAACTCCCAGACGAGCTTGGTGCCCGATATGAGGCCGCCCATTTTGGGGGCGACAAAAACGACGAGCGCACCCGCAGAGCAGATACCCGTTGCAAAAGTGAGAAATGTCCACCATGCAAAAGGCTTCACATACTCTATCGGGAAGTCTTGATCCTTTGTAAGCCAGGCTGCAAGATCTTCAGCTTCAAATCCAGCGCGGTTGAAGTCGTAGGTAATTGGAGAGGGATCGCTTGAAGCCCGTGGCCCTGTGGTGGGCGGGAAATAGAGCAGTGCAGGGGCATGTTGCAAGCTCATCTGCAAAGGTAGCAAACGTACAGACACCTCAACATCTCCAAAATCGAAGCGATCCGAGGCGAACGTACGTACCTGTTTGAAGATTTCTTTCCCTTTCGTGAAGTCAAGTGTTGCGAAGAAATGGCTGTTGTCACGCTTCTTTGCCCATCCCCGCGCGAGGGCCTCGTACTCTGGTTGGAACTTCTGGCACGGTTCGCAGCCAAACTGTGAGGCCAAAGCCGTCATCAGCGTCGTTACCGAGTAATTCCTCGGCGCCATGGTGATTTCATTGTACAGGGCCGCATCAAGATTGAGGTGCCCGCCCGATTTTGAGGCTAGCGAGGCAAATTTGGCTTGTCGGCCTTGTGCAGCATTGGCCTTGGTGTTGACTTGCGTCGCCAGGACGAGTAGCAGAGCAAAGCAGAGTGCCATGGAGGCCCGGCAGATGTTTCGCGCCACTATCATCGTGTCACGGCCTGAATTCCCTTCTCTGTGCAGCGTCACTGGCTAACTTGACGCAAGAAGAGGTGGTAGAGTTTATGTATAGCTAATTAGAAGCTGAATGGAAGAATAACATCCTCTTGAGTCGACGAATCTACAGTAACTGCTGACGGCTCAAGGTTCGAGAGGCAGGGCAGACAAAGTTGCAAGGCGGCAACCTCTCTGGGCGTGGCTCGTGCGACAGTGCTTGCGGGACTCCCTTTCCTCTCGCTCAGGCCTCTCAACTTCGGAGAACCAGGCGTCATGGAGAGCTCAATCTCTTCGGTTCTTCTCCCAACCATCGCCGCTTCTCAACTCGTTTTCGCAGGTTGCCAAGCCGTATTGGATCTTGGAATCGATGCCAAGATGCCAGCAATCACCGCCGAGTGGGCGATCCAACTGCCGCAAGAATTCGACGGACCTGTCGGCCCCACCGGCGCCAAGCTCCCCACCCATTCGACTGCAACCTTCCCCGCTCGATCGGCAGGACTGTCTGATGTCGCAGATGCGATCGATGAAGCCAGACAAGCCCTTAATGCCATAACGACGCAGTGGAAAGACTTGATTGGCAAAGAAGAAGAAAAGCTAAAAGTGCAACGAACAGCCTCCGCAGCAGGAGCTTCCGCCTTAGTAAAGGCGAGCGGAGACGCCTCTGACGAAGAGGAGGAGGCGGGTGAACAAGAGGAAACCGATGCTTGACATGTTCAAACTTAATGAAGAACTATCGTGGCCCTCCAACCCTTGGCCTTGTCCTTGAACAGACAAATATGTTCTAGGCTCTGCGCTGTGAGCCACACTTTGCACCACAACCAGGCGCACTAGCAAGAATTTATTTTCGATCACGGTTTCTCATTGCTTGGACGTTGGCCTAGCGCCATGCAACATTCGATCTTCAATTTTGGATGTCCCGTTCACATCTTGACGCAAAGGAGAGGCTCGGTCAAGTGTACCATAAACAGCCTCATGGCCGTCGCAGGCAGACTTATGGTACGCCGCAGGGCAAAAGCCAATGTCCTTCGGCTTGCGAGGACTACCAGTATTGTCCTTCTGCATGCAAATGCAAACGTTTGACACTGCTTGCTGCTGTACCGGGGCTATGCAGCGAGTGATTGTGGTCACACTTTGGCTTCAGATCGCCAAGCGTGGCGAGGACATACTTAGAATGTCTATCACTTCACAACACACGCACAAGATTGAAAATATGGAGTTCTGCAGTTATGCTTATGGGCAATGTATGTAATCAGCTTCATAGCAAGGCTGCCGCACAAGGGAATCAGATCATCACTTGAGTATCTCTCTTGCCCTGTCTGACAAAACTTCTTGCCAGCTCTTGCCGGCCAAAGAAGCCGCGTCCGTCGCATCTTTAGGTTTGGTGCTGCCCAGCCCCGCCCGATCGTTATACAGCATGGTCTCAACAGGAGCGACTCTGCCCTCGCCCTCGGCGCCCAAGCCCTGGTCCTTTTTCCAACCCATCAGGCTTAAGATATGTGCGCCTTTGTTCGATTCGGTGTCGATGCCTTCCTTCGCTAAATCACGACTCGGCTCGGACGCAGGAGCCGCAGGACCCTCAAAGGTCTTCTTACTCGCATCTTTTGCATCGCTCGGCGTATCTGCGCCAAAGACTGCACGGCGTTCCGACGCGCGATCGCGGTACTTGGGCTGCCCATCGCCGCCGACACCGTTGTTAATGATGCTTGTATCGCCATTGCTCGAGCCGAGAGGTATAAAGCCCTTGCTCAACCCAGTTTCTTTAGAGAAAAGCGCGATCTTCTCTTGCTTGCGGGCGTAGCCATCCCTGCGCGACTCTTCCTTCTCCAGTTCAGTCTTGTGCAGCACGGACTCTTTCAGATGTCGCTCAAGTGTCTCAGGTTTTTTGAAAGCTCGGTTGCACAGCATGCAAGCGATGAGAGGCTCTAGCAGCGTGAAGTCGTAGTCCCTATCCGGGATGAATAAATCTTGCGTGCCCTCCTGCTCGCACACTGAGTCGTCATTCGGTCGGATCGAGATAACGCTGGAATCGACCGGGGCATCGCTGGCACCGAGTGGCACTCTGATGGCACTATCTGCAGATACGGGAGGCTCCGACTTTGCGTCCTTCATAGAGAGCTCGGCCGCCGTCTGATGATCGATAGCTGCGTGCAATTCACCCTGTCTCGTCGTCCATTTCGATATATTGCTTGCGACCTTCTTGCTGCCCGATATCGGCGGAACCTTGCGAGCACGTTCAAGCCGCCCGTCCTTCTCCAAATATCCCGTTACAAGAGCAGGAGGCTGAGACTGGTCAGTGCGAGACGAGTCTCTGGTGGGTAGAGGGAGTGTGCCTGAAGCTGATGAGAGAAGCTTGTTGGCATCTTGCAACACCCTTTGGCGGCGATCGCCCGAGTCTTCCCCTTCTTCCAGATCAAAGGCCGCAAGCTGGGCCGCTTGTGCTGCTAACCCTTGGCCGTCTGTCTTGATTGCTTTCGTCACGCCGTCACTCAATTGCAGCTTGAGCTTCTTCGGTTCGGGAGCAGTCGCACTGGAGCCATCCCATTGAGATGCTACGCCACTTCCTGGCGGATCATCCGCTCCGAAAGCTTCGTGTGCGCCTCTCTTCTCTTCGGACGGATCACGCCCCCGCACTAAACTTTGATTTTCAGTCTCTGTTGAGCCATTTTCCTTCAGCGAAGAAATGATCCGGGCCCTCAGCTCTACGTGTTTGTCGTCCATTCTGTTAGGAGACTCCAAGTGCGGAGCAGCGCTAGGTGCGACCGATGCTGCCGTCCCCTCCGCAGAGTGAAGAGACTCGCCCGCACGGGTGTGGAGCTGACCTTGGTAAACATGATCATCGCGTGTCGAGGGAGAGCTGGCTGCAAAATCTTTCGATGGTGACGTTACCAGTGCACCAGCCGAGATAGAAGCTGGATAATGAGGTGGGGGCACACTGGATGATGGCGCCGTGGAAAAGCCACGTTGAGCTTCGGGGCGGGGTGAGGGCCGGTCTTCGCGCACACGGCTAGAGCCGGAGGGACTCGAGCTGGGTGGAGGACCATGTCCGCTACCCTGGCGATCGCCTTGACGGTAGGTGTCATAAGCGATCGAAGAGCCTGATGCATGTCGCCTCGCCTCGTACCTTCGATCTCTGTCACCATCATGGCCATAAGATGCGCGATCGTAGTAGACACCGCGATCCACGCCACTGCCACCAATTCTGTCGTATCGCTCGCGATGATCGCGATCACGAAGCCTTTCTGCACGCTCGTATTCTTCCCATTCTCTTGAATACGAGTCGCGCACATCACGATCACGATCCATCCCTCTGTCCATTTCTCTTTCCCGATCAACATCCCTGCTGTCTGACCTCAACCGCCGCTGTTCACGATCGAAATTGCGAGAGTCGCTTCGATATGGATCTTTTCGCGTATCCCACAACCGGTCGTCCTCATTGCCGTCGCGCCGCGTGTCTTCCGGTACTGGAGCTCGCGGCGGACCGATATTGGGGAAGGGTGGAGACAGGGGCAGCGGCGAGCTGTGAGGGGCTCCCTGTGCAGCCGAAAGTGCAGCATAGGTATGAGAGTGATAATGAATCGGCGGGACTGAACCACATGAGCCAGGCTGGGCGCGTGCAACAGGCGATGGATTACTGATCGTCGGCGCTTGGTGTCCGTGAGCGTATTGGTAAGGAGCGGCTGCAGCGCCCGAGCCTGGTACATGAGCATACTGTTGTGGAGGGCCGTATGTCCGTGGAGGATGGTTGTAGTGAGGGGAAGCGCCGTTTGGGACAGAGGGAGCGCCTTTGGTGGGATAGCCTGGGGGAGGCCTGCTGGGGTCAAATGGGACAGGAGCTGCAGGAGCACCCGGAAGACTTGCAGCCGGATTCGGTGGACGCCAGTGTGCATGATGTAGATAAGCGCCTTGCTGCGTGGGCGTGACAGTTGGAGCCGGCAAGCCTTGATAGCCGCCGTACGGCTGGGCACTTGGTCCTTCAGGACCTGGTGGCGCATAAATAGGGGCCGGTACACTGTACCCAGGTCGGGTGTGAGATCTCTGTGTAGGAGCAAAGCACCCGGCGTTGGGCAGAGTGGGAGGAGAAGGTCATGGAGCGTAAGTTCGGCCGGTCTATGTATATGAAACAACTAGCGAACGGACTATGTTGGGATCTTGGCCTGGATTGAGTTGATATGGTGAAGTATTCTGTCAAAGCGAAAAGTAAATATTAACACCCTTTAGTCAGTAACGATAACCGGATAGGAAGATGATAAGCGGCGAGAGAACGGACAGGATACGGGCAGGGAACTGGTGTGGGATGCGGTGCTGGGTGTGTATGGCTGGGAGGCGGCGGTGATTGGTGCGGGTTACTATATTGACCACGGTAGCCATAGAACCCTTCTTCTTGCGCAGGAGCCTGTCCTTGAGTTGAACTATAAGCTAGGGCTGAAGCACAGCCGGCGCCGTAGGCGCTGTGGGCCGGCTGCGAGTAGTATGGATCATTCTGATGAAGTTGGCGCGGCGGAGGGGGGTGAGAGCTGCTTGACGCCGGCGAAGGCACAAGGCTATACTGTGTGTAGCTCATGTCTGAGTTTGAGCTTTTTCAGTAGACCAAAGCAAAGACTTGACTGTATCACCATTTGGCTACAGCCTGTATGGAGACGATTCGAATGCAGAGCCACGACGCCAATTCACGTATCAGGGAGAAGGACGGTCAAGAATTGACCCGTAAGCGGATTCGCTCTGAGTCCGTGCGAGACAACCGCTTCAGTTGCGGACGCGTCCACCTCGTCGCGGTGGTTGTCGACCTTGGCCTCGTGTGTCGGATACCGTATGCGAGCGAGTTCTGCAGCCCTAAAGCAAGGGGTTGAGGTACCCTCTGGGTTCGCCATTTGCATGCTCGAATCGCGGAGGAGAGATGAGGGTGCGCAGCTGATGCCTTTTAGTGAAGAGAGGCCGAGTTTGGAGTCTGGGTTTGCCAAGCCGCTGGCGCGGAGCTCGGAGAAGATTGGAGACATGTAGAGAGGTCGGAGTGAGGTCAAAATGCCGAAAGGGAGCCCAAGTAGGGTTGGTTCATTAAAACATACACTCGGAACCCGGAACCCGACTCTCCCGGCGTCCAAACAAATTTTGCCTGTCTAGTCAATGTGATCGGCGCAGCGATGTAAAGTTATCAGCTCGTGGCAAGGCCACTGCTGTCTAAACATCTGACGCGTGCAGGGCAATTGGCACAGCAGGCAAGGGCCTTTTGGTTAACTTGCTGTCCAGGTTTTGTCTAATCCTAGGCTTTCAAGAAACCCAATTTTGTGGACGAAAACAAAGAGTTATACGGTGCTGTTGAAGCAATTAGCTCATTCAAAAGCGTCAGCATGCTGCCGACGCCGACCGAGTTCAGCGGCGCGAGCCCGACCTCCAAGGCCGGTATTGCTGCCCGTTATGTATCGGCTCTGGACATCGACCTTCAACATGCTTGTGTCAAGCTGATCGACTCGCTTCCCAGGCGAAGTGTTCCAGCGCACAGCCTCAAGATCCTCAAATGCTGCGCAAGTGCTGAAAACGATGAATCGCATGCTGCAGCGCAACTAGCACCTGTCGACCTGGTCAAGCTATCGGACGCGCTTCGAGAACTACTACTTATTCCAACGTGTGCGCAGCATGTCGCCATTCAATTCCATCCCATCTTGCTGCACCTTCTTGCTGCATTTCTACCCGACGGAAAAGATGGTGAAGAACAACCATCATGGCAATCTGAGAAGACGCGAGCCATTTTTGTCATGTTCGGCATTTTGCTCGGTCCTTTCGAGGAAATCTACCCGTGAGTACTCGCCTGTTGCAGGGTTTAGAGCTGGCTGTGCGTATTCACCAAGTCGCCCTCTCTGAATTCAGGATTTTATATGAGTACCTTTCGCACCCAAATCTTTGCAACGGCCCGATATGTGCAGGAATGCAAGACACGTCAGAGACGCAGGCTCTGCTCCTTGCTTACCAACGTATCCTGCAAGCCAGCCCATCCTTTCGCGACGATCTTCCTAAGCCATGGCCACTACATTCGCTTTGTGACATATACAAGTCTGCCACCGCCCAGGACGCACTCAATACTGCTGCCGGCAAGATTCAAACACGCTATTCCACCGCCACCCGCTTGCTGGCGCTCTTCGTTTACAGTCATGGCATGCAGCTGTCAGAGTCCGTACGCGTCCAAGCGGAGCATGTCTTCATCGGTGAACCGAGCATTCTTGGCGTACCAGAGTCACCTGGCGTCGATGCGAGATTCACTCTTGACATGGAAGAAGGAAAAGAGCAGACGATTGACGTTTGGGTCATTCATGCCAAGGAAGCGGTGAGGTGGCAAACCGTGTGGACAAGATGCGAAGAGTCGCCTATTCGTTACCTTAAACGACAGCAGTCTTCAGAAAAGAAGAAGGACGAAGAAACCATGGACGTGGATCAAGTCACAACTGCGATGAACAAGCTGCGGCTCACACCGCAAGACCTACATCCGCGCGTCAGCTCCATTGGGGGTGTGATTTTGCTGCGCGGTTCACCAATCTCTGCCTCTTCCTCCGCATCTAAACCCGTGCCATTCGTCGAGACTACAAGCTCGTATCGCACGCTCACTGATTTGGCCATCGACATCTCGTGTCGGCTACCAATCCTCCTCAGCGGTCCGGCCTCAAGTGGCAAGACCTCTATCTTGCACCACGTCTATGCTCAGCTTCACCCTTCTTGCATCCCAGCCAAAGCATCCGGCAATCCGCGTGGCCTTTTGACAATCCCTCTTGGCGACTCAATGGGTGTAGATGCCAAGTCACTGCTAGGTTCCTACACTTCTTCGCCGACGTCTCCAGGCGCCTTTATTTGGCAAGAAGGTTCACTCACACGCGCCGTCCGCAAGGGGTACTGGGTCATCCTCGAGGATGTGGACAAGGCCAGCTCAGAGGTGCTGAGCATCATCAAAGAACTCGCACGTGGACTATCACCTTCAAAACCAGCTGGATTCCGGCCGTCACTTAGCCTGGGGAACAGAGGCAAAGTGAAGGCGGCACCAGGATTCATGCTCTTTGGCACACGCTCGACCGAAGCGAGGCGGAAGGCACGCTTTGCTGCTGAAGCGCATGGCAAAGATAAAGGAAAATCGAAAGAATCGAATGAGGCGAGCGAGATAGACATGGGAGACTCCGAATCAATGCAGCTTTCACCGGCCACCTTCTTCACCCACAAGCACTGGGCGGAAGTCATCCTCGCAGCGCCAGCTCACACGGAGATCCTCGAGATTATATCCAAGCTTTTCCCATCTTTGCAACGCGTATCACAGCATTTGATCCCGCGGATCGTGGGCGCGTGGACTGCGCTCGCGCAAGAGCAGGCGAAGCTCTCAAAGGGCGGCCACGCATCGGGCGGCTTGATCCGGCAAGTTTCATTGAGGGACTTGATAAAGTGGTGTCGAAGAATAGAAACAATCATCAACGCGTCTGGAGGGTTGAGAGACCCCCTTGCAAATCCAGTCGAGCAGGAGCACGTCTTTCTCGAGGCCCTCGACATTTTCCTAGGAGCCTTTCCAACGTGAGTAACGCTTGTTGTTCGGAAGTTGCCTGTGTCCTTTTTGAGCCTGACTCATTTTCACGGATTTTTTGGGGTTCGCAGGCATGATCCACTGAGCATGGTCAAGTCGGCTAGCATGGACGAATTCGAAGGCTTGCGGACAGCGTTAGCAAGCGCTCTAGCTCACATCCTGGACCTAAACGACGAACGTGTGGAATGGCTTCTCGAGCAACGAACGCCAGAGATGACCTTTCATAAGGCCCCTTCAAGCTCTGCGCCGAGCACTATTGCCATCGGCCGCGTGGCTTTGCCGCGCTTCGCTGCATCTCAACTCGGGCAGGATCGTTCAGCTCCGGTTCTGCACAACTTTGCTATGACGAAAGCAAGCTTGACACTCATGGAGCAAATTGCGGCCGCCACAGCGATGAATGAGCCTATCTTGCTCGTCGGAGAGACAGGGACCGGCAAGACAACAGTTGTGCAGCATCTCGCATCGCTCGTATCTAGACCATTCACCGCTCTCAACCTCTCCCAGCAAAGCGAGGCATCAGATCTGTTGGGAGGCTTCAAGCCCATTGAGCCCAAGATGCCAGCGATGGAGTTGCACAACGAGTGGTACCAGCTATTCACGCAGGCTTTCTCGGCGAAGAGAAATGCAAAGTTCTTGGATGCAGAACGCAAGGCATTGAATGCAGCGAAATGGGGCAAGCTGTCGCAGCTTTGGCGCGAAAGCGCAAAGATGGTAGCTGAACGAATGACAGCGCAGGATGACACCAATGCTGATGCAGAGGAAGGGAGGAAGCGACGGAAGACAGGTCCGAAGTCCGAGCAGCGGTCAGCATCACCAGTTGCAAGCTTTTCAAACAATGCGTACAGCGCATGGGCTTCCTTTCTCGAGCGTGTCGACTCGTTCCGTCTCCAACACGTGCAAATCAGCTCGACCACCAGTGGCCGCCGATTTAACTTTGGGTTCATCGAGGGACCTCTAGTGCGTGCGATCCGAAATGGAGAGTGGATCCTCCTTGATGAGATCAATCTTGCAGCAGACGAAACGCTGGACTTCCTCTCGGCTCTCTTGCAGTCGTCTACCAGTAGTATTGCGCTCACAGAGCGTGGAGACCTGGACGTAGTACCTCGGCATCCGGACTTTCGTCTGTTCGCATGCATGAATCCAGCGACCGACGTCGGCAAGAAGCTGCTGCCTCCGCCTATCCGGTCGCGCTTTACCGAATTGTACGTCAGCAGCCCTGATGCAGATCGCGATGCTCTCCGCAGCATCGTCGAAAAGTACATTGGCGAACTAGCCCAGGGTGACAAGCGCGTAGTTGACGATGCAGCTCAAACCTACGTCGACATCAAGACTCTCGCACAGAACGGAGAACTCGCAGACGGTGCAAACCAACGCCCTCATTTCTCAATTCGCACTCTGGCACGCGCCCTCACCTCTGCAGTTCAGTTCGCGCCTTCTTTTGGTCTCCGAAGAAGTCTGTATGAGGGCTTTCTGATGTGCTTTATCACGAGTCTGGATCCGGAAAGTAGTCACAAAGCTACAAGAATCTTACATCAACATCTCATCGCTCACGCGAAAAATTCAAACAACCTACTGTCACTTATCCCAGCAAGCCCGTCCGGTGATGTCTCTCAACACGTTCAGTTCGGGCCATTCTGGCTGGCGACAGGGTCCCTAGTGCCAAAAGAAGCACCGGGGTACATCCTGACGCCCTCCGTCCATACGAAACTCTTTGCGCTCGCCCGTGCGATCTGCATCGGTCGCTTTCCGGTTCTCATCCAAGGACCAACATCAGCAGGAAAGACTTCGGCAGTAGAGTTCCTCGCCAAGCGCACCGGACATCGATTTGTTCGCATCAACAACCATGAACACACAGACTTGCAAGAGTACCTAGGCTCCTATGTCAGCGACCCAGACACTGGTGCACTGCGCTTTGAGGAGGGCCTACTCGTACAAGCACTGCGCCGAGGAGATTGGATCGTCCTGGATGAGCTCAATCTCGCGCCGACGGATGTCTTGGAAGCACTCAATCGCTTGCTGGATGACAATCGCGAGCTTTTCATCCCAGAGACAGGCGAGACGGTCAAGCCGCATCCACACTTCATGCTTTTTGCCACGCAAAATCCACCGGGTCTTTACGGTGGCCGCAAAGTCCTGTCTCGAGCATTTCGCAATCGCTTCCTCGAAGCCCATTTCGACGACGTTCCTGCGCACGAACTCGAAATCATTCTCACGCAGCGCTGCGAAATTGCTCCCAGCTACGCGTCAAAAATGGTTGCAGTGTTCGCTGAGTTGCAGCGACGTCGTCAGGTGGACCGCGTGTTTGAGTCCAAGCATGGATTTGCTACCTTACGTGATCTGTTTCGCTGGGGCTCCCGCAGTGCAATAGGGTACGAAGAGTTAGCAGAAAATGGGTACATGCTTTTAGCAGAAAGAGCGAGGCGGAAAGAGGATAAGGCTGCAGTTCAAGACGTTCTCGAGAGCCTGCTCCGCGTCAGGATCAGATTGGATGCTCTTTACGACCTTTCCAGCGAGACCAATGTGGTGCGACGCCACCTCGGCGCGGAATTCTGCTCGAAGCTTTTTAACAAAATCCAAGAGTCCGGATTAGTACCGACTGCATCCTTACAGAGACTTGTCGCGTTGCAATGCGTGGCGTTTGCCTATAACGAACCGGTACTTCTTGTAGGTGAACCGGGGACAGGAAAGACAGCGGTCTGTGACGTCGTCGCAAGCGTATTCAGCACCCGCTTGGACGTGCTCAACTGCCACCAGAATACCGACGCTTCTGATTTACTCGGTGGTCAACGGCCGCTCCGAAATCGGACCAGCGTAGAGAGTCAAGCGCTGCATCTTTCAAGCAGCGTAGCAGGGCAGCCTTTTGACTCTATCGAGGGCGCCTTGACTGGAATTCGTGCTGCCATGGCAGCAGATAAATCTTTGGAAGCTGCCGCTCGTTATTCAGCCGCCATTCGATCGCTGCAAGCCGCGAATGTGCTATTCGAATGGTACGACGGACCGCTCATTCTGTCCATGAAGCAAGGCTCGCACATGCTCTTGGACGAAATCTCACTGGCAGATGACAGCGTACTCGAGCGTCTCAACAGTGTTTTGGAGACAGGTCGTTCCATTACACTGCCCAATCGTCAAGAAAAGCACACCTCAGCTCAGATGGATGCGGACCCGGGTGCAACTCATTCTGTGGTTGCAGCTGAACAGTTCCAAGTCACAGCAACTATGAATCCGGGGGGCGACTATGGCAAGAAGGAGTTAAGTCCGGCTCTACGAAATCGTTTCACTGAGATATGGGTATCGCCCATCACCTCGAAAACAGATTTATCTGCTATCTTGTCGGAAACACTTTCGGTAGTTCAAGAACGCCATTGGTTGGTTGCTGGAATGCTGGACTTCGCTATTTGGCTTGGGAAGGAGGTAGACGTTCTTCCAAATCATATGGTCAATCTAAGAGATTATTTGGCCTGGGCTACCTTTATCGAAGCGACCAACACAGGCGACGACAATCGGACCAGCCTTTCTCCTGCAGCTGCTTTCGTTCAAGGAGCGCATCTGTCAATTATCGAGGGTCTTCCAACCCTTCCTTCTTTAATGTCCTTTTCTCAAGAGCGGCTGAAGGACGTGCAGCAGCGAGCCACACATTGGCTTGAGAGTCTCGCTCGTCAACATGATCCTTCCTACCAGTCAATTGAGAAGGTGGCATTCTCCTGCACCTCACAGCACGTCTTCGTTGGACCATATCGTTTGTCAAGGAATGCAGCGGATCAACTCACATTACCAGATTTCGCTTTCAACGCTCCAACGACCTTGGTTAACACATTGAGCGTAGTCAGAGCCCTGCAGATTCCCAGCAAAGCAATACTGCTTGAAGGGAGTCCTGGCGCCGGCAAAACCAGCCTGGTTAATGCACTCGCCGCCGCCGTCTCTCAACAGCTTGTACGTATCAACCTTTCCGAACAGACCGAAGCCACAGACCTTTTTGGCTCCGAGCTGCCAGTCGAGGGCGGCCGTGCGGGCGAGTTCGGTTGGCATGATGCAGCTTTTCTCACCGCTATGAAAGAAGGTTACTGGTAAGCAAATTTCCTTTAAATTCTTCAAGACTTTTGTGACTGATGCGCTGTCTCTCTACAATTATGCTCAGGGTTCTTCTGGATGAGATGAATCTCGCCTCGCAATCCGTGCTCGAGGGATTGAATTCATGCCTCGATCATCGTGGTCAGGTCTACATTCCCGAGCTGGATAAGACATTTCAGAAGCATCCCCGTTTCCGGGTATTCGCCGCCCAGAATCCGCAATCGCAGGGTGGTGGACGCAAAGGTTTGCCCCAGTCTTTTCTCAACCGATTCACCAAGGTCCACGTACAAGAGCTCACTGCGCAAGACTTCATGCATGTGGCTCGCGGCATGCAAGTAACCGCTGCTGACACAAATTCTCGCCTTGTCGTTGAGTTCAATCGACTTGTGGGTGAGCAGGTCAAGCAAGGCTTCATCGGCCGCACGGGAGGGCCGTGGGAGTTGAACCTGAGAGACATTCTGCGATGGCTTCAAGCTTCGCAACTGTCCCCCACCGCTCGATTGAATGTGTCCGAAATTGTGAGACTGCTCTACCTTGCTCGATTTCGTGGTCAAAACGATATCGCGCGGATATCACACATCTTCCAGGAAATCTTCGGACTCGAACTTAAGACGGATAGGCTTCCCTCAATAAAACTCACTCCTGACAGCGTCTCTATCGAGGGAAGGGCGATGGCGCGAAAAGGGAGCACCCGGCCGACATATCACCCTGGATTGATGCAGCAGCAACTGCCCTCACTCGAACTCTTAAGCCAATGTGTCCACCTGCAATGGCTCAGCATCATGACTGCAGAGTCATACAGCGGGAAGACGTCTGCGATCGAAGCGCTTGCGAAGCTGTGCGGACAAGAACTACACGTGGTCCGCCTGAGTGCAGTTTCCGATGCAGCGGATCTTCTCGGCTCTTTTGAGCACTTGGACTCCGCGGGTGCTATGCGTGAGCGTCTTGCCCGGGTTTGCGAGATCCTCCGCGACCAGCTCAGCTCGGCTGCTAGCCGTTTGGCTGAGAAAGATTTTTCAGCGAGTATTGGCGCTGCTGTTGACGTGCTCTCATCCCTAGCGCTCAGCTCTAGCCTTCCGGAAAGTCTCAATGCGATCTCCACCACAGTTGCAAGCCTTATGTCCAAAGAGATGCCCGCAGACGTACGCGATCAGCTAGCAAGTGTCCAACATCAGCTGACGCGTCTTCAAATGTCGCAAACTGTTGGTGCCAGATTCTCCTGGGTTGACGGTTCGCTTGTCCGGTGCATCCGTGCAGGTCATTGGGTGGTACTGCAGGACGCGAACCAATGCCCACCAGCAGTTCTCGACCGATTGAACTCGCTCTTTGAGGCCAATCCGGTGATCGTCCTCGCGGAAAAGGGATCGTTAGCTGGAGATGTCGAAGTCATCAGACCCCACCCGAATTTCCGCTTATTTATGACGACTGATCCCGCCTTAGGCGAGCTCAGCCGCGCTATGCGCAATCGCGGCATTGAAATCTCTTTGTCTGGTCAGGAACTGTCGGAAGTGGCGAGCACGGATCGCCAAAGGCTTATTGCAATCTCGCGACGTCGACGATCGTTCTTGCGCCATGCACACGCTGAAGAGCCATGTGCCCCCGCCGTCTTGTCTTCAGGGTCGCCATTCCTAGATCTGTCACGCCAACGCTTGGCGATGCTTCCGCTGACAAACAATGCCATGTGCACTCTGAAGGTCAAATCCATGTGGGACTTGGAAGGATTAGCCACAGCTGGACAAATCCTCGGCCTGGTTGGACTTCAGGACGCTGGTGCAATGTCGCGCTTGCTCGTCCTCGAAGAGGACGTTGCGACGGCCTTTGCCGAGGTCGCTTCCGAATTGGTTCAATCTTTCTCGACTTCACATGGACCCTTCCCGCAGGTGAGACAACATCGAACAAGCTAACGTCGAGATGATTTGCTGACATTACCTGCTTGTGCAAGCCTCGAGATCCACTGGCCATTCCAGACCGTAATATCAGCGCAACCGCAGAAGGACTATTCGAGTCACTATCTTTGCAGCTGGACGACCGTGGGCGACTTCTTCTCCAGCATTTGGCTCGGCTTGAGCGCACCGCAACAATGAAACCGGACCAAAATCAAGCAATACAAAATTGCATATTCTACCGTGCGCACTACCCCTCCACTTCTTGGCCGCCAGAATTGGGCCAGCTGGACCTTGTCGCACTGTTGCATGACCTTGTCGCCACAGAAGAAACGAAGATTGATGTCAAATCCTACGGAATAGACGGAATCCGCCTCCGTTGCGACATGCAAGATGTCGCAATATTCATCATTAAGCTGGCAACTGCGCCCACCATGGATCATGCGGCCTTGCATTCCATTTTGAAGCTTCTGTCCTCGTCCAAAGCACTAAAGGCCTTGCCAAGCTCTCATTTCTTAGTGCATTCGTGTGGTCGTGCACTGAGTCAGCACCACGGCGCAAATTCAGGTGGAGGGGCTGCGATGGATCTTCTATGGGAGAATATTTTGCTCTCCCAGCCTCGCATCCTCCATGATGGGTTCCAGAGTGCGGCTCTCATGATCAACAGCACGCGTTCGGGTAATGAAGCGACAGGTATGTTGATGATGCACTTAAACCGATCGTGCTGTACTGACGAAAACTAAAAATAGCAGCTTCTCACTGGCCATCTGCGCTCAGCTTCCTTGGCCAGCTCTTGCAGCACTGGGCGGGAGCAACGGCCGAAGATGCGACTGAGCTGAGCCAAATGCACCAACAGCTTTCTCAACATCCCAGACCAACTTTCGCTCAAGGCGGGATTGAGGAGCAAGGCCGTGAAACACTGCCTTTTCTCGTCTGCACTCTCGCTCTGCTGCCTTCACTACGGGCGTTGAGCAAGTCAACAGCATTGTCAGCTAGCATTGAATCACTGCTAGAGCTGCACGGACCCATTCTTGGGTTTGGCGCTGACAACAAGACTGTTGTCCAGCTTTTGGTGAACACAGTGCTGGCAACAGCGAGATCTGATTTTGCCCATAGCACACTGTCTCGAATGTGCCTTTGGGATATGTCGTGGTGTCGTCGAATGTGGAGCACTGTGAGTCATGCGAGCTTTCAGGAACACCTCCAACGCTCCATCCCTCTCTGACGCTCACATTTTTCGAACAGACAACCAGTATTGCAGACATGTTCCGCCCGCTTCTGCTCAAGCGAGCCATTCACCTCATGTGAGTGAACTGATCGAAGCTTTCTGGACCTAATTGACCAGAGAGTCAATCGCAGGGATGACACTCAGGCGAGCATATCAGATTTGGATGCGAACCTGCAGGCACGAAAGCAGCATTGGACTACTCTGCTGCTGACAAGTACCCTTTCTCATTCACGAGCTGACGGCCTAGCTCACCATCTCGGGACGATCGCGCTTGAGGTGAGTCAAGAGTGCGGCCGCGAACGTTTGCAAGCCATGTTGCTGAACCATGTCATTCCAGACTACGAGACTTTTGCGGAAGGGATGCCGCCAAAGTAGCGCGATGCAAGATTGTATTCAAGCACTCGATGCCGCCGCTGAGCGTCTTGCTGGCCAATTGGCAGTTCCAGAAGACCACGTTGAGGAAGGAGAGGAAGCTCAGTCAGCAATCATCCTCGAGAGTGAGGCAACTCGCAAGTTGCTGCAAAAGTGGATCCTCGCATGCCAGCAAATTGAAGGCATCGCCGCCGGCAAAGACACGACACTTGCTGGTATCGGCCAAGAGGCAGTGCAACTCGCGCTACTACTTCTACGACTGTATCTTCCGGATATTCCGATTGATCCAGTCGCTGGACGTCAAGCTCTTACGCGGTTTCACGCTGTGAGGCATGACAGATTCCGATCCCAAGCCCTTGTTTCGGACGATCTCGAGCAGCACACACTGCGCCGACGGCCCTCCCCACTCCTTGCGGCGTGGCCTGTCGCGTCCACGCTCCCTGATGCGTCACCTTCAAAGACTGTGTGTGGAATGCACAGCCTTACCGATCGTGCTGTCAATCTCGAGCGGATGACAGCCTTGCATCGCGAAATGCTCGGCTTCGTTGCCGATGTAGTCAATGAAAGCAGGATTACTTCTCTCGTTGGGGATCTACTCTCTCCGCCATCAGCAGAGACATCTGTGAGAGCCCGCGAAACCCTCCTGCAAGAATCGTTGCTGTCTTTCAGCAATCAGATCGAGGCAAAATATGCGGACCTGTCGGATCTCGTCAGACCCTTTCTCCTCAGCTTGGATCTGCTTTCCTTAGGCCTGCAAGCGCTAGCCGCCAATGCACAGCGAAGAGGGCACTTGTCAAAAAAGACGGCTTCCAGTGCAAGCATCTCACCCTTATTGGTTGGATCAGCAGCGCTATCTTCAACGCTTCTCTCCCCTTCCCCGGGCGCATCGACGATCACGGCCCGTGAGGTTGACCTTTACCTCGTCGAGCTGGCAGCTGCATCCTGGCCATCCATTCCAGGTTCAGCCCCAGACTCAGATCGCATTGATGAGATTTTGGGCGCCCTTGCTGAATTTCAAAGTTTCCAAAGCGCTGAGAAGACCAGGCTGGAAGCCGAAAGTTCCAGCATCTACAAAAGCAAGAGTCATACGGTCGCTTCGAAAGACGATGCCGAGCTCGAGGAAGCAGACTTTCGCTCACTGTTCCCTGACTTTAGCGAGTTTTCGGCAAATCCGGTCCCGCCGGAGGCTCGGTCGCTTGGTAAAGAGCTTCTGGGCGACGCCGAGGTTGCAGCAGCAAGCTCTGCCCTGCTTAATGCATACTCCAGTCGGCCCACCGGGGACTTATTCGAATGTCACCGAGGCCGTTATATTCGCCGATGGCTCTGTGATGAATATACCGGGCTTTCTGACCGAATGGATTCCTTCGGCGCTCATCAGCTGCTGTGCTCTGTCACACCAGGCGCTGTTCGAGACGGGAACAGACCACCCGACTTCTACAAGGATTCGGCCCATCAGGAACTCGCGCTAGCGGGAAGTGTTGCAAACCACATGCTTATGCGCTTGGAAGAGTTGGTCCATGATTGGCCAGAACAGGAGGTTCTTCGCCACATTGCCGATCGCTGCCACCTTATCCTCCGGATGCATGTTGCCAGCCCAGTGCCTCGTTTGTTGAGCGCATTTGAACAATTGCTTGCGCATTCAGATGACTGGGAGGGATTCGCCAGCTCGCAAACGTCACTGCGCGAGCATCGAGAAGCCATCACTGCAGCAATCATCCGATGGCGGCGCATGGAACTGCACTCGTGGGGCCACCTGCTTGATCTCAGACTTTTTGAACAGAAGCAATGGGCCTCCCGACAGCTTCTGCCGTTGTACCAAGCGGCAATTACCTCAGCAAAAGACGTTGTCGCTGAGGGTGCCGACGCCATAGAGAAGCATTTCTTTGGCTTGGTCTCTCTCCTGGACCAGTTTCTGCGATCTGCACCTGTCGGAGAGTTTGACGCCAGGCTCTCCATGATCTGTGCTCTCGAAGCGCACTGTATGGGCCTCTCAAGACGAAACCCTGCTTCAAATATCTGGGCTGGCCGCACGATCGCAGTCCTTCGCACAGCAAAACATTTTTTTGTTCAGTTCCGAGAAGACATTATGGAACACATTGCAACGCAAAGGAAGAAGTTTGACAAAGAAATTTCGGATTTTGTCAAGATCGCAAGCTGGAAGGATACCAACGTCCATGCGTTGCAGCAAAGCGCGGCGAAGACCCACCGAAAATTACACAAAGTCATCAGTGGCTTCCGCAGCATTCTTCAGCATGGAGTAGACCCTCTACTTTCCACGTCGAAGGTCCCGCAAACGTCGCTGTCACTGGACCCGCATATGAACGCGGCTGCGCTTTCTCCGCCTTCCCTCCCGGACAAAATCATCTCAGATGCGACCGCGCATGCTCTTCAAACTCACAGCGACCCCACCGAAGCGCACCTGGAAGACTTGTCACGCACCTTGGCGATATTGAAACGGTTGAATCGCAACGAAATTCACGTGGCTCTCACTTCAAATATCAGATCACAGGCAATCGAGCTTGCTGATGACTTTCGCGACAGAGCTGCCGAGCTACGCTCCCGGACACCTTCTGTCAAAACCAAAGACAACGAGAAAGCGGTAAAGGCATTGTTGGCGGAGAAAGTGCGAGCCTTTTCAGACGCCTTGAAGGAAGCTCGACGTTGTGGAATTCCGGCCGTGTACAAGGCACGAGACTCATCCGGCTCTTACGCACAAGCAATGATGCCCCCGGCCCTCAGCTCGTCTGTATCAGCGCTGCTTGACAACTCAGTTCTTGCGGCTGCCGACCAACTCTTCGCCAAGATGCTAGCCCTTCTGCCGCATCTGAGAGCCGGCCTGGCCGATCGTCATCCAGACGTCGAGCTGCAAGGCCTCATTCGGGCGCACGCCACTGTCGAAAATTTGATGAGCTGGATTGCGGACGATCGCCGGCAGTTGAGCTCAATGACTCACAGTCTGGATGGTCTACGTCAAATGATTGAACGCTTCGGTAGTATCGAAACCAGTGCAGTTCACTGGGGAACACTGGTAGTACTCTCGAAGGACGTTCAGCAAAGATTGTCCCAGGTCGATGCGCACATCGGGATGCTAGCTCGTAGTGCCGAGCAGCTGTGCGCCGAAGCACCTCAGCTACAAGACTTGGCCAACTTACCCGAGGATGTGAGGCAACGCATGCGCGAAGGGCTTGAAGCTCTGCGAGAGAAGTGCGCTTCAACTTCAAAGTCATTCCACGCTGCTGTTAAAGCGATTCAGGTGCACAATTCCATGCTAGCCTCTACAAGGGATGCTGAGCAGCTCAATACCCATTTGGACGACATTTCTACCTGTCATTCTTGGTGGATTGATTGCCTTGCACAATGGCCACTTCTGCAGTCATTCCTGTCTACACTCCTGGACAGATGCAGAGCGGTGGACCGGTGGCTACCCGACCTTAAGCATGATTTGACTGCTAAGCCCGTCGACGAGCAGGCGACTAAGTCGCCTAGCAACTCATCTCGCAAGTTAGTTCATGAGCTCGTCTCTGCCATTGTGCTGGCAGCTCAGCAAATCCGCAGCTTGGCGACCTCGATAACAGAGCACTCTGACGCAGACAAGTCTTTCAGTCTCGACGTCAAGGACCATCAGCTTTTACGGGCGGCATTAAATACGACAAGCATAGTCAGCCTGGCCAAAAGCATAATTCCCCACCCAAGTCAGTCTGAGCATCTTCCCATCTCGGATGCTTGGTTGGCTGCTTTGCCATTCTTGCGGCAGTATGACTCCATGGCTTGCGACCATCTAAGAGAAGCAGTCCAACGCGACTTGGCGCGCCTTTATTTGGCACATACGGCGGCATGCATTGTGCTGTCCTTGACTACTCAAGGGTTCTGCAAGCCTGCTGAGGCTGATGAGAAGGAGGGCGATGACAACGATGCTTCCGACGCTGAAGGCGCAGACCTTGAAGGCGGCACTGGCTTAGGCGATGGATCTGGGGCCAAAGATATCACAGATCAAGTCAAAGATGACGAGCAAATTGAAGAGTTGCAAGGGCAAGAGGAAGTCGAAGCTGAACAGAATGGAGAAACCCAGGTTGAAACAGGCGCCAAGGAAATGTCTGACGACTTCCTTGGACAATTAGGAGCCGTTGATCCCGGATCCGGCGACGAAGCCGAGGATGACCTTGACAGCTTACCTGATGAAGAAGACCTGGACGAGACCATGGACGAAGTTGATCCCGAGATGGATCAAAACATCGATGAACAGCTCTGGTCGGGGCGAAATGACGACAAGGAGGAGCAGCCTCATCTAGACAGTGACAAGGGCCAAAACAAGGATAGTGCAGATGCTGCCAAGGACGAGGCTCGAGACAGAGATCAAGGCCAACAAGCACATGGGCAAGACCATTCTGCAGAAGAGGAAGATATCATGAAAGCAGATGAACCTCACAATGAAGCCGCCGATGAAGATGCGAGTCAGTCGGAGAAGGATGCTCAAGAAGAGGAAGAGCTGGATGCTCGTGCTGAGGACAACAAGGAGCTCGAGCTCGATCCACAGGAAGGCGACCGCCTTGGAGATGACCTCGAGTTGGGCATCGATGATGCGCCTCAAGTGGAATCGACTTCAGACCTCGACGAGTCTCAAGATTCTGACGTTGCCGATGTCAATCAAGGCGGAGACGAAGAAGCTCTAGACAGCGATGGTGCAAACGAGGAGAACGATGGGATGGATTTGAAGAGTCCTGAAGAGCCTCTTCCTGATGATCAAGACATTGCCGGGGAGGAAAAGCATGCCCCGCCATCGCTGGACAAGCCCAAAGATGAGCATCCAGCCGGTGATGGAATAGACCCAGAAGGACAAGAAGAAGGGCAGAGTCACGGTGTGAATCGCGTTGGCGATCAAGAAGACCAGCCTGAGGCCCAGATGGCGGAGGTTAGTTCAGAAGATACCGAGCCTAGTGCTAACCAAGCCCAAAACGCAGAGCAGCATGATGGAGACGCGTCGCAGCCCGCCCGTTCATCCGCCTCAAGCGATGCTCGGTCGAAAGAAGGGCAACCAACTTCAGCACAGCTCGAAGATGGCGAAAGGCCGCCGCAAGAACTGCAAGATCAGGGTGTCAAAAATGAAGAAGAGGATGCAACGGGCGGCCGAGGAACGCTAGGTGATGCTCTGAAAGAATTTCGCAAAGACGTTCACCGTATCTTTGAGGCCGATACCGATATCGATCAAGACGCCGCAGCAGCAGCGGATGGCACTGGTGCCGATGAAAGCGGCGTCGAGGTGCAACACGTTGACGAAAAGGACGACACAAACATGCAGAGCATCGGGCCCATGGGCTCAGACCAGGAGAGCAACTTGAAAGGGTTTGACATGGAGGACCCTTCAGACCAATTTGCACCCAATGCCGAGGGACAGGAAGTTGACTCATCAGAGCGAGTTGCAGCGGATAGCATGGCTACCACACGTCTGCTTGAAATGGAATTGGCTGACGATGAGAAGCGCAAGCCAGAAAGCACCCTCTCAACTGGTTTGTCCGGGGCAGCCCTTCAGTCCCGCATCTCCTCGGAAGGTGAGGAACCTGCGGGGGCTCCGGGCGAAGAAGGTCAAGTCGATCGCATGCTCGAGGACGAAGAAAACCTCGACCTTGATCTACAAAGCCGCTACGCACAATTCAGGGAGGCTACGCAGCCTGCTCTCGATGGTGCTGCTGACCTTTGGCAGTCCTACACTGCACGCACATCAGACTTGGCCTTCCAGCTTTGCGAGCAACTTCGCTTGATCCTGAGTCCTACTCATGCTACACGTATGAAAGGTGACTACCGCACGGGCAAGCGACTCAACATGCGTCAGATCATCCCATTCATTGCTTCAGACTTCGCCAAGGACAAGATTTGGCTGCGCAGGACAAAGCCGAGCGCCAGAAGATACCAGGTTCTTCTCTCAATCGATGACAGCAAGAGTATGGCTCACAGCCGCACTGCGCATCTGGCGATGCAAACGGTCACGCTCCTGTCCAGCGCTTTGACGAAGCTGGAGGTTGGTGACATCTCCATCTGCCGCTTCGGTCGACACATGGACATCCTGCACGGGTTTGGCGAGCAAAGCTTTTCCCGTCACGATGGAGCTCGCATGATCTCATCCATGTCTTTTGGGCAACGCAGCACCGACGTGCTCAAATTGCTGCAGTCCAGTCTTTCCTACTTGGCTGATGCTCGCTCGAATCAATCCACGTCTGGGACCGGGGAATTATGGCAGCTTCAGATCATCGTGTCTGATGGAATGTGCGAAGTGAGTTTTGCATTGCATTGAATCACACTTCACCCAAAATTTACAAGTGCTCTGATCAATTCAAAAATCTGCTTCACAGGATCACGATCGCCTTCGCTGTCTACTTCGCCAAGCCAACGAGAACCGAGTTGTAGTTGTCTTTGTCATTCTCGATGCGCTCAACGACCCGGCTCCCGCTGGCGCTGCAGAGTCGGCATCACAACCGCAACAGCAGCAGCGGTCCTCCATCCTGAGCATGAACCGAGTCAGCTACCAATCGGACTCTCAAGGCAAGATGGAACTGAAGATGGAACGCTACCTCGACACATTTCCGTTCGACAACTTCGTCATCGTCCGTGACGTCCAGTCTCTACCCGATGTCCTCAGCGCTACGCTACGCCAGTGGGCCGAGAGAGTGAACGCAGCGTGACGCCTCGCACATGAAGTTCTACCCCTAGCCAACGACAGCCTGTCACATGTCTATGGCCAGGTAAAGATGACATTGCCGCGAACTCTGTAATGTCACTCAAATGCATCCCTCGTTTCAGAGACGATGTTCCCGCTAGTCAGCTGACATTCATGACGATTGCATGCGTTGCATAGTGCTGTGGTAGATGTACAACGGCCCCGCGACTATGCTGCTCGCGCGAGCCATTGGCCGCCGCCTTTCGCCGCCAGGCGAGGGGAGGACGACCAGGTAAAAGGGGGAGACAAGCTGGTGCGAAGTCAAGGGAGTGAACAGAGTTGTAAAGTTGTCACCCTGCTTATGCCTTCATCTCAGCATCGCCGACAGGCGCCGCCTTCGAGCCCGCTTTTCTGGAGATAATGCTCTTGCTGTGGGTCAAATGGAACGCCAATAGTCATGTGATCAGTGGCATGATCTCTTTCCGGGGGACAAGTCTGCAGTTGATACGGAAGTCACATCCAACCACTTGGGAACAGCGCATCATATCACAGTCTTCCTGGACGGTGACTAGTTCATGCTGCTGCAAGAAAACACCCCGCCTTCCTTTCGCAGTTTCTCAACTCACCGGTCGTTGTCAAGCTTGATCTTGGTGATGACGACGTTAGAAGGGTGGACAGGCAGCTGGACAGTTGATCCGTTTGATTTGTCCCTGGTAACCCGGTCAACGTGAATGACCCACTTCTTGCGGTAAACCTGAACGACACGTCCCTCAGAGCCCTTGCTGCTGCCACGGACGATGAGAACCTCATCATCCTTGCGGATCGGCAGCGATCGAATCTGAGTGCGACAAGTGGAAAATTGGTCAGCACTGACCCATCCAAAATGCGACAATCAGGCAAGTAGAAGCGGTTGACGTAGTGGTTGATGAGTGCGGAAATCGCCTAGGTGGCGCGAGTAGGGTCAATCCCATTACGCAGAAGGCCTCCACTTGCCCCTATGGGAGTTGTTGCGTGCCTCCGTCACAATCTGAAGTCGCAAGTAACGATCTCGAATGCCGCTCTCTCCATAATGCATCCCGACGTGCCCAGCATCCCGGCAGATAACTTGCTTGTCTTTCCATCAATGAGCTGCCCATGCATTTCCTTGTGTCCATCCCCATCATTTGTCTGCCCGCGTGGCGGCCAGCGTCCAAAACACTGACAGCGCATGCACCTGTGTCGCGGACGAATCAAAGCGTAATGAATACTTACACCGTGCTCGGCCCGGAGCTCCTTGCTGAGGGAGCTGCTCATAATCTTGCGCTTGAGGTGCGAGGGAGCTGCAAAGTGCAGCTTCCTGTTGACCCTCCTTGATGACGAAACCATCTTGGCTACCTGCTATGTGTTTTCGTGCTGCGGTATGGCGACCTGGACTGAATGGCGAGCACGGTGCTATCAAAACCAGGGAACAATGTAGCTTGCTTGTCGAAGTGATCAAGGCTCCAAAGTCAGTTGCTCGGCCTGCTCCCGCTGCGAACTTCCCGCTGGAGGACAAGTTGCTGCCACTCCCTGAGAGTCTAAAGCCATGGGCGCAAGAAAGGCGCCGCAGCAGCTCATTTTCCGGTGATTTTCTCAAACAATTTTGTGAAGAGTACCTGTTCCGCTGTGTGTGGCTCGGAGTCTGGCAAGACTCGGTGCAACCAGACTCCCAATTCGTGTTGTTGCGTTGATTAATGCATTGATGCATTCGAACAGGTCTCAGTCGTGCATCTTGAGACGTCGATACATGATGTCTGGTTCGCTACTCGCGACCCGCTACCAGAAATGTGGCTCCGCCCAGTTCGATGACAGAGACGGTTGAGCTTCAAAATTCCTCCCCATTGTAGTCGTTGATGGTCTCAACAACTTGTCTTGTGACTCATACTTCATTAACAAACAGCCTACGAACGGCGAGCGCCGCAAGATTATTTGCTTGTAACCCAGTATCGCCAGGCGATGGCACTCCTCTTTTTCGGCCCACGTTAAGATGATGTTCTTTCGCGTCGTCGCAGCATGTTGCTGCTATATCTTCACATTAAAATTTCTGCATTCAATGAGCGGCATTCATGCTTGCCTTCTGTCCACTGATCGTCAGTAGTATGACCTTGCAGTGGCGAGCTTCACGTGATGCAAGCATCTGCCTTTCAACATTCCATGTCCTGGAATAAGACGCACTCTGACAATCCTGCTGAATCATCCCTGCACGTGTCTATCAGCGCACGCTTCCTAATCTAAGTGGCTTGGAAGAATTCTGGTGCCTGCAGCAATTAATACGGGCTCTATCATCCGATATGCCAAATGGCCCTTTCAAAAATGAGACTTGCTGGCAAGTATCTTCCCCTCTCTTTCATCGTGTATGACATTGCGGAAGGGACTATATGACATGAAGAGGGCTTGGAAAGCGTGCAAGTTGACCTAAAGGTGATATGTGGAAGGTGGCCAAATGAAGAATTACGAAGCTTCATCAGCTTGAAATGGCAGCGCGTTGGTGACTGAGCGGGGAACCAGTCAAGGGCAGCCGCCCTGCACGTTCGCTTGAGCTCAAATCTGGAGGAGCGAAGAAATAGCCTTGCACGTCAGTTGCGCCTAATCGGAAAGAACATGAAACAAAAGGCAACTCACGTATTGAGATATCCACCTGAAACCTTCACCGTACCCTTGGCGCTCAACGACTGAGCACATGAAGATCTCGACCGGGCGAATGTCCTTAAGCGGGACCTTGCCCTGCCAGGCAGAATGAATGCACAGGAAGACATAGCCATCAGCACAGGCCTGAGCCTTTTGAACATAACTAGCCTCCTAAAGACTCACCTTGCCCGTGGTCTGGTACATGCCAAGCGCGCCCCGAAGCTCTTCCTCACTGACTGCACCAGGCGCGTCGATCTTGTTTCCGAGAATGAGGAATGGGACCTTGGAGAGCTCCTCGATGCTCAAAAGCGCGTCAAGCTCTGCGCGGGACTCGCCAAAACGCTCGGTATCGGTCGTGTCGACCATAAAGACAATGCCATCGACCTCGGGGAAGTAGTCCTTCCACAGACGTCGTGCTGAAGTAGTGTAATCGGGTGAAGACAGCCGTTCAGCATGGATGCGCGACAGAGCGATGCATATGCTGTTCATAAGGCTCACCCTGAGTGTGTCCGCCCAAGTCGTAAGTCGTGAATTTGACCGCGCCAATAGCAAGCTCCTCTGAAGCTGTAAGCAACGCGCATCACAAGTCGTCAGGCACAATGCACGGCTGTTGATAGGGGTCTCATGGAGCTCACTTGGATGGAGCGTCGGCTGCAGCGTCGCTAGCCTGTCATTCTTAAGCATGTGCAGAAGCGTCTGCATCACATTTGGGCAATAGGTGTCAGCAGGGGCTCCTTCGATACGACTTCAACCTGAGACCTCCACAAGGAAATTCCTACACAACGCCTGCCACAGCCTTCGCAGCATCCACCCTAGCCTCTCAAGAGGCGGTGCGGTGGCAGCCGTCAATTGCGGCCCTTAGTGCTTTGTCCACGGATGCGGTGATTGCTCGTTGAATGCATATGGCACCCTGCTGGGCGGAGCGCGCTTGGATGGCAGCTTATTTAGTATGAGCGATTCCATCAATCACCAATGGTCCCGCAAAGAAAGCAGTGCACAGCCCTGCCCTGCCTTGCCTTGCCTCGCCCTGTCCCTCCCCCTCCAGCACTCGCAGCAGCACGCAACAACACTAACAGTTTTACCGGCATTGTCGAGACCCAAGAACAGAATTTTTGCATTTTTGTGAGCGAGGCCTAGGATTAGAGAGGGATCGTACTTCAGCATGTCATGCACGCATGCCGAACCGGTGAGCTTCCACCACTTGTTGCAGCAAGCATCACTTACCCAGTTGGGCCAGAACGTCCTATCGAAAGGGGGGTACGAAGCCAGCACAGCGGCGGCAATGAAGCGAGCTGTTCAGTGCGGCTTCGGTGCGATGCTGCGCGGCTAGCAGCGCTCCTACTCACCCAGAACCAGTTGATGATGAACATGATGACTGTGTCTGATGAGCTCCTCTTTATGGACCGATGCAGGAAAAGCGTCGCTAGATGTAGGTGATAACTACTGCAAGTTCGACCTACCTGACAGATTTGAGAAAGAGGCACATCAGCGTCTTCGCCTGGGGCTCCAGGCTGAGATTGCTTGTCTCAGCTGCCAACAGGATTGAGAGTCGATACATAGTTCGCGTTCGCGTGTGCGTGTGCGCTGAAAATGTGAAGTCACTCAGGCAGGATTTACAAGTAGCTGCTGCTCCTCTGTTCCTCCTTACCAAATACATCCGAGTCGGCATGTTGAAAGCGACCCGATGCCAACGACTAATGGTTAATGTAAAACCCTACTTACGACGCTTTTCACACAGGTGCGGGGGCGCCTCTCCGTGGGATTCATGATCAGAATGCCGCTTACTTGCACCTTGTTGAAAAGTGAACCTAAATCTCATGTGTTCTATTGAGGTGCAAAAGGGTACATTGGGATCTGCTATCGAGCCGGATGATGAATAGGAGACAAGGCCGCGCACTCTTCCACGGAAGAAACAAAAAAAATCCTTCCCAAGAGGCTGGGAAGTCCGGGTCGGAGGTCACACGTGCAAGGAGGTAGGCCGAATGCAATCTTGTGATACGCGCTCACGCAGCGAGCTTGGTCCTCGTGTCTCCCAGAAGCTGTAGAATAGTGGAAGAATAGAATGCGCATTGCTGCATATGGGAGACGCTGGCGTCGCCTGACGCTCCCTAACTAGTTGCCGCAGGCATCTCCTTACGACTGCGCGCATTGCACTTGAGGTCCACCGCCAGGTCCGTCCTCTTCTCCATCGTCAACGTCCATGCCTCCATTCGTCGCGCGTGCGTTTCGGGCCTCGCGCTCGTCCATCTCCTCCTGTTTTTGGGTCAGGGGCAATCATAGCAGAGTGCAAGTCGACGTCAGCAAGGCAAGGTGAGCACGAGCAGAGAACCATGCAGGGACTGAACATACCATCACAACGTCCTCGACATCAACATTCTTCTTGAGCTGTGGGAGTGCTCTTCTCGGTGGAAGCGCTCTCTCAAGGTGTGTGATATTCTCGATGGGAATCGTGTCCGGGAACGCTACCGTCAGGTTGACGTAGAGGTCACCCATTTCGTGGTGCCTGTATGACGGCATGCCCTGTCCGCGCAGCACCTTGACCGCGCCGGGCTTGATGATCTCGCCCTGTGGGATCTCTACCGACAGAGCGTGGTCGTCCAGATGCTCGATGACGATCTTGCCCCCTCCGAGCGCCGTGAGGAGGTCCACTTCCACATCGGTAATCAGGTCGTTCTTTCTCCTCTTGAATCGCGGATGCGGCTTCTCGTCGATGACAATAATGACGTCACCCGGGATGGTGTTCGGCGCTTGATCGGCTTCCTCCTTGAAGGTGATCTGCTGGCCATCCTCCATCCCCTTGTCGAGCCTGACCTCGAGCACCTTGCGCTCCTGCACCACCTTCTTGGCATTGCACGACTTGCACTTGTCCTTCTGGTTGATGATCTCTCCAGCTCCCTGGCAGTCCGGGCAAGTCTGCTGCAGCTGCTGCACCATCGGTCCGAGCTGCCTTAGCACAACCTTGATACCCCGCCCATGGCATCCTTGGCACGCCTTGACCGCACCTTCTTTGCCTCCGCGCCCATCGCACTTGCCGCATAACACGTGCTTTTGCAACGCAAGCTTGGTGGTTTTGCCGACGTAGAGCTCCTCCAGTGAGACCTTGACCCTGTGAACCAGGTCCTTGCCCTTGCGTGGCCCAGATGGCCGTCCGCCACCACCACCGCCAAAGAAGCCTCCACCACCACCGCCAAAGAGCTGAGAGAAGAGATCTGATGGGTCCATGCCTCCCATTCCACCACTATCCTTCAAGCCATCTTCACCAAATCGATCGTACGTTTCGCGCTTTTGTGAATCTGACAGCACTTCGTACGCGGCAGTGATTTCCTTGAAAACCTCAGGATCGCCTCCTTTGTCCGGGTGTGCAGACAATGCCTTCTTGCGGTACGCCCTTTGGAAAAAGGCAGGTCAGTATTATTCTTGCAAGATGGTATTTCAAAGAAACTTCAACCTGCTCACTTCTTCAGTTCGGCTTCGGACGCATCCACACCGACGCCTAGTAAATCGTAGAGCTGTAGAGGCAATATCGTCAGTACCCGCATAGAGGCTGCAGCATCGTGAAGCGAAGTCAGCTTCCGTTAGGCGCTCACTTTAGTCTCTCTGCAGCAGCAAGCATGAGAAAGATACACTCAGTACCACTGATCCAATAGGCAGATCTACGAGCAGCGAAACTCACTTTGCCATGATGTCCTATCACTCTTGATCAACTCCCCAACACGCTCACGAATCGTACTGCACCGACGGCAGCAAGAGCTTTGACAAATGCACTTCTCGTGTTTTTGACGCTCCCGGCTCAACTAGGATGCGTTACGAGTTAGAGAGGTGTGCAGCATACATTCAATATGTACCCTCCCTATACACAACGGCCACAGAAGCCAATCGAAGCTCTTCCGACTGTTCATCGCGAATTCTGTTTTTCTTCAGCCTCGTGGTTGTTCCGCTTGTTGTAATGTCGTGTGTGTCTACAAGCCTGTAAATTCCACCAAATCGCCACTACGGCCCTCGAGGCTCACGAACTCTCATTGCATATTCTGAGCACGCGCTTGATCGTCGTATCATGTTAAATGACGGCCGGAGGGGAAGAAAAGGTGCACCCCAACGAAGGCCGGTAGCCCAGGCGTTGGCTGTACAACGGAATGTATAAGGCCCAGCATCTGAGCGTCTACCAAGCACCAGCGGTAGATGAGTTGAGCACTCGTATGAGGCACCTCCGGCAAGCCGCAGCAGAAACGACGACGCTCACTCACTATCTCTTAATTTGCGTCACCCTGGGAAATAGGAGCTCCGCGAGAAGGCATTGGCGGCCAGCGAAGGATTTGGCCGCTTTGCTAGCCTTGAACTCAATTGCGATGGGCACCTGCCTTGATCCGTCGTAACACATGCACATCCTCTGACCGTCTTCCCTCAATCACCCCTGGCGGGTTTGGGGTTCCGCTCATCCTCGCACTCAGACATGTCACGGTCCGCTCTTGGAATTCGGAAGCCTGTTTGATGCGCCAATGATAATCAGGTCGAATTATGCCAAAGCCAGACCTGGAGAAGCTATGAGCTGGATGAGATCATGAGAAGACAGTGAACGAGTGGTCAACGAGTTGCCGTCCCATTGCGTCGCAGCCTTGCGTAGTTTTGGATTTGCACCACTTTTTGTGCACAGTCCTGCACAATCTTACATGGAAATGCACCCTGGGGTCTGGGAGAAGACTGCACCGGCTTGCACGCTTCATCACTTCATCAGCGTCACACACTTCACAGCTTGACACCGGGCACCGTGCAAACTCCAATCGCCCACTACCGTCCATCCTCCATACTCTATGATACACCATCCTCATCCGTCCGCAGTCGAGCCTTCGACAATACGAAGGCGGCGATCGCCTGTCGAGTGTCAACTGTCGGCGTACAAAGCTGGAAGCCCGGTCTGTTTTCGTGTTCATGTATGTGAGTGTACCCAGCCCCCAGAGGCTGTTCGGTAGAACGAATCCAGATTCGTTCCCCGCCAGAAGACTAATTCGGATTCATGGTGAATCGAGGAATACTTATGAGATGAGAAGGACAAGCAGGTCGCGATGACCATCCATATTATCAACATTACCGGCTACAAGATCGACAGGACTGGTATCAACTTAGCTGACTTCGAATAGGGATTTGTTGAGCTTGACTATCGGGGCTCGAAGCGCGTGACGCCCGTCGTAGTGGCGCGAAGACAGATCAGACAGGATCTGGCAGCAGCGCCCTCGAAGACTCAAAGGAGCACAATGGTTAAAGTTGAACCGTAGACGTTCGTCGAGAATTTCTTCAACGAAAGGCAAAACAAATGGTCGCATTTGTGGAAGTTTCTGGAAGCGTCTGTCGCGAAAACTCCCTACCGAAAGGTGCCAACAGAGTTCGAATCAAGTAGAAGAAAGTCGACATATTCCTCTACAAAGCCTTCTAGTCAAGAGAGTCCTGATACTTCAGCTCAGCCATGCCACTTCGCTTTCGAAAACGAGATAGGTGTACATCGAAGTCTGGCCGTTTGTCTTCACCAGGAGCGACCGTCGAAGAATTCGGCTGCAACGGAAAATGTAGCAAACACAAGGTCGGGTTCAGCTTCCATCAATCAGCATCCTTGTTCGATATGCCCAGCACGTTTTGTGCGTGGAACACCCTTCTCGCATCGCACAAATCGCAGTCACACGCATCTCATTGCGTCCTCTCAATGTATCTAGTCCCCAACGACTTCACTGCAGTCTGTGTCCAGAAAGCGCATCGCGCCTGAGCCCTCTGCTTCAGGTACTCTGCTCTCTTGAGGTCCCCGACCTGCCTGCCCAAAAGTGAGTCACGGCGACACTTCCCACAAGTGCGCCCATTTTCCTTGCCACTCCTCGAGGGCGTTAGCCATGAAGGTCCACATGTTCGACTTGTAGCCATTCGCACCTTTGAGTCTTTGCGTAGGTTGATACCAGGCCTGTGGACTTTCGATGTGTGTGTGTCATAGGTCTGTTTGTCTCCGACAATACACCAAAGGATCCCAGATTTTCAATAACATAGCTGGATCCAAATCTGGGAAATTAGGTTCCCGATCCGTGTTCAGTATAATGTAGTACCTGGATTCTCTTCTATTTTGCACCTAAAGTCTCAAAAGAATATGAATTCTGACTCCATTTATACCGAACATCTTCTGGGAGGATACGGGACAACGAGCACCTGGGAAGTGCGAGCACCAATCTACACTAGCATGTGCAAAAAGCGGCTGCTGGTTTTCCTATACCGCCCGCTACGGCTAGTAGTGGCCGGGCCTAAGATGTCCTTAGGACTAGACAACGCGAGGCAGTGCCGTGCACTGCGCTGTATTGCCTGCAGCGAGCCAGGCTGAGCGCACACCTTGCACTTTATGCTCTCTTGCCCCCCCCACCGCCGCTGGTCACTGGAATGTGGAACTCCGGGGTCTCTTGAGACCGCTGACCACTCGGCGTGCCGCGAGACTGTCAAAGTCATGATTTGATAGGATTGGGGTCAGTGTGCTCCACAAAAGTAAGCATACATGCACAGTGCGCTCCAAAGCCACCAATTGAAAAATATGTTTATGGTCCATTCATTCACACTGTCACTATGGTCAGTGGTATTGAGATTCTCAATCCCTCACCGTAGCCTATTGTAAATTCATACTATTAGGCACTACTACGTTCGACGTGCATATTCATTTTTTAAGCACTGACCCCCAAATCATTGCGACCTGCATGCACTACAGTGCAGTGCATGCAGGTGCCAAGGAGAACGAGCGAAAAGCCATGGCAACTGCCGCCAAAGCGTTCAGCCCTCCGCATCCCCCCACTTAAGTAAATAAGGTAGTGAGCCCAACAAGGAGACACTAGGACCAGCGCCATCGCTTGTTGTACCAAGCTATCATCAATGCCCAACAAGGGTAAATCAAATAGATGTCGCTCCCTCTCGAATGACTTTCAATAGTCCACTTTCAATCTGCCAGCTGTCTCTTCACCTCGCATGGCGACGCGGACGGGACTTCACGTTGATCCGCCCATGATTACCCCTTCAGGCGCTCGACGCTGTGTTCGCGAGCAGGAACGTTCGTAAGCGTCCCTTTGATTGCATGCAACCACCCGGCACAATTGGCCGATCGCTTCATCGAGCTTCTGCCTACTGGCAGCTTGCTCACTCAGCAAGATTAGCTGCCCAGCTGGTACACATATTGCACCTGCGCTCGAACGTTAGTTTGCCAGTCACCGACAAACAAATCTATTCAATACGTTATCAAGCAAGGAAGCGAGTTGCTTGCACAACCACGCATTCGCCCTTGTCAGGGATGAGATGATGGCTTCCTCGCTCAATATCTCTGGCTGGCTGGTGAATCTTTCATTTGCCCTCGGATTGGCACGATGGGCTCCGTGTATGTGCCACCAAACCTGAGCGGTGGCCGCGGCGACAGCGGCACCACTCGCAGCAGCTGCTCGGGCGGCTGCTCTTCGGAGCAGCAGATCGCGTATGATTATATTCGTAGCTATCTGAACGCCCACATGCTCTCCAAGCCATCATGGCGGTATTACTATGTCCTTTGGTTCGTCCTCCTCGGTCTTCTGCTGCTCAGCTCCGCCGCACACTTCAATGGCGTCGGCGAGCGGACGTTGATCGGGGCCGTATGGAACAAGTGGGCGACCAAGAATCGTGTCATCAAGATTGGGAAGAAGCCCAGTTCTCTCACAGCAGGATGGGCGCACGTCATTCCTGACAGACGCGCTGGTCGTCGTCATACTTCGGAACAGCTTGCTAGCGATGTCTACGCTGCCATCACTGCGCCCGCTGTACCTGAGTCGTACAAGCAACGCAGGATCATCACATTCCCTTCTTTCGGGCGCATGATCGTCCTCGCGCTCATGCTCGCCATTCCAACCTGTCTCTCCCTCATCGGTGCAGACTACATCAACCCCAATGCCAGCACGTTTGACATCTCGCAGTCTTTCCCGAACGGCAATGTTACGCCGCAGAACATCCAGACCCAGCAGCGTCGTCGGAGCAGCCCGTCGCTCGTGGCGCAGCTCGCCCGTCGCGCGCTGCAATGGGGCCAGGGATCGTTCCCGAGTGTAACGACGCTGCCGGTCAATACCACCATCCCTTACCGCACCTGGTGGACCATTGGCGGCCGCCTGGGCGGTATGACCAACGCTCTCACACCCTTTGTCCTCCTGCTGGCGCTCAAGCAAGTGCCCTTTGCCCTTCTCTCCTTAAAGGCCTTTGGCGGCTTCGCCTTCGACAGGCTTAGCTTCCTGCACAAGTGGGGCGGACGCATCGTGTGGCTCTTCGCCACCGTCCATGTCGTCACGTGGAGCGTGCAGCTCGGTCTCGACCGCGCGCTCGGTGGTAAGATGTTGTGGAGTCTTGCTTTCATGTGGCCACGATTCCGATGGGGCTTTGTGGTGAGTTGTCCGCTGCTGGTGCTATTCCTCGTGTCTTGCATACTCACCGCTTGCTGCCTATTATACCCGCATGCCCAACTACAGTCATACATCTTCCTCACGTCCCTGGTCGCGCTCTCGGTCGGGCCCCTTCGGCGCAAGTATTACGAAGTCTTTTACATCACGCACATCATTTGCACTGTCGGCTTCATGGTGTCCGCCTGGCTGCATCATCCGCCGCTGGGACCCTGGATGTATGCCGCGCTGCTGTGGTGGCTTGCAGAGCGCATCACACGCGCAGCCAAGATCGCATGGATCAACGGCATCGGCTTCGTTGGTGCCAAGCCCCAATTTGTCCCCGGTGCTGGAGCCCTTGAGCCACGGCACTTCCAACAGCAGCCACAGCCCACGTCGCTGCGGTACTCATCGTTGTACGCACATCAGCGGCAGAATGGACGCATGGCCCCTCCGAACCAGCTTTTCGCATCTCGCTTGCCATTTGCACCGAGCAACTCCGAACCCAACTACGCGGCCGCGCCGACACTGTCATCGAGCACGAACAGCCAGGCTTCCGGCCCGACCGGCTCGACTCGGTCCCTCTCCCCGCCTTGGGGCAATGTGCAGCCTCAACAGTATCAGCAAGGCCGAGGGGGGTTAAGCGAGGGGAAGTTTCCCAACGATCCGCTCTCCCAGTACGCGGCAGGGACAGAGGCTGCAGGACATGGATGCATGCAGCCGGATGCAGGTTTCAGCATAGCTACAGGACCAAGAAGGCCGAGCGGCGGAGCGCCTGCGCACTACGATGAAATCAACAACGTCATATCGGCATATGCTCCGGTACGCAAGTCTGAATACGCAACAGAAAGATATGAAGGTCACGAGTCGCAGCATGGCACTCAAACAGCGCAAGCAAACAGCAACCGACCCGCTGCGCAGCTTAGTCCCACCATGCACCGCTTCGTTGGCGTACAGCTCGAAGACGGTTCATATCCCCTCACAGCGCCGATCGGTCACCAGGACGTGACTTCGTACTCGGACTCAGAGCACACGTTGGTGCGCCCGCCATCCTCTACCGCGGACCACTACGGCGCCGCGCCTTCGGGTGGTATGCACGAAAAGGCGCACATGCTAGGCCGAGGGCATTTTTCACAGATGCGCTCGTCTGGTTCGACATCATATAGCAGCAACGGCAGCAATGGAGCGTCTGCATATGACTTCATGAGCCCCAGCCAGAGCTTTGGCGACGTAGCCAAGGACCAGTGGGGCCAGCTGCGACGGGCCGTTCGGCCTGCCATCTCGGTCGAAGTCGCTGCGGCGCTTCAACCCGGCTACGCATTCGTCCAGCTGCTGCCTGGAAAGACGCTGCGTCTCACCATCCGCACACCGCACCATATCTCATGGCTTCCGGGGCAGTGGGTTAACCTGCAGATCCCGTCTGTGAGGTTTTGGGAGACGCATCCATTCACAATCGCAGCAGCGTACGATGCCCAGTACCCTAGCCTGCCGGATGCTAGCTTGGACGATGCCGAGAAGGGTGTATTGCCAATGGGCAAGGTGAAAGGAGAGCATCGCACTATCGTCCTGCTTCTTCGCGCTCGCAACGGCTTCACAAAGCAGCTATTCGAGTACGTCCAACAACAGCGACGCGTGCAGCTCGGCGCAACCCTCCATGCCAACGCAGGCATCAGCAAGGCCACCACCGGCGTGCATCTCAGGGCGCTCATCGATGGTGCATACGGCTCATCGAAGCGTGTGGACTGGGGCTCACACTCCTCCATCATCATCGTATGCGCCGGGTCCGGTGTCTCGTTCGGCATATCAGTCCTCGAGCACCTCTGCGCCTGCATCGCTGGCCGAGAGACGATGGGCAGGGCGGGCAAGGGCGGCCGATCGTTTCATGTCAAGCATGTCCGCTTTGTGTGGATGCTGCGCGAATTCTCGCATTTGCAGTGGGTTGCATCGGCGCTTCGGCGCTGCATCGAGATGATCCCACCAGAGCAGCTTCAGATCGATCTTTATGTCACGCATTTCAACAATCAATCTGCTGTGCTTCCGCTGCCGTCACCAATGGGCCCTCCATCCGAATTACACGGCCAACCGTCCAAGTCTTTCTCTCACGGGCACCAGTATAGGGACAGCTGGGATGATGCGACTGATCAGGCATCTCCTTCGCCTTCCTTCCCATCTCTATCATTGCACGGCATGCAACAAGGCCCCCTGCCCCGGCAAGCGCGGTTTACGGAAGGCCCTGAGCAAGAGGAATACGAGCTCAACGCGCATGACCTCACACATTTTGACGGCGAAGACCAAGGTAGTTTGAACCCCGTGGAAATGCTGATCAACGATCGTATCCGGAAAGAGGGGAAATTGCGACGCGCGCACACGCGCAAGGTTACCATGAAGCGGAAAGGCGGTCGAGGCTCCGCGAATGGCAAAGTACAGGATAGCCAGGCAATGGCTAGCCAGCGCGCTGTGTACGAAGGGTGGGCGTCCACAGGTCGCGACGGGCCGCCCATGGATCCTGTTGTCGAGGGCTTATGGATGGACGCTAAGTCTGCGACGCAGAAGGCAATGCTGGCATCACCACAGCACGGTTCATACGGGGAAAGTGTCAGCGGTTCGAGCATTCCGATCTCGCGTGGGGTATCGCCAGTGCTGACCCCTTCGATCGGCTCACGTGGCGAGGGGATGCAATCAGAAGCGCACTTGATGGGCGAGGCGCCTCTCGATGACGCATGTCCGATCGACTTGGACGAGCAAGAGGACAATGACATGCGCATCTTGGCGGAGTTGGCGCGCCCCGGGCATCCCAAACTGGACCGAGCCATCCGCGAAGAAATCCAGCGGAGCAAAGGACCTACGCTCGTCACTTGCTGTGGTCCTACCTCACTCTCCACGGTCATTCGCAGCATCGTCAGCAATTGCATCGACCCTCAGCGCATTCGGTCTGGGGACACGCGCGGTTACGTCAATGTTGTTTCAGAGTCTTATGAGGTGAGGCGCCACGCCCTTCGCCGAGTTACTTTAGTGCGCAAGCACGCGAAGCTGACACCGTTTTACGCCATTTTTGGAACAATCCACTTTGGTACTCCATAGTGGGGTGAATGAACAGTTAAGACAGTCAGCACATCCAGTTGAGCATTCTTATAACAAAGCAACAGCTCGACTATTTCAATATTGCTTATCTCTCCTTGCACTACTCAGCAATAGAGAATGGCTACTTGGTATGATGCGCAAGTAGACCTCGCACACTCCACTCAAACTGTATTTCTCTTTTGGCTCATTAACGGACAATAGCATCATTTCATTCAGACGGGCATTTCAGAACTGGCAAGGGGAAGGCCGGTGAGCTCCCAAGCAGTCATAGATCCCAGTCCAGCTCTGCATCTTCCTCCTCTTGCGTCTTGGCCCTGCCATCTGCGCTCACGCCTGTCCCATACCCCTGTCGAATACCCCTGCGTGTAAGCTTTGTATCGTCCATCTCGGCCTCTTCGTTTGTTCCGCCGCCGTTCTCGCCCGCGGCATCGCCGCGCTCAATGGCGCCGACGGCTGTGAGGAGCAGCTCGATGTCAGCGCACTTGGTATTCATACCATCCAAGCCGATCTCGCGCCGTAGACCGACGATCTGCCGGTGCAGCTCGCCGCCGCGGTAGATCAGCAGTGTGGGCAAATTCTTGTCTGGGTAATTTGGGATGCACTGCAAGCGCAAGAAGGGACGAGGTTGGAGGCAACCTGGTTTGAGTCAAGGGACAGGTGCGTTACGCACGATGCACCAAGAATGTCTCACCTTGTCGCCAACTATTGACACGAACTTGCTTGATGGATACTTTGCTGCCAAGGTTTCCAGATACCCTGCGAGAAGATCGCATGTGTCCATTCTGTATACCAATTGCACATTCAGCCCTGTATGATGAGCACAGCCGGGCCTTATTTCTCCCCGCTCACCCGTCTTTGTAGAGGAAGCAGATGACGCCGGTTCCCTTCCCCTTTCCCTTGACGTCATCCTCGTCCTGAGCAGCGACGTCTGACGGATCCTCCTTGCTCGCCTCCGTGACCTCGCGCATGTAATCGACCCTGCTGATCGGGTAGACCCTCCCAAAGCGGGCATTCCGCAGCTTGACCCTCATTTCTCGCATCCTGTGTGAACGCAGTGAGAGCAATATCCGCTCCTCATCTTCGTCGAGCTTTCCGAGCCCATCAGCGCCCTCGAGAAGATCGTCGTCATCCTCGTCAGCGACGGTTGCACGTTTCGCGGTATACCTCGAGGGCCCATAGTCGGCGCCCTCTTGCAGAGCGCGCTCTATGCGGTCGAGAGGAAGAGAAGAGAGCTGGGAAGCGCGCGTCCCTGAAGCGGTAGGTCTTTCTGGCGAGGGGGAGCGCGAGGGTGGCTTTGGCGGGATGATACCATGTGCACGAAGCGCATCGTGGCTGTTCGAGCGTCCAACGGTGAGGCCAGGGGACCACAAAGTAATCACGAGAATACCAAGAAAATCGATCGAGAGATATTAGCGGCGAAACCATATAACAACGTAACCAGAAGCCATTTGCCTGATCCACAGCTGCACACGGTTCCCTCACAATTCTGTGTCCTGAGTCGGGTCGACTTGGACTTGGGCCATGTTGAAATAGGAATCGTCTGCGGCTCAAGGCCGGCACACGCTCAAGGGCTTGATGAACCACAAGCCTCCGCCTGGCTTGTAAGGCATGTGTGTAACACCTCAACGCAAGAGATCCTGAGAAGGCCGACCGCTAAGAGCAATTGACAAACGAATCTGTCAAACGTGAGTGGCACCTGGCACCTCGGGAGATATCCAGAAGCCCAATACGGTGTTATTCCATTTTTCCGGGAACGCATCGACTGTTGCCCCAGGTATTGAACCAAATCTGGACAAAAACCCCATGATCAGGGTGAGAATCCTTGATACACGAAGTTCAGACGACTTGGGAAGATGCACTGGCGATGAATGGCATTCTGATTTGGTTGCAGTTTCGTAAACGCACGCTATGTAAAATCAATCCCCACGGCTGTAGGGTTAGACCTCAGTCAGGTTACTCACCATGTCAACCGACGACTACGAATGAGCATACCACCCGTAACGCCTTTACAACCTACACGGCGGGAACAGTCCGAGTGCAGCTCTCAACCTTCGACGGATCTATGAGGAGATCAACGTCTGACTGAATCTGGCGGGGATCAACTTCAACGCTGAAAGCCTCCCCAACACCCAGCGGCTCGCAGCCTGGGTCAATGCCGTCGTAAAGGTTGCGAGACCCTACCTAATCTCTTGGCCAAGGGGCAGGGCGACGCACAAGACCACCCTGCAGCTATGCTATAATGACAAAGGATCACGCTCACGATCCTGTACTGCATCCAGCGACCATCCTTCAATGGTGACATGGCGACATTGCTGGCTACATGCAAGAGTTCCCTTGCTTGCGCCACCCGCTCGTCATAGGCAGGAACGACACCTTTTTGCTTTCTCGCCAGTTCTTCCTTCAGTAGCTTCCTCCACGGCGTCAGCTCTAGGTACTACAAGCCCGTTCTTCGTACATGGAAGAAGTATACCCCGTTGCACATGAGTACACGGTTCGGGAGCATTATATCGAGCGCGCTTCGCCAGGCGCTCAGGCCAACCAAGCAAGACCGCACCAACCCAGAACTCTGTGCTTCAAAGTTGATTTCTGACAAAGCTTGCCAGGGGTTGGTGGTATGTCCGTTCAAGACGTCGAAGGCTAGAGCTGTTCTCGGACTGCTCCTACCGCGTACGCTGTAGTGGCGGATGGCGCCGTTGACTGACGTGGTCGTGATCCTACTTATCGACCCCGACACGGCCCACAGCCCAAATTCCAAATGCCAAATGGCGATACAGTAGGTACTGCACATGGGCGTTGCAGCGGATTCCGCGCGTTCGGCGTCGCGGAGTCATTTTTTGCAAATACGCAACAGCCATGTCCAGCGACCGGTCCTGCGCACACCACTGCAACGTTCCCACAAGACACGTACTCAAAACATCTTTTCCCCGCCGCTAGAGTGTGAAAGGAAGCAAGGATTTAAAGAACACTAATCGACAGTGAGTGCGAAGTGGCTGTACCCTGGCGTCACGTGTGACGTGACATTCGTTGTCGATCGGGGAGAGAACCAATGGTTCAGTGAGATCTTTTTTCGACGAGTTGGGAAAGAAGCAAATCCTATTCTTGGAGTCAATCTGTACGTGTAATGTATCGACATCCCATCATCAAAGACCATGGTGCACTCTGAGAAGCGGATTCTCGACTATTATCGGGCCGTGTAAGTTCAAAAATTTCTATTCCTTCTACAAATATGAGTGCCCGACAGAAGGCACATCTACTGTTGGAATGAGATCAAGCAGGCAAAGCTGCTAGACTGATTCGAAGGTCACTCGAGCGAGCCGATGTTTTTAACACTAAGCTCGGTCGCCGCCCTTTGTCCATGCACTCGACTTCTTGACATTCCATATCTCGGTATTCCGCTTCTTGGAGCGCAGCAACAAGCATCGTCCTTGATTCAGATTTCTGTGCGTGAACTTGGGCGGCACGAAAGCAGTACTGTCAGCGCCTTTTCCATCAAGAACACCGAATCGCTGCAGCGAAGGACGGTTGGACGCCATCGCCTTCTCCCACGACCTTGATGGCTACACACAAAAGCTTCCCTGGAGTTCTCTGCCCTACCCAGCACAACAATGTCTGCGACAGGACAAGCCAGGAGCTCATTAGAGGTGATGTCCATAATATCCGGGAAACGATCCGTCCGACTGTCCATTGAACCTCCAGGCGCCTTCTTCTGCAAGTTTGCATACGCATGAAACGCATAGGCCTCATGCGTCCTGGGACATTATATACGAGTATATATTGGCCTCTCCATCCTATCGGCTGTCTATAGGCGACTGGGCATGGGGAGGTATGGGGCATGAAAAGGCATGGATAGTGCCATGACGGGCAAGAAATATACGTAAGTACAATACACCGAAAGGGGTGGGGGTTAGTGAATGGTCGATAGAGATCCAACGTCGCTTCTCTTCTCGGAATGGGGATTCCTCATAGTAGATCTCGGAGTCTCCGGGGCTTGCGAGAAACAGCGAGAATGCGCCCGTCGGCTGAATCAATGCCAAGCCTGCACAGAGCAACAAGCTGTAGTCGAATGTACGAGTAAACGCATGATGTATGTACAGACCGACTTTCACCGTGATGCTGCAGTCCTACAGGGTGCAGAGGTTTGCAGTGCGACCTTCAGCGGCCAACCGCCGGCGGCCGCATTAGAGAGAGGGAGGTGTGCCCTCTGTAGAAGTCGTTTGACTTCCGAGGCAACGCTGCATCTGTAACGTGTTTCTGCCTTCCGCCACCGGATCTAGCTTGGCACTGTCACATGAAGAGTCCACTACTGTGCTCATCAAGGCGGGTAGAATAATTGTGCTTTTCCCCTCCTTTTTCCTCGCAGACTTCGCATCGCGTTGACACAGAACGAGTGCATATAAGAGGGAGTCGACTCAGCACTCACAAACCTTTCCCCACCAATCGTTGGCCTTTCCGAACGTCTCTCGCTATCCCTTCATGCAGGATTACCAACTTGGGACGTTCCTCTCTTCTCAGCGCTGTGGAACGAGATGATGTTACAACTCGAGCGCCTCTACAGGCATCACAAACCGGGACAACGTGGGTGCCGTCCATGCGCGATTTACTATGATCATGTGGGGATCTCCGCTTGCATCTGAACCGTCGGCGAGTTGGCCATCTCACAGATCCTCTGTGCCGATGCGTACCTGCCAGAGGCGGGAAGTGCGCTGAATAGAAGCTCCTGCCGACATATGCGTGCGTGCACGTCCCCGCAGCGCTCAGCGTCTTCGCGGCGCTTTGCATCGGCACGCTCATGATGAAGCGCCGGCGCAACACGCGGAGCTGGCAAGCCAGCAGCAGGCACAGTTCCAGTCAGCATTCCACGAGCTGGAGCCGCGACCATAGCTTAGAGGCACAGCTGACAACAAGAGCAGCGCCTAGCGTGGCGCTGTTCCGTCTCCCCCTGTCGTTGCTGGATCCATCGTGGGTGGTGCTGGTGCGCAAGGCCCTAGCCGCACCGGTTGATGCATCATCGCTATCACCAAATATCCCCTTGGGTGACATAACTGATTCGCACCATGGCTTTGCAGCAATGTCGTTGCACGCATCCACCTCTGCGTTTGGTGGATGGAGAGGAGGGATCGAAACAAGCGTGTGAAATACGGGCCTGTGATCGGACACGATTCGGCCTGAATTAGCTTGCATTCTAATTGTACTAAACGTATGTATGCTCGCATTGCCAGCTGCAGCATCGTGAATCTTTTGAGTGCGCAAGCAACTTTTCAAGAATAAGGTGAGTGAAGCTGGGAGTATGACCGCGGAAGCAAAGTTGACAGTCGGCGGATCAAGAACCAGAGCGTCTCCTCACGCGAGGTGCTGAGGAGCAGCCGCAGGGCTTGGTCGGCCTTGCTCTGTAAGATGCCCAGCGAGAGAAGCACCACGAGTAAGGAGAACGCAGTTTCGGGCTCGAGCCATTGACCTCATTTCCTCCCGAGTCTTGACATCAAGGCGCAACACGTGGGGCGCACATTGCCCGTGTGCTCGAAGCTAGCAGCAAGCTGCTCCATCTGTCTTACACCCCAGCCCTTACTGGACATTGGAGCGCACTCGTTACCCGAATAGCCCTCGCTGGCGACGCTCTGTCTGTCTGTCTAGCCCGATCAGGATGGTTCTGCTGGACGATGCATCTGACTCCAAGATTGTCGATCACGGTGAAGTGGTCGTGCGCGCCGGTATCGTGGCAGACCATGACCCTGTCGTACGTCGACTGTGGCCGTGCAAGCCAGCAAGCACCCCTTTGGCGTCGCAATGAGCTGCACCTATTTGCTGATGACCTGCTTCAGTTGACCAAGGTTGCAGCAGCAGGTAAGTGACTGTTCGCTGATGGTCCTCGTCAGCTCATCCGCGCCCCCCGCGTTTCTCACCACATGGCGAGCGTCTGTGGCGCAAGCGAATGAGGAAGCGAGGGGTTCAGACCTGACTCGTGCATATTGACAGGACAGAGTACAAGGTTCATCGCACTTGTTGGATTCTTTCGCCCAGTTTCTTGGCAAAGTAGAATGGCACGAATGGTGCTTGGCTTGACGCAACGCCCATGCAACTTCTACAGCACCTGTCCACAAGGGACCGAGAACCTGTGACCAGCCGCCACTCTCCGCCATTTCTTTTCTTTCTTTTCCCTTGCTCCTGTAGCTTCCCGCTTGCTTGGACGTCGCCAGCCTGCACTGTCCCACTGCGCTGTGGAGTGGGTCTGCGCGCAGGCAGTTGCAATTGCTGTGCAATGACGTTAGCGGCGATTAGGCTCACTGCTGCAATGCCCCATGCCCACTTCCACCTGTGCGTAACAAAAAAATGATCCTGGCGTTCCGCAGACAGTTGCAGTGCCGATTCCATTGTCACCCCACGCCCTTCCACAGATGAAAGAATAAAGATGCGGGTTGCAACTAGGCACATTTTGTCAACTGCGCCGTCTGTAATACTTGCATGCCACCCAAGCATACTAATCTTTTGATCAAGCATCCAATTCCAGCACATCCTTATCGAACACCTCCACCACTGTCAAGGTGTTTGTTCGTACCCCCATTGCTCAAATACAAGGTCCCCCAACTAGGGATTTGTGGCAGCACTCTGTCTCCCGGTGTGCGGCCATCCAAGAGAGGAGGATCCTCCCTGCGACCCCGCACGCATCTCTGCTTCGAATCTCCCCGCCGGCCAGACAAGGCAACATCGTCTAACATGCCTCAGCTACAGCACCTCGCCAAGCGGAACTGCTACGATGGGTATGGGAACAACAACAGCATCTACTGCCCCATGACCACCACTGCAACAATCGGAATCAGTGAGTGCGATTCGCAACGCCACGGTCCGGGCTGAGCCCTGATACCAAAGAAGACCCTACCGACGTCCGGTGGCGTCTGCCAGAGCACGCCTTGCGATGCCACGCCATGCAATTCTGACATTCGCAACCCCTCCGTATACGCACAGTCCTCGGAGTCATCTTCATCATCTTCTTGTTGTTCGTCACCATTTTCCGCAAGATGCGCTCGCGGCGCCAAAGCGGCAATGCGTCGGCGCAGCCCATGTTCCAGACAGCACTACCACAGTACCAGCAGCAGCAGCCAACCGGCGGGTGCCACCCGCAGCAGTCGTACCAGCAAGGCTACAGTGGCCAAGGCTATAGCGGCAACCCGTACGCGGCAGGCAATCTGAGGGGAGCGGGATCGACATTCGCTGCCGACGAGAATTACAACAACACCAATGGCCCCAATGCCACCACCTACCCGCCACCGAGCGGAGCGCCACCCGGCATGCAAGACCCAGCAATTTATGCCCCACCACCCAACCCGCCGCCACCTGCGTACCCAGGTCCGGCCGAAGCGACCAAGGCGTGATCAACCGCATGCTTTTCCTTTTTCCCGATGTCGACCCCTGGATACCTTTTTTCTCGACCTTGTTTGTTTGCCGTTGTTCCTTTCTTGGTCCGACGCATCACTGAAAAGGCCATGGGCACGGCCATGGCGCTTCGATTCATTGCCCGGCCGAGTAGACGGGTGCACGGACGAACGGAGCGACGACAGCGTTTGTACAATAGCTATCGCAATACGCAAGTAAGCCTCCGCCCAGCATGATGGATGCGACGCAGGACGCGAACAAGGGTGGGAACGAGGACGAAGGTATCATCATGCATGGCAGGTAAACAGTAGAATTTTACAATAGCCGATTGCTAGGACAAAATGAATTGGAAGGCGCCTCATTTGAAGTTGAGCTTCTGTGGAAGCGCGGAAGTGACGTCAGTCACACCGGGACTCGCGGCTCGAAACACGCATCGGGAAGATGGTACGCACGATGAGGAAGAGAAGCATGTCCATCAGGACGTGCACGCTTGTCCAAAGGCATGTTGGCACAATCTCTGGGTACTGCCGCATCTCGTCGAGGCCCAGATTGGTCACGTCAACGCCAAAAGTGTACTTGCAGATCTACATCGGCGTGCGCGAGGAGCCGAGTCAGCGTGATGGCCTCTACCGAAAGAAAAGCTTGGGCGCGCACGAGCGCAAAGTCCTTGACGAGCATCATCTCACGCACCTCTCTAGCAACATAGGACGAAAGCAGCTCTGATCCCCAGATGGCCGAGGCGCCCAGCATCGTCAGCTGGTAGTTGTATGGATCACGCTTGTCGTCGAACGCGAAGAAAGGATACAGCTCTGGAATGCAAGGTAAACAGAGGCGATAATGAGGAAAGCCAGTCCGTGGCACATTCACGCCACTTTCCCTTGTGTCTGCGTGCTGGGCTATAACTCACGCTGGTTCGGGCCAAAGTGCAGGATGGACACCCAGCCGAGGAACGCAAGCATCGTTGCATTCTGTGCCAAGTTGCGCAGGTAGAACGCTGATATAGATAAATGAAAGAAAATGATGGTGGGTAAGCCTGGGACGCCCTCAAGGTTCTGGGTCTCATATGACGAGAATGTGCTTTACCAAGTCCGACGCCCTCGACGTACTCCTCCCACGACTTGGGGTGCGGGTTGAAAAACTCCACGGTACGGTACGCGAAACTTGACATACTGTTGAGTTTCGAAAATGCGGAGGCAGAAATCCGCGTTGAGCATAAAGTCTCGATCAGCCACAACATGCAATGCGGATCGCGGAAGGAAGCTTACCTGAATGGATACCAGATGCACACCCAGAAAGAGCTCAGCAGCTGGATGAGCGCGAACTGGTCAAAGCTGCGCAGACGCGCGAATAGGTTTCGGTAGACTACACCACGGGCACCGGGAAGAGCTTAGCTTCTTGAAGGCTTACTGCACGTCAAAGAGAGTCTTGTTCGCTCACAGATGAAATAGACCAAAAAGTAGTAATACTGCAATAGGAGAATCGAGCGAGTATCGTCAGTAAGGTCGCAATCAGCCTCAACCGCCTTGAGAGGAAAACGGACCTTGAAGACAAAGACAAGTGCTCTGCTCCTAATCTTCTCTTCCAGCATCCAATGACTAGCGATGGCGAGCACATTGACGGTGAGGGCCCAGAAGGTGACGTACGCTGTGCCTTCGATGCTGGTATGAGGCAAGGTGCTGAGGTAGACACTGGCGTACCCTTGGCCGGCCACGAGCCCAAAGAGCGCAAAGCCGATGACAAGCATGAACCATAGAAAACGAATGTACGAAGATGGAATGCGACGCACGAGCTGGCGTTCGAGGAAGGCTGACCATTTCGGCGCGGGATGCGGGGAGTAAGAGCTCGGTCCAAAAGCACAGCGCTTCGCGAGGCAGACTCACTTTTCTGCAAATCCGTCAAGCTATGCCTGTACGTCTGCCTTCCGCTGCGCCTGATCCCCGCAAAGCATACGAGTGCAGGCATAGCCATCGTCGCAAAAGCCAGTGCGACCCACATGGTCTTGCGCTGCCATTGCACTTCGTCCGCCAAGTCGCCGTCCCACCACGGCCCACCGTGGCCGGGCCCTGGCACTGGTGTGGGCGATGGTAGAGGCGAAGGCGAATCGCCATTGCGACCGCTTCCACCGACACGGTCGTGTCGTCGTTGCTCGCTGCCGAGCGGGTCAAATTCATGCAATGCCCACCCAAGGAGCAGGGAAGCAAGCCAGAAGAACGTGTAGGACGTCCGCGCGCCCAACGCGGCTGGCCACCAGTTGAGGCGGTAGAGCGAGAAGAGTTGCGTGACATAGATGAGTCCTGTGAGGAGCATTAAGCATGGGCGTGTGAGAGCGACGAGATGGGCTAGGTTTCAAGTCTTCAAACGTACCGACTGCACAATACATCTGTACAGCGAGCAAATATCAAGTGTCAGTATCCGATAAAATGCGCTGGTGTCTTTTACAAATGTCGTCCCACTCACGCCATAATAAAAAATCAAGAAAAACCAAAAGTTTGCGTCGACTTGGCTGGTCGGCGGCGGGGCAGGATTCGTGCCGGTGGGATCCATGCCAGCCTTGGTAGGTTCGACAAACCAGGTGTACAGGGTATACGAGAGCGAGGGTATATTCCTGGCAATGGATCCTATCCGATGAGATGACGAGGCTGATAAGGCGAAGTACGCTGCGGGTGTTGAATTGCGGGAGGTGGATAATGAGGAGGGGCTCATGTCGTAGGTGCCATGAGACGGGTTTCTATCGACTGAGCACCATGGTGGTGGGTTCGGCACTGAGCACCATGGTCCGTTGGGATCGTACGGATCCGATTTGGGGAATGGGAAAGCGCACCAAAACCAGACCTTCGGTTGTCGATCCATCGAGTGGTGCATGGCGCATCAGCAAGAAGAAAAACGAAACGAAGGCCCCTCATTGAAGTGACCGATCGGCACTCACGATACAGCTGGGCGCAACGGCCAGGATTCCCCATCGCTTCCACCAGCTATTGAGCCATACCTCGACCGTCCCATGACTTGGTCGGAACAGGTTGTGCACCCAGTGCTTGCGCTTCCGGGGTCTCCCGCTTGCATCATCTCCATACACGTCTTCATCCGGCCCTCCCCCTCTGCCACGGGTAAACGCAAGGCGCGGGGAGTCGGGCGAGAATGTGCCCAGCGAGCCTGCGGACAAATCTCTGATGCCCGCTCCATAATCGCCACCTCCGCCTCCATTTCCGCCGATACTGCGGTACCTTCCACGCCCGCCTGCGCCGATCGCGGCCATCTTGCCGGAGGACGTCGCTTGCGGGCGCGACCGACGTGGCCGCCTCGCTACGGCGGCTGATGTTTGCCCTCTCCCATCGCCACCTGGGCTGCGCAGAAGTTGCGCAAAGGTATCAGACGAAGAGTGATGCAGGTAGCTGCTCTCCGGCAGACCTTGGATGTGGATGTTGCCGCCGATCCCAGCGGCGCCAAGTCCAACCTCGCGCGGCGCTGCGCGCTTCTTCAGTCCCACTCCTGCTCCCGCCACTCCCCGCCCCGCTGCCGCACCGATGGCCTTGTCCACTGCGGCTTTTCCCCGTTTGCCCTTAGCGCTGCGAAACGGCGTTGCAGCGTCCGCTGGAGAATCTGCCACTTTCCCTGTGCGGATCTCTACCCGAGGCATGCCTTGCATGAGGTCTTGCGCAAACCCAACTTCCTGATCTATCGCTTTGCCCTTTCCTTTGTTCTTCTTGCCAAGATTTCCTTTCAAGCCGATGACACCTCCGTTGCCGCTAGCGCTGGTGCCGGCAGTATCGTCAGCACCAACCGGGGGGCGAGCGGACGGCAGGCCTACAGGTGGGACATAGAGATCGGCATCGAGGCCTCTGCTGGCAATGAGCGATCCAGGCGCGGCGCTCGAGATGGAAAAGTCGTCCATCAAGTCGAGCTTTTCCGGCGGCAAGAAGGGGGTGAGCAGCCGCACTTGCAGCTGAGCCGCATCTGCATCCAGGTCGGCGTCTACTCCTCCTGTCTTTCCGTCTGCGTGCAGGCGAGAAAGGAACATGCCCTCGACGAGGAGTGCCGGTGCAGCATGTAAAGAGACAGAGGCCACAGTCGCACTCAGAGTGGCAGCAGACACGGACGCGATGTTGTGAACGTCCACGCCTTCGTCCGGTGATGAGCCTTGCTCCATTTTGCTGCCGCTAGTCACCATTGTTCTCTCCCCTCCCGGGCTCACTCCCTCCGCGCAGGCAAGATGACGGCGACGCAAAGCGACAGACGCTGTGCGCGGGTTTATTTGTGCACGATGCCCTTTCTTCGAGCAGCAACCACTAGACGTTGAGCCCAGAGCAGATATCGGATTGCAACGACGCAGACCAGCTATCGAGAGTGGAGCCGCCCAATAGCACAGACCGACCCCCTATGCCCCTTGGCTTCTCGGGATGGTGTTGCTTGCGTTGACCATTCCCGCGACACGCGCGTTTTGCAGCGTTCCGCCTCTCTCGATCGGCAGCGCTCTCTATGCACTTGTTTCCACTTATCGGACCGACGAGTCCATTGGCTTGACTGAAATGCTTGAGACAAAGCGCCACTTCCCGAGTGCCAGATAGTATCTCATACAATACGACGACTTTATTTATCGCCCGTGGTTCCAAAAACAGCAGCCTGGGGGGTTTCACTTTTTGATACGTCGCTGTGCCTTAGGCGTGCCACTCAATACGGCTGCTGCTCGATGGATTGGATTGTATACACGCTTGGGTCTGTCTGGGCCTGCGTGTGCAACATACTCGCATGCAGATCATACACGTCGGCGGCCGGCTTTGCCATGCTGCAACGTAAGATGAGGAGCTGAAGGAGGACGACCGAGAAAACGGCGTAGCGCTGACCGATGTGAAGAGGGTGCTTACCGCACCGCGCCGAGCTTTTTGGTCTCCCTTAGAGGTCTGTCTGCCGCGGGCTGGCTCGCATCCGTCTTACCAAGCACCTTTCACTCGCTTGGTCACTCCTTTTCTCCCCAGGGCATCAAGGCTGACGGTCTCGACTTTCCTTGCTCATTGCCTCTCTCACAGGCTCTTTGTCAGCTCGCCGCGCCGCCTGCAGGTCAGAACGCAACAGCAAGAGTGCATACATGTGGTCCGTGCCGCCCTTCTTGGCCTTGACTTGAATCGACTGTGATCGCAGGCCTGAGCAGGCAGGAAAGGGTAAGGAACCAACAAGCGTCCATCGATGCATGGATGGTAAACTGAGGGGTCCCTATCGCCTACGCAAGGCGATAATCATATACGGCCGTTCGAGAGATCATGGGTCTGGACATGCGCGTGATGAATGACGGCACCATGCACGAATCTGCAGCCTTAAGTTTTCACGGCATGCCTCCGACCAAGGGCGTTGTAGGCGAGCTCTGCGCAGGCAAAGCACAGTCTGCGGCCCTGCGCTCGTCGTCACCCTTGCAGATCGATCCCTCTCTTGATGCACCCAACATGCAACAGCCTACGACGGTAATGCTCACAGAAGGCTCGGACGCAATGGAAGTGCGGCAGGACTTGAGCAGTGATAGCGGCCATCGTCCCTCGACGCCCGAGCTGTCCTTCTCCCCTTCGTCGCTGTCCGATGGCGACTTCTCGTCTCGTTCTCACGTATCGATGGGGCCTTTGACGCCGCCGACTTATGCGCGGCATTCATCATTAGCTTCCGTCAGCCAGCAACAAGCCCGCGACCAGCAATATCACCATGTGCTTCCGAGCTGGCAGTGGCAGGAAGATCAACCTGCTAGCGTTAACGGAGGGAAGGTAAAGGGAAAGGGGAAGGCGCGAGAAGCGGTCGAGCATCTCCCCACATCGAACTCGGTGTCGAAGGGCAAAGCAAGGGATCAGGCTCAAGCTCAGGCCAATTCTGAGAGAAAGGCTGACAGGCCGGACTTTCTACTCAGAGATGTGGGCGAGCAAGAGGAAAAAATGAAGGACGATGGAAACGACGTGCTTGCGGACGCAAACGTAGACGCGATGTCGCATTTCCCCATCGCATTCTCGCCTGAAACGACGTTTACGCGCTTGCAACCGTCATCGACTGCATCTGGCGATGCTCCCGCATCGTTGATGCCACCGTCTTCGTCGGGATTGCCGCTCGGCTCCTTGGCATGTTCGGAAGACCACGTCGACATGGACAATTGCCAGAAGAGCGAACAGCACGACCATCGCCCTCGCTTCCCCGTCGTAGCCCCCCGCCCCGTCTCCGTGCCGGCAGCAAAACCGCTTCTCGATTGTCCGCCCCCACAAACAGCCCACCTCTACCTTGATGATGATGTCGCATATGACGGCGCGCTTCCACCAACGAGCGCCCCTGCCAATACGTCTACTCGTCTTCCGCGCCAGGTGTACGACGATCTGCTGCATGGCATCGAGATCGCCAAGCTAGCCGACGAAAGACTGTGGTGCGAAAAGCATGGTAGCCCTAGTGGTGGCGTCAGCGGCGCCGGAGGTATTGGAGGTGGCGTCGGCGGCAGTAAGCTCACAGCCAGCAGGATGGCGATCGCGAGGATGAGCCGAGGACCGTCTTCATCGGTAAATACCCGTGCTCGGAACGCAGCTGGCGCCGGCATCTCGGATGGTGGCGCGAGCATGAGAACGAGTGGCACCAGCTCTGCCAGCATCTCACCCTTTGTCATCTCTTCCAGCAGCAGTAATGAGAGCAGCAGCGCCAGCAACGAGAGCAGTGCATGTGCCTCGCCGAAGGTGGTTTGCGACGCGCGTAACACCCTGGTAGCTGCCCTCGGTTTACCGGGGGTCGGTGTCGTCTCAAGCAGCAGCAGCAGCAGCAGTGAGGGCGACAGTGGTCGCCGTAGCAGCGACATGGTCCTGTCCCAGCGCGTCTCCCTGTTTGACACGCTCCCACGCTCGGAAGCATCGTACAGCTGCTCGTCCTGCGGAACCTACCTCGCCTTGGCCGACGAGCTGATCTCCAAGTCCTTCTCCGGGCGCGAAGGCAAGGCCTACCTCTTCCACTCTGTACTTAATTGCCAGCAGGGCAAGAATGAGGAGAGGCAGCTGTTGACGGGCCTCCATGTCGTCGCCGACCTCAAGTGCAAGGGATGCGCGCACGGAGTCGGCTGGACGTACGTGCGCGCGTATGAGCCGGCGCAGAAGTACAAGGAGAACAAATTCATACTGGAGAAGTGCTCGTTGCACAAGAACAATGGCTGGCTGTAGGTAGGCTCGTCCGTAACTACCAGCAGTCGCTATCACGCACCGCCATGGTTTCACATGGCATCTGACGCGTACGACAGCACAACAACGGAAATCGCCCACAATCGAACCCATCAAACCTGTACCACCACACTTGGCATACATCCCGCCCATGACACCCGCACTTGACGCACTCGCTCCCACACCCGCGTCCCATTATTTTTCCCTTCGCAAAATCAGCACTAAAACAGCAATGCAGGCAGTCTCGGTTCGTCCCCACTTCTGGATCTGTACCATTACGCTATCTTCGAGCCGCACAGCAGGCCCGTCCACTGTTTCAACACAGTCACGCAACCATTAGTTCGATACCTGTACCACCACTACCACCTATAGCCGATGACGTCTCCATTCGCTGGCGCTCCAAAGCTGCCAGGGAAGTTTCGTATATGCCTGCCATCCTTCTATCGACCTTTTTCAGCAATTGTACTTTCCCTCCGTCATCGCCAATCTTGCACTCGAGCACGCCTGGGAGCAATGCGCATCGGAAATGAGCATATGCACTTGATCAGATGATAGGCACTGAAAGCTGATAGTCTGCCGGGCCCGCTGCACGCTGCCTCAACGAGACATGAAATGTTCGCAGGGTGTGTACTTCCATACAATCATGCCTCTCAGGGGCGGTCATACTCCGTGAGGGGTTTGAGTTCCTGCGAGCCAATCCCTTGTCCACGCCAGACGCTGATCCTGCAATCCTGACCGCCCGCTACGATGCCCTGGCCGTCCTGCATCCAGTCAACGCAGAGCAACCGTGTCGGCGCGTTTATCGCCTTGGCCGCATTGGCTCCACCCAATGCAGACAGCGGCGGAGGGGGAGATGTGAGGGTGAAGAGCGGTTGCTTGCTGCTGCGCACGTCCCAGCCTTTCACACTGCCGTCGAGCGATGCGCTAGCAAGCAGGTGCCCCGAGATAGGGTGCGCCGCGACGGCGTTGACAGGGCCAGTGTGGGCGTTGGCGATCGGCAGGACGATACTGCTGCTTGCGGTTGAGGAAGAGCGGAAGTCCCACAGCCCGATTGACCGGTCTATGTGTGCCGTCGCGAGCAGACCGGCACTCGACGAAGCCGAGGCGCTCGTCAGCTGCGTAACGTCCATAATGACCTTGTCCGAAGACTTTGTCGATAGCAGGAGGCCGCCGGCATCGATGTCCCAGTACTTTACGCTGCCGTTCCAGCCTGCTGAGAAGACCTTCCGCGACGCGGCACCAGACCCTACCGAAGAGGAAGACGAGGCAGCACTACTGTCGAAGATCGCCCTCGCGACTTTTGCACTGGACCCGGGCACGAGCGCAGGAGCGCTGCTGCCACCAGCAGCAGCAGTAGCAGTGGCGGCGGCGTGTAGCGGCGTCGTGTGTCGCAAGATGAGCTCGGGTCGATGCGAGCCGCCCATCGCTGCGCTGTGCAGCGCGCGCGTGCGCTTGCCGCTCATCGCTTTTCGGCGCTTGCGGCGTGTCGCGTCGTCCTCGTCGCTGTTTCCTTCGTCGTCGTGTTCGTCCGCCTCGCGCTCTACGTCCGGTGCGCGCTGCGCTTCCGTGTCGAACTCGTCTACGTCCACGTCCATGACCGAGCCTGGCTTGGCGCTCAACCCGGCCGCGACATCCCAGACACCCACGCAGCCGTCCCAGCCGGCGCTGAGGATGTATCGCCCATCGGCGCTAGCCGTCACTGAGGACAGCGGCTGCACGGCCAAGCCGCCGCTCAGCGAGCTGGATGATGCTGTTGACCCTGGCGCATGCAGTGCGCCGGACCAGAGCATGCGCGCTTTCCTGCTTGCTGCACCAGCACCAGCGGTCGGATCGCGGAGCTGCAGCACTTCAGTAGGCAGCTCGAACAAGCGCACGATTCCGTCCATGCCAGCTGTGACGAGGCGAGAGGCGAAGGAGGACGCATCTGCGCCCACAGCAGGGGGCGGCAGCCACGCGGCTGAGGAGAGCGCGGGATTGGACGTGCCGGCCGGCGCCGCTTTCAAGCTGTAGAGCGGCGTGGAGGTGGAAGTGTGCGAAAAGATGCGCACAGTGCCGTCATAGGAGGATGTGAGGAAGAGCCTGCGGAGGAAAGCCAAGGTACGTCAGAATCGCGCTGGGAGCCCACATCTCCCACCCTTGGATGCCAAACGTGTGCGACGCACCCAGAGCGGCTGGCATCGACGCTGCCTACCCAGTCATCCTGGGGAATCTGGTTCTCAAAGCGCGGCGGCAGGGTGCTGCGGATGTACTCCAGCTCCAGGGTGATTTCAGCATCCTTGCTGCTCCGTTCGAGGTATTCGCCGAGGGAGATATTGCGGAGGAGCTGCCCGTCGACGATAAAGTCAAATGGCACTGCAGTTGCACCATCCTGCCACTCGGCTTCCTGGCCCGGGAGGAGAGTGGATGTGCGCAAGACGCGGTTGACGAGCGTGGACAGGTGCGTCCGGCGCCACGAGGTCGGGACGAGGTACGGCGTCAAGGGGATGGAAGCGCCGGGGATGGAGGTCTTGAGGACAATGGGAACATTACGGAACACATCGCCGCTCGTCGTGCTGGCGCCTCGGCCAGACAGCCTCGCATCTTGTGCTGATGTGTCCGCCATTTTCCGCTTTGAGCTGCTCACTATCAATGCTGCATTCCCCCTCACGGCACCATCTGCAATGTGAGATTGCGACTCGGTTGCATCGCGACGATGAAGGCCTCCATCTCTTGCAGGTCGACTCATCCACATGAACTGCTGATGGCCACTCGTAATTTTTTGGCTGGCCGCGAAGATTCCCACAGCCTGTTCCGAGTTCCGCCTTTGGAGATCTCAAAAATGGTTGAAAGCGGCGAGGGTGAATTCCAGGTGAACCAGGGGCGAAACTGATGGAATTTCAGGATCAGTCTCACACTTCCGAGCGAGCTTGCACAAATGCTGGCATTTTCGCGTTCTGCTGTCCGTCCAGGAACTTTGCATGTGCCGCCACTGGCCCAGTACTGGTCCTGACGAGACAGAGATAGCTGGTAATCCTCTGGCAAGTTGCAATTCTAGAACAAATCGTTTCAGGTGCCCCGGTCCTTGTACGTGTTGCGACCGTCAGCAGTGATAATAGACCAATGGCCAGAGGCGCAGAGGCACTCTACGAAGCCATATGATAATGGCTAGACTCATACAAGTCTAAGGTGCATACATGTGCATATACCATAGTCCAGCAGCAGTGAGGGCAGGGGAGAAAGGAGGGAGAGACGCTGGCGGT